ACTGCTTTTGTTTTCAGTTATTCCCCACTCCCCCAAATGATTTCCAAAGCACGGTTCAAAAAAGTTAAAAGTGAGAGAGACAGATATCTTTGAAATGGACTGGAAAAATCTCAAAATGTCATGTTTGTGCCTAGGATCCTAAAGCATTTCTCCAGCTGACGTAGACCTAGCGGTTGTGTGTAGTTTAGTCTTAAAACCTCACGGTGCTGTTTTCTTGTTTGGTGTATGTGCACATGGGAAGGGTAGCCTGGGAGCCTGCATAGATGTAGCTTTTTGCCATCAAAATGCTATGTGTCTTTTGACCTGATATATATTTTTTTAAACATAAGCTGGGGAGACATGGTTGATGATTCCCCCTCCCTGTTTCTTATTGGAGCTTAGTGGCCCATGAAAATCCAAATACGCTTTCAGTTTAGAGAAATGCACAATTGCAAACAATAAGTGACTTTTTCAAAATGCCCTCCAGCGGCGGCAATTTCTCCTTGCACACAAAGCAGTCCTGTTTACAACTTGGGAGAGTTATGTTAAGTGGTTTTTCCAGCAGATATTTTGAATCCTTTGAAGCTGCCTCCTAGCCATACAAGCCTAGAACATAGGTGCGAAAACCACAGGGGTACCATTTGCTGCTCAAAAGACCTGTTCTTTCCTTCAGGGCAGTTTATTTTGCTAGTTGTTTCCCAGAAAACCCACATTATGCCCCCCTCCCTTGTGAGCAGTTTGTGGGTTCAAAGGTCACAGTAACTTAAACATGTGTGCTTATCTGTGCATTTGGCTGTCTGGAGGACCGTAGGAACTGAGTTGCGTGATTGGGCTGCATTAACTGTGTCTGTTGCGTTTCTTATCCTTCTTTGTAATGCATTATTTTCCAAAAAGAAAATTAAAATGTGTTAACGCAACCTGATTCCCTATTTGGAATTTTCCCAACCTTGCGTCCGAAGCCATGGGTTGTACCCAACAGAGTTGTCTATTTAATGCAAGGACTTCCCCCCCTTCTCTCCCCTCCCCAATGTCCCCTTTTCCAGCCCAGATCTGCTCCAGAGGGTTGGTGGAAGGTCCAGAACAGACTGGGGCAGGGAGATGACATGTCCTCGGCTTCTTTCGATACAGATCCATGGACTTTCAGAGGTGATATTCCACTCAATAGGAGTTGGTAGGAATCGCAAGTGGGGAGAGGGGCTGTTGCACTCAGCTGCTTTGCTCAGGCTTCCCATTGAGGCATCTGGCTGCCCACTCAGAGAGCAGGATGCCGGACTAAATGAGCTGTTGTGATTCAAGGACCTGCCACCCGCTTGGGGATAAGAAAGACACATGGACACAGTATATTAGGTTAATGGGCTTAAAAAGGCCACAACTTTATTGATTACAGCATGTGAGAGGTATTGGCTCAGGCATTGGATAAAACAACAGAGCGTGACTCCACCCCCTCAGGGACTGGTGAGTCTAACGAGGGTTAACCACCAGTGGGAGGAGCCTGTTGATGCAAATACAACTGGAAGCTCCCCCTGATGTCACCGGGGGTCATGCCATGGCCCTAGCCACCAGCAAGGGCGTCGGACAGGATCCACGACCGCCGGATTCCTTTACCGGAATACCCATAAGGTGGAGGGGTAGGCGATGGCCACACCCTGCCCTCCAATACACAAGCATATTCCAATGCCTAACCGCCAATACCTAAAAGTTGTGACGATTTGCTACAAGGTAGGTGAAAAACCAAGTGGCCAGTGCCAATTTGCCAGTTAGATAAAAATTCCTACCAGGCCCCTTGGACAACCAAGGCGACCAACCACAGGTCCATAGCAAGGTCAAGAACCAAGCAGCGAACTAAAGGGAGGGTGGGTGGGTGATCCGACGAAAACCAGCAGCAGAATGAAAGGGAAGTGCTGCCGAGGCCACATGTGAGTGGCAAAACCCCGCCCCCAAGCCTCCACCTGGTTGGTTGGCTATCTGGGGGCATGGCACGGCAGCCAGGCCAGCAGGGCAGGGGGCTGGAACGCCCCCTGCCAACTGGGAAACTGCTCCTACTAACAACTCCTCCCCTCTGTAAGGAGGAGAGGCTTTCCCTTTACCCAGAAGCCAGGCGCTTTTGATGTTCTTAATGGTGGATTTCTGCCCTTCGCTGCAGCTTCCTACATAGGAATCTACCTTGTGCAGAGCCAGACGATTGGTCCCTCTAGATCAGTCTTATCTACATAAATGTTTCTCAAACTTGGGTCCTCAGCTGTTGTGGGGCTACAACTCCCATTGCCCCTGGCTAGCAGGACTAGTGGTCAAGGTCAGGGATGATGGGAGTTGTAGTCCAATAACAGCTGAGGACCTGAGGAACACTGGTCTACACTGATTAGCAGTGGTTCTCCAGGGTTTCAGACCAGGAGGCTTTCCCAGTCCTACCTGGGATTTAACCAGGGACCTGTTGCATACGAAAGCAGATCCACAAGCAGCCCCAGGACTCTCCAGACTGCAGTTTGGAAACCACTGGTCTGGCGGGATGCTTAGTTTCATCTTATCTCCCTTTTTTCCTTGCCTTTTTTCGTCTCCACAGCCAGGATTTTACCCTAGCAGTCTTCGTGCTTTGGTAATGCTGATTTTTCCGGTGTGTGTGTGTTTGCTTCTATCTGCTTGCAGTTCTCACTAAGTTTGTGATTTTGAGCAGTAACGTCAAATGACACTCTGCTGCAGGAGAAGGTCTTGCTGATTAGAACCAGCTAACTTGTGGGAGAAAGTGAGCATAATGCTTCTGAGGTCATGAGGGTTTTCAAAACAGCAGAATGCGGTGAGTGTAACAGCTGCAAAAAGCGTCGTGTTTAGATGATGTCTGGAGTTGGGCTCTTGCCAGTTTTTAAAAGATAATTGGTTGTAATTCGACAAGCAGTGCGCTGGTTTTGCGGTGCTTGCATGCAAACCTGCGTCTGTCCTGATGGAGCCAGAGAGGACACTCGTGATTCAGAATTCAACAGATGACAGGGTTGGCTCACTCACATGCTTCGTTCATGTGCGTCTGTGGCTTGTTTCAGCCCTTTTACCGAATAAAGAGAGACTGATGAATGACCACGTAAGCTGCTGTTGTGATTGCTCATGCATTCCAGTGGAGTCCACACACCGCTGCTCTTGGTATTAGATCAGAAGGGCTGCTTTGCTATGTCAAAGCAGTGTCAACCTATCCCGGCACCTTGTCTGCTACCGTGACCAGCCAGCGGCCTCCAGAAGCTTACTAGCAGAACTTGAAAAAGATGGTCACTCTTTATATCAGCCTTCCCCAACCCCGGCACCCTCCAGATGTTTGGTGCTGTGATTTCCATCAGCTGTGTTGGCTGGGGTTGATGGGTAGCGTAATTTCAAAATGGGTGGCACAGGACCTGTAAATTGTACCTCTGCATAGCCAGACCTCCAGTGAGTGACAGGCGCAACAACGCTCATCCATGATCAGTCCCTGCTTTTGTTTGTTTATTAAATTTGTATACCGCCCTATACAAACAGAGCAGTTCACAACACAAAGTTACAGCAGCACAAAATACTTAATAGAAATAATTACAACAATTAACAATACTAATGTATATAAACTACAGCGGACGCTCAGGTTGCGAATGTGATCCGTGTGGGAGGCACGTTTGCAACCCTCAGCGTCGCGTCTGCGCACGTGTGGGTCGTGATTTGGTGTTTCTGCGCATGCGCAAAGTTCTGGTACTTCCGGGTTCGGCACAGTGCGCAACCCAAAAACATGCAACCTGAAGCGTCTGTAACCCGAGGTATGACTGTAATAAAAAATATGCTCCCCAACAAAAGCCTCTAAAACAATCCCCCAGCCCACCGATACCAATACAAAAATCCAAATTAGCACATAACATTTAAAAACAACCCCACCCTCCAGATAAAACAACACCCACCCAAGTCAAAACCCCACCCTTGGTTAAAATAACCTAGCAATTTCCTGCTGGTCTGCTCATTTGCCCTCCACCAGTGCCTGCCTTACTCTAGTAGTAAAAGCGGGGGTGGGGAAGCTACACAAAAAAAGCAGAGTTTCTCTATTCCCCCCCCCCAAAAAACCCCTTTTTGTAGCTGAAGCTCTGTTTGAGCTTTATCCTGCCCATCCTTTCCTTTCCAAAGGCGGGCAGTCTGCCTTGGTTACCCTTAAGGAAGAGTTTAGGCTTAACTTGCAGCAACGATGGCGGTGAAATCAAAAGCCATGCATGCCGAACAGCCTTGTAGTGGCTCTGCTGCTTTTAGTGCATAGGGAAGTCCCTTGCCCGTTATAAGGGGCTGTGCTTTGCTCTGACATGCGATCCCTTAAGGTGCTGCCTATCTTGGCATATACTGAAAGAATGTCGGAAATGGCACATGTATTCCAATGGAGTCTTGCATTTGCAGCTCCTATTATTTCCTCTGGCCGTTGTCTCCGGTGGGTCATCCTTGTCACTCGTTTTAGTCCATCCCATCAGTTTTTTCCTATTGCTTCTCAGAACCTTCATTTCTGGCAATGGGCGGGGCCAGAGGCCAAAGTGGGTGGAGCAATGTATGTGGATTTTACCTTTGTTTTGCAGGCTACTTTCTGCACACACTTGCACATGCCTGTACCCTTCCCCCAAGCAAGGAGTATTATTGGAGTTCAACTCGAAAGAGGGTGCAAAGCAGTGCCAGGTAGGGGTGTGGTCTAGGGAAAGGGGGTGTGGCTTGGGAGAGTCCCAGGGGCAGATAGAGGAGGACAGAAGGGCGGCCTTTGGCTTCTGAAAAGAGGCAAGTGAAATTCAGCAAGTTCAGATCTCTCATATGTTTGAAGCTGCGTTGGGTTTAGCCACACTTTCAAGTCCCAGAGGAGAAAATAAGGATAAGGTTAATCAAACACAGATATTTATTTGCTTTTTTAAAGTTCTTGATGGTGGCAAGTCCTACCTTTCCAGTTTACCTCTTTCTTTCAGAGACGTGTGGAGGCCAAGAAAAATAAACTGGTACTTGCTCATTAGTTTTGACGTGAGGCACAAATAAGCTTGACAGCTTCAGAACAACTGATGCTATCAATAGTGGGGATTGTCGTCACTCTTGTGGTTTGTGGTGATCTCTTTATTATGATTTTGGAGATAATAAGGGCTTATTCATACATGGTAAGGTATGAAGGGTTTTCTCTGTCGTACTGAAATTAACGCCCTGGAATTCTTTTGATAGTCAGGCACACCTCGTTTTGGACCGTTCTGGCTCAAACACAGAAAGAGCACTGTGGTGTAGTGGTTGGAGTGTTAGACTAGGACCTGGGAGAGCAAGGTTCAAATCCCTGCCCAGGAATGAAGCTCACTGGGTGAGTCTCTCAGCCAAACCCACCTCACAAGGTTGCTCTGTGAGCATAAAATGGGGAGAGGGAGAACCATGTATGCTCCCTTCAGCTCCTGTTTATAGGTCTGGAAACTCCGTATTTTGGAGATGATAACCTTGATATTTCTGTATTCAGCAATCTGGTCCCTTCTCTGTGTTTTTGACAGGTCCAGCCAGTGCTGGGGAGGACTCCAGATTGCTGAAGGACTGGCTTACATGGTCAGGGATGGAAGAGCTACTGTTTTCCATTTTCTTTGACCAGATTCAGCCTTAGAACGATCTATGGGTAGGCTGTTCAGTCTCATGAGAGCCAGTGTGGTGTAGTGGTTCAGAGCGGTAGACTCGTAATCTGGGGAACCGGGTTCGCGTCTCCGCCCCTCCCCCTGCAGCTGCTGGGTGACCTTGGGCCAGTTACACTTCTTTGATGTCTCTCAGTGAGGAGATTTCACCGCTCCCATATCCAAGAATCTGCTGATGTTCTCTGCTGATTCTCCAGAGAGGAGGGGGCGGTTTCTGCTCTCTACTTATTCCGCTCCAGCTTCACATCAAAGAGAGAGAGAGACTGTGTGTTAGAGAGAGTGTTATCTCTGTGTTGATAAGGTTGCTGCTAAGAGCAGCTGCAGACACTCAGTGCAGTTCAGCTTCTCCATTTAGCTCTGTATATAGTTTGTATGATAGCTGTAGATAGAATAAAAGTAGTTATTCTACAGAGCTGTTCTCCGAGTGGTTTATGCTCTGCTGTACTCTGCTGTGCAACGACTGTCTTCGGAGTGAGTCTGGTGCTCACAGCTCTGAGTTGTGAGTCCACAGCACTTAGACCTGTTCCTGTGCAGAAGGTGGTCTCTGGAAGTGCTACCCCAGCTCGCCTGGCCCAGTCGGGGCTGAAGTGGATGAGTCCAGTCGGTGGCACTGGCTCAAGGGCGATGCTGACACTCAGCCCCACTCACCTCACAGAGTGTTTGTTGAGGGGGAGGAAGGGAAAGGAGAATGTTAGCCGCTTTGAGACTCCTTCGGGTAGTGATAAAGCGGGATATCAAATCCAAACTCTTCTTCTTCATCATGTGAAAGTGAATGCCAAGATGTTCGTAACTATTGTACTCAAATGTAAGTTTCCATGTGTCCTGAGACTTGGGGTGTGTGTGTGTGCCGATGACAATGATAAGTGGGGTGGCTGTTTCAGCTTCCCCATTCATATGGAGGATGATAGACCTGCCCTCCAAAATTCCTAGAAGTTCACCTTATCAGTTCCTCTTAGTCATGATGGCCGTATTCTATGGTCAGTGTGCTCACTGAGGAACAGAAATGGGCTGTGGCCTTCCTGCCTTCCTGGTGGGCTTCCAAGAGGTGTCTCAATGGCCACTGCAAGAAGCAGGATGCCGGACTAGGCAGACCTTTTGTCTCATCCTGCCAGGTTCTCTCATGTTTTTCTGATGACTCCAAAGTAATCTGAATTAATGCTTTTATTTCACCTTTAAATGCCTGCAGAATCCGCATTCGATGGCAGCATTTTCTGTTACCTCTTAAATGAACCTGGTTGAAACATTTGCAGAGGATATTCAATACCCCCTTCATTGTTGCTATCGTTTGTAGAGGGATGTTGTTCTTTCGTCTGTGCTTCTTAACATTTAACAACCTGGGGAATTTGTGTAACCTTTCCAGCAGCATTAAATCTCTCTGACGGAGGGCTTCTCCGATTTGTCTTGTTGCTGCTGTTTCAGTGTTCCCAGCATTTCTGAACTATTTTTAGCTTGGCTTGTCATTTGGTACTAGGTGTTCTTGAGAACTATTAATTATTAAGTTCACTGGAATTCTTTTGTTGTGCCACTGCCGGTGTTGCTATACACACACACACACACACACACACACACAGATCAGTACATAGATTTTTCACTAGAAGCTTTATTGCTCTTGGTCTTTAGCAGGCAAATTAACTTAAAACATGTGATTGTGGCCTTAAAGCAAGGCTTTCCCATAATTTTCATAAGAACATAGGAAGTTGCCTTATACCTAGCCAGACCCTTGTTCCATCTAGCTCAGGACTATCTACACCAGGCATGTCCAGAGTCCGTTTTGGGGGCCCACTGGTCAATTTAATCTGGCCCCTGTGGCAGTATATGTCCTGGGGTAATTCAGTCCTAAAAAAACTCAACAGCTTTGGGGTAAAATTGTAAAAAAAGCTCAACGTGTTCAGTTCATCAAATCTGGCCCTCTTTGAAAAAAGTTTGGGCGCCCCTGGTCTACACTGACTAGCTGCCAGGGTTTCAGATAGGGAATGTTTTTGACCCTACCTGCAGACGCTGGGGATTGAATTGGAACCTTCTGCACACAGATCAGGTGCTGCTATTCCCCCTTCTTCACTAATGCAGTGGTACCTCGGGTTAAGTACTTAATTCGTTCCGGAGGTCCGTACTTAACCTGAAACTGTTCTTAACCTGAAGCACCACTTTGGCTAATGGGGCCTCCTGCTGCTGCCGCACTGCCGGAGCACAATTTCTGTTCTCAATCTGAAGCAAAGTTCTTAACCTGAAGCACTATTTCTGGGTTGGCGGAGTCTGTAACCTGAAGCGTCTGTAACCTGAAGCGTCTGTAACCCGAGGTACCACTGTACAAATATGTATAGCATTGCCTTTTAAGTAGGTGTTCGTTCTCTCTCTCTCTCTCTCTCTCACACACACACACACACACACACGCGCACACCCCAACACACCTTTTGGTCCTTATTAGCATCTTGCATAAACTAAATTGGTTCCTTTCTGGAACGTGTACACTATTACCTTTACATACATTTAATACTCTGCTTCTTTTTTTGTTTCTGGTGTCTTTTCTCACCTTTTCAATAAGGAGAAAGTGGTGAAGCATGACTTTATTACATCAAATAATACTGAACATGCTGGCAATGGCAGCTCTCGACTCTCTAATAACTTCTTCAGGCATGTCCAAGGAATTTCTTTCTTTAAAAAAAATAATCGAATGTATTGCTTAACTTAAAGTCCCAGTTAAAACATGGAGACAGTAATGGCTTGGTCCTTGTAGACAAAAGTTGATGTTGGATAAAATCGACCTGTGCCAATTTTATTTACTTACCTGACAGCAGGCAGTGTTTTTGCTTGCCTGAACTTTGATCTGATTTTACACTTTCTGCCAGGTTGGTTGTTCACAAATGCCACCAAAAACCCAGTCTGAAAAAAACAGGGGTTAGTTTCTTTTGCAGAGCAAACCTCTAACCTTTCTGGTGCTCGACATCTTATTGGTTCCTTGCTGCTTCTGTTTTTTAAGCCCGGGGTGGGGATCCTGCGTCCCTCCAGCTGTTTGCTTGACTCCGAATCCCATCTGCCCCAGCCAGCATGACCAATGATGAAGCAAGATGGGAGTTGCAGTGCAACTGCGTCTGGAGGGTCTACATCCCTCCACTACTCTAGGTAAAACACTGAAGCCCTCTCTCTGGCTGATTATTATTAAACTTGGATGTTAGAGGCAATTTTTTGTTTACCGTATTTTTCGCTCTATAAGATGCACTAGACCATAAGATTCACCTAGTTTTTGGAGGAGGAAAACAAGAAAAAAATATTCTGAATTTCAGAAGCCAGAACAACAAGAGGGATCGCTACGCGGTGAAAGCAGCAATCCCTCTTGCTCTTCTGGCTTCTGGGATAGCTGTGCAGCCTGCATTCGCTCCATAAGACGCACACACATTTCCCCTTACTTTTTAGGAGGGAAAAAGTGAGTCTTATAGAGCAAAAAATTGGCCACTGGGAGCAGCCTTCCTGAGATCCAAGCTGCCTAGAGAGCTTGGGATAGGAAACACTGCACAGTAGCCCTGTGGATCTCTGTGGGAGAAGAGGATTTTGGGTTGGGGAATGAAATCTGGAGTACGAGGAGTGGTAGAGAAGGAATCTTGCTCTCTGGCTCTTGTGTTTTATGTAAAGCAAAACACAGAAAAGGACGCCAAGCCCAAATAGGCCTCTGCTCCAAAGCAGCAGCCTCTGAGCCAAGTATCTGCTGAGGTTAGATGGGCTTTGAACCGGGGAAACTATTAGAGTCTTGATTAGGACTTCCCAGGCTTCCAATATGTCCTTTCTTTGCTTGACATATTTATTGCAGCGCTGTGGTTTTAATAAGATGCTGAACGCCAGCATCCCGAGGATTTTCGTACGCCGGGAATTTTCCTCCCTTGCACGTCCAGCTGTCCTTCCCTTGCGGAGCCGGTAGTGCGGGAAGCCGTAATGCAGACCTGCAAGCTGCTGACCATGTTTCGAGAGAGGCAACGAGGCCAATTTTATAATAAACGGCATGAGATTATCTGTCATTCTGTGCCTGCTGCAGAGCAATATTTAATTGCATTCTGCACGTCTAAGCAGACTTCAAAGGAAGGTTTCACTTTTTAAAAAATCATTCCACCACACCCACTGGTGCTGTAATAACTTGCACACAGCTCCCAGTGAACTTGGCCTATTAAACTTGCTGGATTTGTTATCCCACCCCGGGGTTAGAATAAATAGGCCTCCCGTGCTTCTTAGATGCTCTCCATTTCATAATCCACTTCCTACAAAAGCATGACACTTAATGCAGTGGTAGACCCGTTGACAAATCCCTTTTCCCTTCGGCGGCTGGTGGTGGGTGGGGAGGTAATTTTCAAATTTTACACAGAATCACAACTTTTCCTGCTTTATTTGCCCAGTCTTATTTTCATTGTGTTAGTGGGCGTTTGAATAACGTCTGTGATGTGGAATTAGTGGAGGCAAACAAGGAAACTCAGATTACAACAGGTAGATCATTAACAAGTTGTGTTTTCCTTATGACTTAAAACTTCCTTGTTCCGAGGGAAGCTGTTCTGTGGCATTCATCCCCATAGATGCTTAGTTCTCTAATAAGGAAGTAGATTTGGTGGGCGCCAGCTGCTGGGAATTGGCAGGTGGGGAGAATACCATTGGTCTCAGCTCCTGCTTGTGGGCTTCCCATCACGGTGACTGCATTGAGGGTAGAATGATGGACTAGATGAGTGTTTCGCCTGATCAGTGGTTTTGGTAGTGGTACAATGAGATTCATAGCTGTTTTAAGACCAACATGGATGCTATCTTGTTCCGCCTGTCTTTGTTTGTTTTTTTAAAAAAATTTGAGGCATGGGACATGTTATGTTTTGCAGACCGCATAAGGGAGAAAATATCTGTTGCGCTCAGCTGGCTGTTTTAATCACTGTTTGCACAGTAATTTGAGCCTCTGAGAGGCTGGGAGCCAAATTTGCCGGTCTCTCCCTCTTTTATTCCGGCTGGGAATGCAGGTCACTGGGCAGCGGATGGAATTTTTTTCGGCTGGGTTTTTAAAATTTTTTATTTTTGAGCCAGCACTTTTTGCTTTTCAGTGAAACAACAAAGGAACTCTCTCACCCGCTTAACAGGGTGGCTTTTCCCGTGGTCTTGCCAATAATGCCCCTTTGGGTCTCGTTCCAATTCCTAACAGACTGTGAGACTCTCCAGGCAAGGACCAAACGGTTCCCGGGATCTGTTGCTTCAGACTGCTTTTGCATGCTTGAATGTTGCCCCTGTGGGGGTGGGAGGAATTTTTAAACACATGGAAGACAAGTGTTATTGGGGAGAAGAGCCTTCATTATACACCTTTAGGCGCCAGGCAATAAGTTCCTTTTTAACCAGGTCTTTGGTTGATTTGATTGACATCCTGTGCCCTTTTAAAATGTGTTTTTTTAGGGTGGGGTGGGGTTATTGGGTTGTTGTAGTTTTTATTTTGATTATGTATTTTGTGGTTTTGTATTTTGATTTTATTCTGCGAACCGAACTGAGACCTGCGGCAAATAAAGTAAAATAAAATAAAACTTTCACAACATCTGCTTTTTGAACCAAGTGGAATACAATCAAACCTCAGTTCTCGAACGGCTCTGTTTTGGAACGTTTCAACTCCTGAACGCCGAAAAACCAGAAGTAACTGCTCCAGTTTTCAAACAAATTTCGGCAGCCAAACATGCTACACAGCTTCCATTTTGAATTCCCCTATTGTACTGAGGCTTCCGCTTTCAATTTTCGGTTGTCGAACGTTTCGGAAGTCGAACGGTCTTCCGGAACGGATTACGTTCGACAACAGAGGTTTGACTGTAGTTAGTTATTTGATCTCCCCCCTCACCTGCAGTCTGAAGTGGTACAATCCAGGAATGTTTCACCCTATGGTGAGCAGTCCCTCTGGCTCAGTATTGTCCACATTGACTGGCAGCAGCTCTGCAGTGTTTCAGGAAGGAGTCTTTTTCCAGGCCAGCTAAGGATTGAGCTGGGGACATTTTTCATGCAAAGCAGGTGGTCTTCCACTGAGTATGACTGTTCCAGTATATATATACATCTTTCTCTCTATACGTATGTGTGTACCCCACCAAGCATGTCACATGGAATCCTGAGTGATCCTAACACCACAATATAAAAACAGCATTAAGCAATAAACCATTTACCGTATTTTTCGCTCCATAAGACACACTTTTTTCCTCCTAAAAAGTAAGGGGAAATGTGTGTGCGTCTTATGGAGCGAATGGCGCTGCGCAGCTCTCCCTCTCTGCGTAGCCCCCCTTCAGCGAAGCGGGAAGAGAAACGGAAGGGGCTCCGTTCTCCTCCCACTTCGCTGGAGAGGCGCTGTGCAGAGAGGACCACCTTAACCTCACTGGGTTGTTGTGAGGTTGTTGTGTGATAGCCCTTGTTTAGCCCCCTGAGCAACTTAATAAACAGATAGGAGAACATGATTCTTGTTTTCCCTCTTCAGTCAGTCTTGGATTCCATCACTGCCCAAACCATGTGCCTCTATCTCTCCACATGGCCAGATGATCCCATTTTTTTTTCTGGGGCTTTCTGTGAGAGAATGAAATCCAAGCACTAATGCCTGTTAAAATGCTTCTACTGTTCACTTGCAGAATCAAGCTTTTGAAAAGAGGCTCTACAGAAATAAAAGATTCAGAATATTTTTTTTTTTTGTTTTCCTTCTGTAAAAACTAGCTGCGTCTTATGGTCGGGTACATCTTATAGAGCGAAAATACGGTAAATACAGTGGTACCTCGGGTTAAGTACTTAATTCGTCCTGGAGGTCCATTCTTAACCTGAAACTGTTCTTACACTGAAGCACCACTTTAGCTAATGGGGCCTCCTGCTGCCGCCGCGCTGCTGGAGCCCGATTTCTGTTCTCATCCTGAAGCAAAGTTCTTAACCTGAGGCACTATTTTTGGGTTAGCAGAGTCTGTAACCTGAAGCGTATGTAACTCGAGGTACCACTGTAGTCTTGAATCAAAAGCAGTACAGCTGTGAGTGGAACCAAATGGAAAAACCTGCCCAGCAGATCTTAAAAGCACAAATGCCAGTGTCAGCTGATAGTGTTCTGAGATGCCACTCGCTTCCCTGTGCTGGCACCCAAGTATTGCATGCATGCGCAGCCCGATGGAAGCACAGCCCACTCGTTCCCGTTGCAGAAATGAACTTCCCTGGGATCTACGGATGAAGGGCACTGTGCAAAACAAACAAATAAATCAGTATGCTGGCCATGGGCTGCGTAGCTGGTTCTTCCTGGGGTGGAGGTGAGCTGTTACATTCAGGTCCCACTTACAGGTTCCCCATGGGCTCCATGTGGGGCTTTGTGAGAGCAGAGTGCTGGACCAGAAGTGCCCTTATTAAGAATTACCGTATTTTTCGCTCTATAAGACGCACCAGACCACAAGACGCACCTAGTTTCAGGAGGAGGAAAACAAGAAAAAAAATATTCTGAACCTCAGAAGCCAGAACAGCAAGAGGGATCGCTGCGCAGTGAAAGCAGCAATCCCTCTTGCTGTTCTGGCTTCTGTGATATCTGTGCAGCCTGCATTCGCTCCATAAGACGCACACACATTTCCCCTTACTTTTTAGGAGGGAAAAAGTGAGTCTTATAGAGCAAAAAATACGGTATATGTGCTTTTCAACTAAAAGGATCCGAAACGATTTTTCCTACAGGCATAAACAGCTCTGCAGAGGCCCACCAAGCCCCTGTGCCCTTCATACCAAAAACAAAACTGCCGTTAGATGATGAAAAGCCGTACGCCCAAGAGAAAATATGTGAGCTCTGTACAGCGCGGCTTTCCCATGGCAGAAAGCACTAACCCCAGAAGCCTGGCAATTAATAGCGCTGAGAGCGGCGTGGGCTTTTTCAGTGCAGTGGACTCAAAATCTTCAGCAGGCAATGTGCAAAAAAAGGGTGTTCTCCCTCTCAACCCCCTACATGCACACTTAATGAATTTTGGAAGCAAACCAGCCGTGATCTGAATAAAGAGCAACAAAGCATCATGCTGGTTTTTTAGCTGGCCACAGTTACGTTTCACTTCTGGTTTGCTGCCATCTGCTCTCTTGCTGTGGAGTTAGCACTTTCCTGCTGCTGGTGGAGTGTAAAAATCCAAATTAGTTTCCTCTGGGAGATCTAGCAAGTAGTTCTGAGGCTCTTTGGAAGTGGGAGGTGGGTGGGGGGGATGACATTAGTTGTATAATGCAGGCAGGTCTAGTAATTTGGAGCCGGCTGCTTCTGTCGCTGTAGAAAGTGAATAACCTCATCTTGTTAGCTCTCAACTTCATAGAGGATTTCTATTTCCAGGATAAAGTGTGGGAAGGGAGAAACTGGTGCAAAATGAGAGCAATTTTGTCAGAGTAACTGAAGCTGGAATAGAAGGCGAGTAGTTGCGGGAAGTCAGCCTGTAAAACAGCTCAGAGCTTGTTCAGTAGCTGGCAAGTGGCTAGAAACAGCTCTTCTCTTTCTAAAGGCATCTTCAGATGCCCTGTTTCTGGAGCCCTCGCCCTGATTTGCTTACAAGCCCTAAACAGCCTCGGCCCAGTATACCTGAAGAAGCATCTCCACCCCCATCGTTCAGCCCGGACACTGAGATCCAGTGCCGAAGGCTTTCTGGTGGTTCCCTCATTGCGAGAAGTGAGGTTACAGGGAACCAGACAGAGGGCCTTCTCGGTGGTGGCGCCCGCCCTGTGGAACGCCGTCCCATCAGATGTCAAGGAAATAAGCAGCTATCCTATTTTTAAAAGACATCTGAAGGCAGCCCTGTTTAGGGAAGTTTTTAATGTTTGATGTTTTATCGTGTTTTTAATATTCTGTTGGGAGCCACCCAGAGTGGCTGGGGAAACTCAGCCTGATGGGCAGGGTATAAATAATAAATTATTATTATTATATTATATTATATTACACAAAGCTTAGGCAGGGGTTAGATCAGGGGTCAGCAAACTTTTTCTGCAAGAGGCCAGTCCACTGTCCCTCATACCTTGTAGGGGGCCGGACTATATTTTGAAACTCCCCCCCAACTCCCCCATCCCTTCTCCACAGCAACGGACGAGCCCTGGTAGCTGCTTACCTGTGCCTTGCGAGTGGCAGCGGCTGGTGGCAGAAGGACGATGAGCGGCGCAAAACGGCTGGCTCCGGAGAGGGGCTTCTTAAAATGGCGCTCAGCCAACTACAGCTCCACAAAGCCCAGCCTCCTTCCTCCTCTAGGCAGGGCGGGGAGAAGCCAGGAGGAGGGAGGGAGGAGGCGCCGTCACGGTGTGTGTTGGGGAAATGGCGCAGCCCGAACGATCAGAATCGCCACACCGATCCACGCGGCGATTCCCGGGCCGTCCGCGAGCCAGATTCAAAAGGCATTTGGGCTGGATCCGGCCCCCGGGCCTTAGTTTGCCAACCCATGGGTTAGATCAGGGGTCAGCAAACTTTTTCAGCAGGGGGCTGGTCCACTGTTCCTCAGACCTTGTTGGGGGTCGAACTATTTTTTTTTTGGGGGGGGGGGGAAATGAACGAATTCCTATGCCCCACAAATTCTGATTTGCTTGGGCTTTGCTTACAAGTCCTCCTGTTAACCATTCAGTCACCCCACACTTTTTAATACCTTTCCTCACAACTTTCCTAACTGCAAAAAGTCTTCCTTTCCCCCCCAAAGAGTTATGCTACGCCGACAGAACCCATTTAACCCATTTTAATGGTGCAAACCTAAATTTCTGGTATGCGTTTGAATTCCTTCTGGAAAAGAGTGACTGTCTGCGGGCCCCATAAAAACTGCCTTGTACCTCCTGTTTTCTCATTTAATCTCAAAGGAGCAAAGTAGGTCGTAGCCAGTATAAAAGCTTTTTAGAAATGAAATTAATAATGCTATTACTAGTAATAACAACAATTATAACAAATCTCATTGTAAAAAAAGGCGCCTAGACATTCAGTTGTGGTGACTCTAACCTAGGTTTAAGGTGCTGTTTGATGATTAGCTTAAATATCTGAGTTTCTAACACTGCTTGGAAGGTCTCTCTTTCGCTCTCTCTCTCTCTCCCTCCCTCTCTTTCTCTTGTAGCCCTAAGTTTACAAGGCTTGCAGTCGAATCGTGTGCGCATATGCCTTGAAGGAGGCCCCTCTGAGAGACTTAGGAAGAGAAACAGCTAATCAGCAGGGACAGACTTCTGATTCAAAGAGGGGCAGCTTTGGGTGGTTGGTCTGCAGTAAGCAGTCTTGATTCAGTAAGGGTGGCATTTCCCCCTTTCCTATTTTTGATGGTGTCCCCTTTTGCCAACCCTGGATTTCGTCGTTCCTCCCTAGATGAGCTTAAAAAAGAGGGAGGGAAGCATATTCCTGGGAATGTGAAACTCCAAACAAGGACCCCAGCTTCTTGAATGCGAAACGGTTTTTGTTTGGGTCGAGGAAGTGTCGCGTGGCGTTGTCTTCCTTACGGGCTCCTACATCTTGGTCTATTAATAAGCTGTAGGTCTATACTTAGCCGAGCAGCAAGGGGTGGGTGTACCGCTGCTTCTGCCTGGCAGGGCCTGGTGTTCCTGGCCTACTTCTGTTCAGCAGAGTGTGTTTGATGGTATCGTGCCTGCAGCTTCACAGCCTGCCGTTGTGGGGAGTGAATGGAAAGGTGCATCGCATGCTTTGCTGCACCCAGGGCACTTGAGGTATTAGATCGGATCGCGCCGTCCGTTGTTCTCTTGGTATCGTTCTGTACAAACGTCACACGTCAGACGCTTCAGCTGCCCAGGCAAGTTCAGAATCCGGAATACAGGCTTCCGCACAAAATGTGTAGACGTAACAGGATCGGGATGAGCTGTGCTCATGTAGAAGACGCAGGGCGGTTAGAATAAAGGACTTCTTCGCACCGTGCGTGGCTAAACTGTGGAATTCTCTCCCTCAAGAGGCTTTGATGGCCACCAACTTTGGGTGGCTTCAAAAGACAAATTCATGGAGGATAAAGCAGTTGTTGAGTAGGAGTCACAATGGCCGTGTTCCTCCACACTGTTGCAGGCAGTAAATGCCTCCAGAATGCCAGTCGCTGTGAGTAATCCCAAGTGCGGAGGAGAGTGATCTTGTTCTTGGGTCGTGCTTGTGGGTTTCCCATTGGGGCATCCGTTGTCCACTGTGAAAACAGGATGCTAGATGGGCCATTGGCCTGATCCAGCAGGACTCAATTTTCGTCATTACTTTTAGAAATACGTAAGTTTCTGGTCCTCAGCATGGCAAAAGTGGGAGGAGATCTATATCTGTCAGTCTGCCTCTCTATCTATCAAGTGGGAGGAGATCTGTCTGTCTGTCTGTCTCTGTCTGTCTATCTATCTATCTATCTATCGCATTTTGTTGCCTTCATCAGAGGAGCTCAAAAGTGGCACATCAGCCTCACAACAGCCGCGTGCTTTAGGTCTGGTTGAGAGCCAGTGATTTGCCACAGGTCATCTAGCTAAACTAAGGAGGAACATCAGTCTGGGTTCAAGACCTTTGGCGATAAAGCCCAAGGGAAAGCTGTACTGCTGATACATTCTCTTCCAGTGCTTTGCATTTTTACATTTTTTTAACGAGGGTTTTTATTTGGCTCTATTGTATTTTAAGTTTCCTTTGGTTGAATGTCTTACGATGCATGTCACTATTTAAATTTAAAATAAACACAGACTTTGTTTCATTGTTGAACTGACTCCTGACCGTTGGGAAGGTCAGGACTTTAAATGATGAAATGAACAATGAATGTTAACCTTTTTGCTTATAATAATAATAATAATAATAATAATAATAATAATAATAATTTATTATTTATACCCCGCCCATCTGGCTGGGCTTCCCCGGCCACTCTGGGCGGCTTCCAAAAGAATATTAAAATACTATAATACATCAAACATTAAAAGCTTCCCGAAACAGGGCTGCCTTCAGATGTCTTCTAAAAGCCTGGTAGTTGTTGTTCTCTTTGACATCTGGTGGGAGGGTGTTCCACAGGGAAGGCGCCACTACCGAGAAGGCCCTCTGCCTGGTTCCCTGTAACTTGGCTTCTCGCAGTGAGGGAACCGCCAGAAGGCCCTCAGTGCTGGACCTCAGTGTCCGGGTAGAACGATGGGGGTGGAGACGCTCCTTCAGATATACTGGACCAAGGCCATTTAGGGCTTTAAAGGTCAGCACCAACACTTTGAATTGTGCTCGGAAACGTACTGGGAGCCAATGTAGGTCTTTCAAGACCGGTGTTATGTGGTCTCTGCGGCCGCTCCCAGTCACCAGTCTAGCTGCCGCGTTCTGGATTAGTTGTAGTTTCCGGGTCACCTTCAAAGGTAGCCCCACGTAGAGCGCATTGCAGTAATCCAAGCGGGAGATAACCAGAGCTTCTGAATTTGCATAACAGGATCTTGTCCAAGAATGTTTTTATTCCAGGTTCTGAAATACCCTGATGGGAGGGACTTGGTGGTGAGAGCTTGTAGAGCCATGGGGCAGGAATGGGAATAGGGAGCACGCTGCTACTGTGGCTCCAGTCCTCACTATGGGACCGAGTCCAGAGGGTAGCATTGGGAAAGTGCTTTTTGGCCCCCTGGTAGTTATGCTATTTTATTTTATCCTCAGTGCTATTTAGTCATAGAACTGTAGTTAAAAAAGACCGTGAGGGTCACCCAGTCCAACCCACTGCAATGCAGGAATCTTTTGCCCAACATGGGGTTTGAACCCACGACCCAGAGATTAAGAATCTCAGACTCGACCAACTGAGATATCCCAACTTCACAAGGTAGTATGTATATGAAATTGTTGGGAGAGGTCATAAGGATTTTGGGGGCAAGGTGCTTTAGGTGCGCTGATACCTGCTGGCTGGATTTCTCCATAACATCTAAATTGGGAGAAGCCGTGTAAGCCCTGGGCTTGTACCCTTTATGGCCTCCTACTTGCTCTACTGGCCACCACTGGCCAGGGTCCTTGAAAAATGGAAGTGCCCTGAGCAGCCTCTGAAAGGGGCTGGTGATGTCAGAACCTGGACTCCCTCCAGGCAAATCACACACTGTACTCAAGGTTTCGGGGTGAGCTCCCATTGCTCTGTCCCAGCTCCTGTCAACCTAGTAGTTTGAAAGCACACCAGAGCAAGTAGATAAATAGGTACCTCTCCGGTAGGAAGGTAAACGGCATTTCTGTGCGTTCTGGTTTCCATCACGGTGTTCTATTGCACCAGAAGCGGTTTAGTCCTGCTGGCCACATGACCCAGAAAGCTGTCTGTGGACAAACGCCGGCTCCCTTGGCCTGAAAGCGAGATGAGCGCCGCAACCCCATAGTCACCTTTGCCTGGACTTAACCATCTAGGTGTCCTTTACCATTACCTTTTTACTCAAGGTTTGTTCTTGACTTGCTGCTTGGATTTTTGTCTGGGGGAGACAATCTGTGTAAACGGCAAAGAGCCTCCCTCCCCTCTGAAACTTGAGGAAGGGGAAGAAAACCTCACGTTTCCCTGAATCACGGGAAGGCTATTGTTCTAGGGCTGCCCCTGTAGGGTCGTGGGATAAGCTGGCAGGACTGGGAAGGGCTATTGCCATGCTTTGCATATGGACCGTCCTGGGTACCATCTCAAGCATCTCCAGTCAGAAGGCTCTGATCACAGGTGACCAGGGGGAGGGGACCTCTGCCTGAGACCCTGAAGAGGTGTTTCTAGATGAACCGATCATGTGAGTTGCTTGAATAACACTGAATTAGCCGAAACAATGGCATTTGGGGCATTTCTGTTGTGTGCAGTGATTTTGCCCATACACTGGGTGTAGTAGTAGTAGTAGTAGGATGATGATGATGATGAGGAGGAGGAGGAGTCCATCTGACTGGGTTGCCCCAGCCATACATTGCATATTTTGCAGTGGTGTTTTGTGACTGTCCTTGAGCTTTCTTTGTTGAGGGGAGCTATAAATATCCAGGAGACGAGAGGTTGTGGCTGCTCTTGCCTACCGTAGCTTTTGGAAATTCATTGCCCTCTCTTTCCACTTTGAGCTGTCATTCCCAACACCCTCCAGAGGGAAGAGGCCTGTGATGTTCTGGGCGGCAGTGCTTTTAATACATCTGGTTGATTGTGTCCTCTGGTAATTTTTATGATGTGTCCTTTTTATAAAGATGGAATGTTTGCTGCCTGCTAATTGCTTGCTGCCCTCTAACCTCCCCTTCCTTTTCCTTTTCAGAAATGCCCTTCAAAGGATTGTGCCGAACACCGAGGGTGCTGTGATGTCAGAAACTGCGCAGAGGGGCTTCTCCCTGAAGGTACTGCTCTCAATTTGCCCCAGTGAGGTGCCTATGTGCAGCTCGTATATGTATTTGTTTTTGGCATTTTGGGGGTGCTGTGCTGAAAATCTCTTCCTATCTATACAGTTTGGGTGCTGATTTTTTAAAATTTTTTTAATGGGTGAGGAAGGGATCTTTCATTGTAGCAAGAGACTGCTTGGGAGCTTCCTTCTGTTTTGCACTTTTCATGTTCCAGTCAAGAGGTATACCCAGATCCAGTACTTTTTTATATTGATTGATTGATTGATTGATTGATTGATTGATTGAATTTATAAACCAGCCTATACCTGGAGGTCTTAGGGCGGTTCACAGAACAAAAGCAACAACCCAATAACCTCGCCCCGCAACAACCCCACATTTTAAAAGGGCATAGGATGTCAATCAAATCAACCGAAGGCCTGGTTAAAAAGGAACATATTTGCATGGTGCCTAAAGGTGTATAATGAAGGCGCCAGGCGAACTTCGCTTGGCAGAGCATTGCACAGACGGGGAGCCACTGCAGAGAAGGCACCTTGTGTACATCCTCGAGCCTTACCAACTAAAACTCATCCAACACAACAGGACTAGACTTTGCTCTGGACAAAAGGCCCTGTACAACCTGGAAAAGCTCTGCTGGATGACATAATGAGGATGCAGTGGAGGCAGCAATATATGCCTTCTTTGCTGCCTTTATTACCACCAGGTAGGCTCGATAATGAGCCCTTACCAGTGTTTGGTTGCATTCATTCGGATCTCTCCACCACTTGCGTTCAAGCCGTCTTCCAGCTCGTTTCCTCGCCCTAAGCTCTGGAGTATACCATGGGGCCAAATGGGCTCCTTGAAGTGGGAGAGGACACTCAGGGGCGATTGTGTTAATAGCCTGAGCTGTTTGGGTGTTCCAGAGGTCAGCCAGGGCTTCAACAAGGGCTCCAGTCATATCAGCCGGAACACACACACCCCGAGCCATTTGGAATCCCACTGGATCCACCAGCCTCTGAGGGCGGATCTTCCTAATAGGCCCCCTGCCTCTGCGGAGGGGAGGAGTTGTTGACGGCCTAAATCTCAACAGGAAGTGATCTGGCCATGACAAGGGACTGATGTCAATGTCTCCCACTTTCAAATTAACCTCTGCCCAGTTGAGTAAACAAGGTTCAGAGTGTGGCCTGCCAGTGACATGTTGGGCCAGTGACATGTTGGGCCAGCCCCATAGTTGTCATGGCGGCCATGAAGTCCTGAGCCACCCCAGAGCCAGCTGCCTTGACATGGATGTTGAACTCTCCCAGAACCAGCAGTCTGGGAGTCCTCAACACCGCCTCCGAGACCAGCCCTGCCAGCTCAGGCAGGGAGACTGCTGGGCGGTGGGTGGTAAACCAGCAGAATCCCTGATCTGTCCCGATTGCCCAGTGCCAGGAACACACACTCTAGATTACCCCCCAATTGGACAGAGAGCCTGGCGATAGAGAGAGAATCTCTATAGACTCCCCCTCCCCAACCCTCGAGTCTGGCCGGATGCTACAGTGAGTACCCAGGTGGGTACAGCTGGGTGAGACCAACTCCACCCTGATCACCCATCCAGGCTTCAGTGAGACATGCCAGATCAGCCTCTTCACCCATAATCAGATCCTGGATGCGGGAGATTGTTTCCTGGGCTGACCTGGCATTCTACAGCAGCAGTTGCAGACCCAAGGGCTGGATGATATGACAGCCACAATTCCCCAGGTTGGGGGAGGGACTGGCACACGGCACAGTCACTAACTGCCTGTGCTGTGTACCCCTTACCCGGCCTGCCCCTCCTCCCACGCCATACCTCCCCCTACCCAGAACCACTGAAATTGGGCCTCCCCCTGCTCTCCACCGCGCCTCTCCTTCCAGGAATATCCCACAAAATGCCCTTAAAACCCAGTTAAAAACAGTTAAAACACTAAAAAGACCAATTTAAAAGGATATAAAAATCAAATTAAAAGCAATTTAAAAGAAAAAGCCCTCTCTGCTCAGCAGCAGCAGCAGCAGCTCTTAGGAAACCTTTGAGGCCCTGGTGGTGGAGGCAGGAGAGTGCCTCCACCACCAAGTGGAGAGAGGCAGGAGCAGGGCCCTCAGGCTCTCATTTATTTATGACTTTTTACTTCCAAGGTGATGTATGTGGTTCTCCTCCTCTCTTTCATCCTTACAACAACCCTGTGAGGTAGGTTAGACTAAGAGATGGTGACTGGCCCAAGGTCACCCAGTGAGCTTCATGGCTAAGTGCAGATTCGAACCCTTCTCTCCCAGGTCCATGGTCCAACACTCTGAAACATTAGGCCACACTGGCTTTCATGCAGAAGGTAGCTGGACACAAGCAAATATTACAAGTTCAAAAAGGCAAATACTTTCTAGGACGGAACAGTAAGATGCATGTCCCCAGTTTTAATTCAGGAGAAAATTGGACCTTGGGTGTCTGAAATCTGGGGGAACTCCTGTTGTTGTTATTGTTGTTGTTTAGTCGTTTAGTTGTGTCTGACTCTTTGTGACCCCATGGACCAGAGCACGCCAGGCACTCCTGTCTTCCACTGCCTCCCACAGTTTGGTCAAACTGTACTCAGTGCAGTTGGGGAAACTGTACTCGGTTCTTATTGTCTGCATTGGGATCTTAATTAGTAGAACTTGGGAGAAGCTGATGTCCAAGAGACAAAGAAATTGCTGGTGAAACTCACATCTGCTTGCACATCTGCTACCACTGCTAGGTGAGCAAAAAGAGACAGTCTTCAAGCCATCCATTCAAGCTGCTTCATTTGGAGAGGTCACATGAGAAGCTTGTTGTGTAAGCTGTTGAATCTGCCTTACGTTGGTGGGGTGAGTCCTGGGTAGATCTGAGAGCTGGCTGGCTGAGCTTTGTAGTTTGCAATCAGCTCAGACTTCTGTTAACCACTTCTGTAGTTGCCTAAGGTGAGCAAGACTCTCCTCCAGGTGACCAGATGGAGCTTTGTAAAACTGGAAGTGCATTGGGGTTTGTGGTGTTGGTGTCATGTTGTTGTTGGACCTTCGATGTTCTACAAAGTTTCGTTGGCAGCTGGGCAAGTAAGTTTTGTGGATCTGTTTGCAAGGTTAGCTCAGTTTCTTAAGTTGCGTGATGGAGTGTCTTGGCTCAGCCCTACTCAGATCTGTGACTCAGAAGTCATGCCCTAAAATCCCAGGTGTGTAAGAGATGTCTACAGTTCCTCAGTCATGAGGAGAAGGCATACTTGGTTCATACAGAATTCTAGGTCTTGTTTCCAAAGTTTTTGGGGTACAGTTCCCATCATCCCTTACCACTGGTCCTGCGAGCTAGAGATAATAGAAGTTGTAGTCCAAAAGCAGCTGGAGACCCAATTTTGGGAAACCCTGGTCTAGATTCACGCTCTGTGATTCTGTGAGCTGCTCCCAAAAGCAAGTGAGAGAGAGTATCTGGAAAGTAAGGTAAAGGATCCCTGGACAGTTAAGTCCAGTCAAAGGCAACTATGGGGTTGCGGTGCTCATCTCGCTTCAGGTCGAAGGAGCCAGCATTTGTCCACAGACAGCTTTCCAGGTCATGTGGCCAGCAGGACTAAACTGCTTTTGGCACAATGGAATACTGTGATGGAAGCCAGACCGCACGGAAATGCTGTATACCTTCCTGCTGCAGCAGTACCTATTTATCTACTTGCACTAGTGTACTTTCCAACTGCTAGGTTGGCAGGAGCTGGGACAGAGCAATGGGAGCTCACTCCCATCGCGGGGAGTCAAACTGCCGACCTTTCCGATCGGCAAGCCCAAGAGGCTCAGTGGCTTAGACCACAGCGCCACCCATGTCCCTAAATCTAGAAAGTAAACCTGGATTTAAATGGCAGGTAGACCTTGGGTCAACCAATATTCTGGCCCCTCATCTTGGATCCATAAAGCTTTCTATGTTCTTGTCTTCACGTCTACACGAATGACACCAGCAATTTTTATTTGCAGCTGTGCAGAATTACATAGTGCTCTCTCTTTCCCTGACTCCCCCTCTGACATCCCATGTCTTTCTCACCTATCTTCACTCACACATACACACATAGAGTCTGGAGGGTCTATAAAAGTAGACAGGACCCTACAAGTTCCCCAGTTGGGCTTTACCTGGAGATGCTGATGTTTGAACCTGCGGCCTTCTGTGTGCAAAGCTTGGGCGTTCTCTGCCACAGGAGGCATTTCTGCACAGGAGGCATTTTAATTCCCCAGCCCGCCACCGTGCAACAGGTTGCTTTCTGTCTGGACAGGCCTTGCCCAAGAAAAGGCCTGCAGTTGGGTATAAGGAGGGGGTTCTGAACCCATCTGTGCCTCACTCAGGCAGGAGCCGGCTCTGCTGCCTGAAGCTGCTGTGGTTCCAGAACACGGGGTTCTCCGCAGCCCCCATCATTCCCATGGTAACAGGCTGATGTCACATCTGGTGAAGGACGTGGTTTCAATGGCTGGATGACGCAGGGCTCACACGTGGCTCAGGTGGAGGAGCAGATGGACTTTTTGCCGGGCTGAGAGTCCCCTGAGAAGGGCGGGAGGCAAGCAGGGCCATTTCCTGCACTGAGGACTGAAATTGGGCTTGCAAAGAGGAGACGGTGAATGTGTGAATCGGCTGCGTTTGCTTTCCTGCCTGTTGCTGACCGACCTGGTAGAGAGGATGGCATGGTGCAGGTAAAGCCTTTGAAAACAAGCCTTTATTCTGTGCTGGGCATGGGTGGAGAGGAGAGGACCTTTTCTTTGTCATCTCCCAAGTTTCTGTTTGCTTGGGGGTGGGGGGGACTTTCCAATGTCATCTTGTTTTAATTCTGTTCCAATTGCCTCATTTGTTCTCTGAGCCACTCTCTTCCCCGCCCTGCCTCCTCCATTCTCTCCCCCTCTCCTTTTATACTTATTAGGAAAGGGAACTCTCCCCTGCCCTCTTTGTGTGATGGTCACATTTTCCTATATCCTATGAGCAGATTCCAAGATTGCAGAGTGGGCTCCCCACCCATTTGATTTGGCGGCAGCCTTTCGCTCCCATGAAAGCAGGGGCCGATTGTTCCGATTCCCTGTGTATATGTGCTTTGGCAAGGCTTGAAGGCACTTCCAATCACGGCTGCCCATTGTTGGCTTGCAGAAGTGGCCGCAAATGAAAAGGGTGCAGCCCCAGGGCAGTAAAGATTATGGGATTGTTCTCCTCCCTGCCCTGCCTCCCTTGTCCTACTACTACTTATTTCCATGACATACAACTTTCCCTTCAGCAACTTCCCTGCTGGGACTTCAGTCCAAAGACCACTGCTTGGTGGACAGGAATCTTTGCATCTCTCTCTGCCCCCCCCCCCAATTTTTTTTACTTTGCTCTCTTTCTTTTGTGACCACGTTGGGGGATTTCACAGGTGCTGCCCTTGGCCTCATTCCTACGTTTTGGAAGTTTTTAATGCCAATACTGCTTCTTGGTTTAAAAATAACAGCAGATATCAAGGAATTGAAATAGCGCACAGCTGGGTCCCATTTTCACACAGCACATTGTTGAAACAAGGGGTCTCGCTCCTACGGGAGATAGTGATGCAGCTACCAACTTGGATGGCTTTAAAGAGGGATTAGACTAATTGTTGTTGTTTAGTCGTGTCCGACTCTTCGTGACCCCATGGACCACAGCACACCAGGCAAATTAACGGAGGATAAATTGGTAGAGCATAAGACTCTTAGTCACAGGGTTGTGGGTTCAAGTCCCAGGTTGGGCCAAAGGTTCCTTCATTTCAGGGGGTTGGACTAGATGATCCTCGTGGGTCCTTCCAACTCTATACCGTTCTTGATCCTGCAAAGTGCTTATGTTAAATTCACTGGAGTTGTTGAACTCAGACTAGAATACTGGTCTGAGTTTAGAGCAGGGGTCAGCATCCTTTTTCAGCAGGGGGCCGGTCCACCGTCCCTCAGAGCATGTGGTGGGCAGACTATATTTTTTTTTGGGGGGGGGGAATGAACGAATTCCTAGGCCCTATAAATAACCCAGAGATGCATTTTAAATAAAAGCACACATTCTACTCATGTAAAAACACCAGGCAGGCCCCACAAACAACCCAGAGATGCATTTTAAATAAAAAGACACATTCTATTCATGGAAAAACACGCTGATTCCCGGACCGTCTGCAGGCTGGATTGAGAAGGCGATTGGGCTACATCTGGCCCACGGGCCTTAGGTTGCCTACCCCTGGTTTAGAGCATGTACTGTACCAGTGAGTATGTGGCCCTTAAGAGCTTGCTAAAAAGCTCCAGAGCTGGATGGGCAGCTGAACAAGATCCCTGGCATTTGGGCTTCCCTTTTTCGTGATGCAAAACCTCTATTTTAGAGCAAAGTCTAACCAGTCCTAGCTGGATCGAGCAGTCTGCTTGTTTTCTGGGATTCCTTTGTTTTGTTTTTTTTAAATGATATTTATTAAAGTTTCCGATAAAAAAAAGACACATCAGTAAAAAAGAATTAAAAGTAAAAAGAAAAATACACAATACAAAAATACACAATACAAAAAACAAACAAAAAAAAAACAACAAAAGAAAAAACAGTTAAAAACAATACCACCTTTTCATCACCACTTTTGAATTTACTTATTTTCTGGACCTCCTCATACCTCCCTCTTTTGTATTCCAGTTCAATTTGTTTGTCCAGCAATTTCTTTCCCTCTTTTTAATCCCAATCCTTAATCTTAATATGGTATAACATTCAATTCTTATCTATTAATAGCCAGTTTTCCGTTCTTTTAACCTTTTATGCCTAATCCTTAATCTTAGTCTATATATAACTTTAACGCCTGTGCAGCTAGAAACCACTTAATTTCAATCCATCATCACTCTAACATTCTTTAATTTTGCAATGTTTCTGTAGATAATCTTTAAATTTCTTCCAATCTTCTTCCACCGACTCTTCTCCCTGGTCACGGATTCTACCAGTCATTTCCGCCAGTTCCATATAGTCCATCAGTTTCATCTGCCATTCCTCCAGTGTGGGTAGCTCTTGTGTCTTCCAATACTTTGCGATGAGTATTCTTGCTGCTGTTGTTGCATACATAAAGAAAGTTCTATCCTTTTTTAACACCGATTGGCCGACTATGCCCAGGAGAAAGGCCTCTGGTTTCTTCAAGAAGGTATATTTAAATACCTTTTTTAATTCATTATATATCATTTCCCAGAAAGCCTTAATCTTTGGGCACGTCCACCAAAGGTGAAAAAATGTACCTTCAGTTTCTTTACATTTCCAACATTTATTATCGGGCAAATGGTAGATTTTTGCAAGCTTGACTGGGGTTATGTACCACCTGTATATCATTTTCATAATATTCTCTCTTAAGGCATTACATGCCGTAAATTTCATACCTGTGGTCCACAACTGCTCCCAGTCAGCAAACATAATATTATGTCCAACGTCTTGTGCCCATTTAATCATAACAGATTTCACCGTTTCATCCTGAGTGTTCCATTTCAACAGTAAGTTATACGTCTTTGACAAATTCTTAGTTTTGGGTTCTAACAGTTCAGTTTCTAATTTTGATTTTTCCACCTGGAAGCCAATTTTCTTGTTTTCTGGGATTCCTTTGAATGAAATGTACTTCATTTAAAAAGGAAAACAAAAGGAAAGCTGAGTCATGATTTGTGAACATGGTGTTACGTGATGAATGATCTTTGCAGTCCTGTCAACAAAAACTATGTAATTACTAAGAAAAAGGGCTCCAGGTTCAGCAGTAGATCACCTGTGAGATTGCAAAGAGTTTGCAGGATGTTTACCTTGAGGTTTGTGTGTTATTCCTCCTTTCTTCCTTGTTCCTGGTCTGGTGCCGTGAACCGATATTCTAGTGGTTTGATTCTCTGCGTTTTGGGATGGGACGGCGTGTTATAAGGAATCTTTTAAACCCCAGACTTTAAAGGCAGTTATTTCCAGACTTAACGAGAGGCTTTCATACTCTCAAACGCAGTTTGTGCTGTACTCTGTGTGTATGTGTATGTGAGATTACTTCATTTCAGGGGGTTGGACTAGATGGCTTTTGGGAGTCCCTACTCCTGTCCCTTCCCCTTCATGGATCACTGCCTTGCCGTGGCGAAGGGGCTTGAATAACTCAGAGAAGCTATGAGCTATGCCGTGCAGGGCCACCCAAGATGGACAGGTCATAGTGGAGAGTTTTGACCAAACGTGATCCACCTGGAGCAGGAACCGGCAAGCCACTCCAGTATCCCTGCCAAGAAAACTCCATGGACAAAGACAACAGGCATATAAAAGTTATGGCGCTGGAAGATGAGCCCCTCAGGTCGGAAGGCATCCAACATGCTACTGAGGAAGAGCGGAGGGCAGGTACAAGTAGATTCAGAGCTGATGAAGCAGCTGGGCCAAAGCCGAAAGGACGCTCAGTTGCGGATATGCCTGGAAGTGAAAGGAAAGTCCAATGCTGTAAAGAAAAATATTGCATAGGAACCTAGAATGTAAGAACCATGAACCTGGGTAAGTTGGATGTCGTCAAAAGTGAGATGGCAATAATAAATATTGACATCCTGGGCATCAGTGAACTAAAATGGACGGGAATGGGCGAATTCAGTTCGGATGACCATCACATCTACTACTGTGGGCAAGAATCCCATAAAAGAAATGGAGTGGCCCTCATAGTCAACAAAAGAATGTCAAAAGCTGTACAGTGGTGCCCCGCAAGACGAATGCCTCGCAAGACAAAAAACTCGCTAGACGAAAGGGTTTTGCGTTTTTTGAGCTGCTTCGCAAGACGAATTTCCCTATGGGCTTGCTTCGCAAGACGAAAAACGAAAACGTCTTGCAAGTTTGTTTCCTTTTCTTAACACAGTTAATACAGTTGCAACGTGACGTCGAGGAGCAACTCATAGAACGCGGTGTGGTAGCCTTTTTTGAGGTTTTTGAAGACTTTGGTGATTTTTGAAGCTTTTCCAAAACTTCTTTTAAACTTTTAAAACTTTTTTAGGGGGGTTTGGATTGGGGTGTTTGGAATTCAAGGACTTGGTGTTGGGGAGGGGTTTGCAAGAATCTGGAAGCTTGTGTGGTTTTTTTCTGCATTTTTATGATTTTCTGTGACCATTGGGCCACTCTGCTGTTTTTTTAAAAAAAATCTGGATTTGAATTTCTGTGTGGTGGGTGGCTGGGGGAACAGTTGAGGAGGGGTTTGCAAGAATCTGGAAGCTTGTGTGGTTTTTTCCTGCATTTTTATGATTTTCTGTGACCATTGGGCCACTCTGCTTTTTTAAAAAAAAATTCTGGATTTGAATTTCTGTGTGGTGGGTGGCTGGGGGAACAGTTGAGGAGGGGATTCTTCAGCAAGAAGCAAAGAGTGGAAGAGGAACCTTCTTCGAGTTGTCCCCCAGAGTCTTAGAAAATGTACTGTACACTTTGTTGATTTTTAAATGTTTTTCTGTCATGTTTAGAAACTTAATTTATTGTTCCTTCAATTTTTGAAATGCTCTTTACAGTATGTGTGACTTTAAAGAGCACTTAATAAACTCTTGTTGTAACAAATTTGGCTTTGTTTGGACTTTTTTTGACCATAGGAACGCATTAATTGAATTTCAATGCATTCCTATGGGATTTCGTGCTTCGCAAGACGAAAAATTCGCTAGACGAATTAATTTCGTCTTGCGAGGCACCACTGTACTGGGATGCAATCTCGAAAATGATAGAATGATCTCGATACGAATCCAAGGCAGACCTTTTAACATCACAGTAATCCAAGTTTATGCACCAACTACTGGTGCTGAAGAAACTGAAATTGTCCAATTCTATGAAGACTTACAACACCTTATAGAAATGACACCAAAGAAGGATGTTCTTCTCATTATAGGGGATTGGAATGCTAAAGTAGGAGTCAAGAGATAAAAGGAACAACTGGCAAGTTTGGCCTTGGAGTTCAAAACGAAGCAGGGCAAAGGCTAGTAGAGTTCTGCCAAGAGAACAAGCTGGTCATCACAAACACTCTTTTCCAACAACACAAGAGACAACTCTACACATGGACATCACCAGATGGGCAACATCGAAATCAGATTGATTATATTCTCTGCAGCCAAAGATGGAGAAGCTCTATACAGTCAGCAAAAACAAGACCTGGAGCTGACTGTGGCTCAGATCATCATCTTCTTATAGCAAAATTCAAGCTTAAACTGAAGAAAGTAGGAAAAACTACTGGGCCGGTAAGATACAATTTAAGTCAAATCCCTTATGAATACACAGTGGAAGTGAGGAACAGGTTTAAGGATTTAGATTTGGTGGACAGAGTGCCTGAAGAACTATGGATGGAGGCTTGTAACATTATACTGGAGGCAGCAACTAAAACTATCCCAATGAAAAGGAAATGCAAGAAAGCAAAATGGCTGTCCAACGAGGCCTTACAAATAGCGGGGGAGAGAAGGCAAGCAAAATGCGAGGGAGATAGTGAAAGATACAGGAAATTGAATGCAGATTTCCAAAGAATAGCAAGGAGAGACAAGAAGGCCTTCTTAAACCAGCAATGCAAAGAAATAGAGGAAAACAATAGAATGGGAAAAACCAGAGATCTGTTCAAGAAAATTGGAGACGTGAAAGGAGCATTTCGTACAAAAATTTCCATAATAAAAGACAAAAATGGAAAGGACCTAACAGAAGCAGAAGACATCAAGAAGAGGTGGCAAGAATACACAGAGGAACTATACCAGAAAGAAATGGATGTCTCGTACACCCCAGGTAGTGTGGTTGCTGACCTTGAGCCAGACATCCTGGAGAGTGAAGTCAAATGGGCCTTAGAAAGCACTGGTAATAACAAGGCCAGTGGAAGTGATGGTATTCCAGCTGAACTATTTAAAATTGTAAAAGATGATGCTGTTAAGGTGCTACACTCAATATGCCAGCAAATTTGGAAAACTCAGCAGTGGCCAGAGGATTGGAGAAGATCAGTCTACATCCCAATCCCAAAGAAGGGAAGTGCCAAAGAATGCTCTAACTACCGCACAATTGCACTCATTTCACACGCTAGCAAGGTTATGCTTAAAATTCTACAAGGCAGGCTTAAGCAGTATGTGGACCGAGAACTCCCAGAAGTGCAAGCTGGATTTCGAAGGGGCAGAGGAACCAGAGACCAAATTGCAAACATGCGCTGGATTATGGAGAAAGCTAGAGAGTTTCAGAAAGACATCTACTTCTGCTTCATTGACTATGCAAAAGCCTTTGACTGTGTCGACCACAGCAAACTATGGCAAGTTCTTAAAGAAATGGGAGTGCCTGATCACCTCATCTGTCTCCTGAGAAATCTCTATGTAGGACAAGAAGCTACAGTTAGAACTGGATATGGAACAACTGATTGGCTCAAAATTGGGAAAGGAGTACGGCAAGGCTGTATATTGTCTCCCTGCTTATTTAACTTATATGCAGAATTCGTCATGCGAAAGGCTGGGCTGGATGAATCCCAGGCCAGAATTAAGATTGCCGGAAGAAAGATCAACAACCTCAGATATGCAGATGACACAACCTTGATGGCAGAAAGTGAGGAGGAATTAAAGAACCTTTTAATGAGGGTGAAAGAGGAGAGCGCAAAATATGGTCTGAAGCTCAACATCAAAAAACGAAGATCATGGCCACTGGGCCCATCACCTCCTGGCAAATAGAAGGGGAAGAAATGGAGGCAGTGAGAGATTTTACTTTCTTGGGCTCCATGATCACTGCAGATGGTGACAGCAGTCACGAAATTAAAAAACGCCTGCTCCTTGGGAGAAAGGCGATTGCAAACCTAGACAGCATCTTAAAAAGCAGAGACATCACCTTACCAACAAAGGTTCGTATAGTTAAAGCCATGGTTTTCCCAGTAGTGATGTAAGGAAGTGAGAGCTGGACCATCAAGAAGGCTGATCGCCAAAGAATGGATGCTTTTGAATTATGGTGCTGGAGGAGACTCTGGAGAGTCCCATGGACTGCAAGAAGATCAAACCTATCCATTCTTAAGGAAATCAGCCCTGAGTGCTCCCTGGAAGGACAGATTGTGAAGCTGAGGCTCCAATGCTTTGGCCACCTCATGAGAAAAGAAGACTCCCTGGAAAAGACCCTGATGTTGGGAAAGATGGAGGGCACAAGAAGAAGGGGACGACAGAGGACGAGATGTTTGGACAGCGTTCTCGAAGCTACCAGCATGAGTCTGACCAAACTGCGGGAGGCAGTGGAAGACAGGAGTGCCTGGCGTGCTCTGGTCCATGGGGTCACGAAGAGTCGGACACGACTAAACGACGAAACAACAACAACTCCTGTCCCTTGCTAATTCTGTGCCTCTGTGGCTAAACGTATTCTGGGGCAGAGTAAAGTCCACTTAGCTCCTTCCCCAGGTCCTGCAGATGCTGTACTGCCTAGAGCTAAGCCATGGCTTGACATAGCACTGTGTCCCAAGCTGGGATCATGGTCTGTCTCCCGCTACAGCTCGTGGTTTGTTTGGACTGGAGCAGGAGAAACCACAGCCCTGGGTTTGCATGCAATGCTAAGCCCAAACCATGGCTTAGCTGAGGGCAGCTGAGCAGCAGCAGAATCAAGCGAGGGTCAAAGCAGCCAGGATTTTTCCTTTGAGTACTAACCTGCTCATTCATTCACACTTAGCCATGTGCTTCCATGTGAAGCAGGTCATTGTATGAAACGGATTTAGTGATTTTTACCGTGTTTTAAGAACCTTGCTTATACACCACTATTGAACATGGGGAAGAAGTTTTAAATCAATGTCCAGTCTGGTGTTGGACTACAACTCCCATCAGCCCCAGTGAGTGTGGTCAGTAATCAGGGATGATGGCAGTTGTAGTCTGACAGCACATTGGCTACTGCACTATACTAGAGCAAGTCTGTGTCTACACACACAAACACATACTGAATCTTTCCCGGGATCCACAGCTGGTTCTTGGTTTCTCTGCAGTTAAAAAGAAACAGTTCTTTTAAAAGTGGAGTGCCTGTGTCTTGCATTTTAAAGACAACAATCCTGAACGGGGCAATTTTTTGTAGGCATTATTTTCTGTGTGTGTGTGTGTGTGTGTGTGTGTGTTCGCGTGTTTGCAGCACAACTCCTCTCACAGCCATGGGCTTTTTGCTGGTGGTCCAGCACATCGTTTCATTCCTCTGTGGACTTTCCCCCCTCCATTCTTCAGGGTGTGAGGCTCTTCCAGCGACTTTCCAGATACTTGTCAGTGTGAGCTGGGAGGGTGTGTGTTTTAGTAGCGGTGATGAAAACAGCAACCCCCAGCTGGAAAACTGTCAGCTCTCCAGTATCGGTGCTGTAAAACAATGCTGGGATCACCCAGAATGGAAAAAGCAAGCGGCTTGGATTTCTACACACACACACACACACACACACACACACTCCTTGGAAGAAGTGATTTGCACAAAGTCTTGCAGAATGTTTATTAGGGGCAGTGAAGACACTTGGAGGTTTCTCTGTGCCTCTTCCTCTCTCTCCAGCAAAGCGGCTCGGCCGGTCCCACCTGGGAATCATAGAATTGTAGCATTGGGAGGGACCCTGAGGAAGATGCAGCTGTCCCATACAGGGATCAGACCTGCAGCCTTGATGTTAGTAGCACCATGCTCCAACCAACTGAGCTATCTGGAATCTCCCACAGCTGTGGGGAACATACGACCCTCTGGATGCTGTCAAGACTCCCAGCCAGTATGGCCAGTGGTCCTGGGGATGATGGGAGTTGTAGTCCAACAACCTCTGGAGGGTCCGTGGTTCCCCATGCCTGGTGCACGACAAAAGGAAGAGGCTGTGTGTGTACAACAAACGCACATGACACTCAAATGGAAGTGGCCCCTTGCTGCAATGAGTGAGTGTGAGAGAAGGATACCACAGTGATTTATTGCTTTTTCCTTTTTAGAGGTGGGGGTTAAACTAGGGTTACCCGACGTTCCTGGGGAACAGTCTCCAGATTTGCAAATCTGTCCCTGGACAAATTCCGTCTCTGGAATGCCCCCAGATTTACAAATCTGTCCTGGGAAACGTGGCAGCGGCAGCCTCAGCAGCTCGGAGCCAGTCTGGTAGCGCAGTTGGCTCTGGCTAGTTTCAGGAGCTGCTTGCTGCTGTGGCACCCGCCATTTTTCCACGCCGGAAGTCCCCATTTGATGTGTTGCGCACAAGACACATCATATGGGGACTTCCAGGAGGCAAACTGGCAGGTGCCATGGCAGCAAGCAGCAAGCAGCTCCTGAAGCCAGCCAGAGCCAACTGCGCTACCAGGCTGGCTCCGGGCTGCTGACTGCCGCTGCCACTGCTGAAGGGGAACTGGGGATGTCTGGTGGTACAGATCTCCTGCCCCCTTCCCCCTTTGTTTTGACTGATCGGGAGAGGCTTGGGAGTTGTGGGCAGGCTGCCGTTGCCCAGTTTTTTTAAAAACCTCTGCGCATTTATGTTTCACAGGGTGTAAAAGAAGGGCTTTGCACCTTTATACAATATGCATGTTCTTGGGCCCAGGGTCTTTTGCCTCACCATCCCCACTATTGACTCCCTGTTGCTACTCAGCTTCAAAAAAAGGGGGGGAGGGGTCCCCAGATTCATTGAAAAAATCTGGAGACCATAGGTTAAACATTTACAAACAGCCACTCTCGATGTAGTTCTGAAACAACCACAGGTAGCCGAGAGTGTAACTTGCCCAAATTCTCCCTGTCATTACCTGAAAGTTTGGTGGACGCAGAGTCTGGGGTTGGTGATGGGCATGGGCTGAGTGCTTCCTGGTCCTATTTTCCAGCTCTTTTGTATGCTCTTCCAGACAGCAGGGGGAAACCAAGATCCCCCTGAACCTGCTAGGTTTCACGGCGGGGCGTAGGAAACACCTGGCGACGAGGCAAAGTAACAGATGAGAGATTCTTGCTTGTCCTTTGGCTTCCCTGAATTGTGAGTGCACTGTTCACAAGGATCTGTTTCAAGCGCAACCTTGGAGCATCAGTTTGCACAGTCCACCTGCAAGCCATCCTGTGTGAAGTAATTTACGTGGCAGTGTGTGGATGTGCAAACCAGCCATAAGGTTCTCAGAATTCATACAAGAGTCTGAGGCCATAGGAAGATGGCAAGCTGCCTCACATTGAGTCTAGCCATTGGTCCATGTAGCTCAGTATTGTCCACACCGACTGGCAGCAGTTATCGTAAGGTTTCAGGCAGGGAATCTTTTCCCGCCCTACCTGAATATGCTGGAGACTGAACCCTGGAGTCTTTTGCATGCAGTTCTGCCTCTGAGATGCTTTTGACCTTCCTCACAGTGTTTCCTGGGCATATTCTGCCTCCCAAGTATCTGAATGGTTCCCAGTTCCCTTTTCAGCTCTTAAATCTTCCTCCCTTCTTGCTGCATCAACAGCCTGGCTTCCAGAAGCAGCAGAATCCAAATCCTGCCAGACTGGAAATGTGTGTAGATTCAGTGTTTGCAGTGACAAGTGCTTTGCCAGCTCTTTGAATCAAGGCTTGAGGTGTTCCCCATTTTGCCTTAAAAACAGGTTATTCAGGAGGACGCGAGAGAGCAAGTGGGAAATGAAACCTCAGTTATCAACATTCCTTAAGCTGTAAGTCACTTTCTGCTTTCAATGGAAAGTTAGCAATGTGGAGAGTGGCTGCTTATTTTTCTCCCAAAGCCCCTGATCTGCCTGGAGGTGGGCACTGCTGCTGTTCTTGTATAGTCCTCCCGGGCATCTCCTAAGCTTTGGCCCTAGTTAGATTTGAATCTCAAAAGAACCTAGTTGACTTTTTGAAAGGCCCATCAGTTTGAGATGCTTTGATTACCAGAACAGATAGAACATTTAATTGCATATCCTGGTTGAATGTCTTTCATCTACCACATCAGGCCACCCTGAAGCCTAATTGGGTGCATACAAATGACATGCTCTATCAGCCATGAAGCGGCGCTTTTGAAGACATAAGGTATCAGAAGACTCCTTGTTTCTGCAGTCACAGATTTCAAAGACCGACCGCCTAGAACAGGCATGTCCAAAGTCCGTTTCGGGGGCCTAATCTTGCCCGCCGGTTGGTTTAATCCAGCCCCTGTGGCGGTTTATTACCTGGGGTAAAATCCTAAAAAAACCCTCAACAACTTCAACCCTAAAAAAAGTAAATAACTTTGGTCGGCCTTCACGGCCCTTCACGTCATCAAATCTGGCCCTCTTTGGAGGGAGGAGAAGAGTTTCTGTATGGCAGGGGTAGCTAATGTGGTGCCCTCCAGATTTTGCTGGACTGCAGCTCCCAGCATCCTTGATCATTGGTGTCCTGAACCCCGGCGTACCTGGCGACCAGTCCTGCTGGTGTATACAGTCCCAAGGGCAAATGCTGGCAAGTAGTCCGGAAATACGGTCCGGGTTCAATGCAGCAAGCCAAGTCCAAAGTGCGACAGTCAGGAAACGCAGTCGAGGTTCAGTTCAGTGTCACAAACCGGCAGGACAGTGGGGAAGAGGAAGGGGATCCCAGCGAGGGGTGCAGTCATGATTGGTACATCCTGGGGCAGGCTGGGGATGGAGAAGGAGATGGAGAAGGAGAGGTTGGGGGCTTGGAAAGTACTCACAAGGGGATCGGGGCAAGGGGATCGGGGTCAGTGCACATGGACCAGGGGCCTCCGTCTCTGTGAACACGCAAGCAGGAACACAAAGGAGGAGGACGACAACGTGTAGAAAGAAAACTCCCATAAGAACCCGTGATTAAAAATACCGATGCCTTCCCCATAGCTTTTAATATTGGAGAACTTAAGCATGCTCGCAAATCAAAAGTTTTGTGTCACTTTTGCAAAAAAAAGGATACTTTTGTGTGTGTTCTGCTCTTTCCATTGCGTAGGGAGCAGTGGCAGGCACGCTCTAGGACAGTGTTTCCCAAACTTTGGTCTCCACTGGTCCTGTTAGCTGGAGACCCAAGATTGGATAAACCCTGCTCTGGGAGGCCGAGGCAGGCAAAGGCCCACAACCCAGCTCCCTAGCTGGCCAGGTGGGGCTCATTAGCTCTGGGAGGAGGGTTGTGATTCCTCAGCTGGATTAGGCTCCGACAGGTGAGGTTCCCATGGCCTCGTCAAGCCCAGATGCTGCGGACCCAGCACCTCAGCTCTGCTCCCCTTTTAAGCCTTGACTCCGAGGCTGCTCCCTACGTCTCAGAACCTGCCGTGTTTGTGGAAACGGGGCTCCCTCTGGTTCCTGTGCACTGACCCCCATTCCCTCACCATCCTCTGTCACCCCGTGAGTACCACCTACACCCCCAACTGCTCTCATGGGGACCTGAAGGGGTCTTTTCTTTCCCATGCTGAATTCCCATTGCCTGCTGGAATGCGGAGCAACCTTCTGCAAAATTAGGACCAGTTTGATGATGGTCTTGCACTGCTTCTTACGGGAGTAACCATGATGGAACAATCAGACTGGGGACTCAAGCCTATTTCATCAGGTACACGAAGGTGGCATTTTAGTTGGCAGGTATAGAAAGAAGAAAACTTTAAGGTGGGAGTTGAATGAGATGCAAAAATTACAGCCGGTGATAATTGGAACTTAATATATATGTTAAATAGGCACACCTTTAAGCCTTCATAGTGGCAGATTAGCGATTGCTACTGAGATGATTGTATTAACACCTGCACATTTGCAAGAAACAGTCCATGATAACGCAGATATTGCTATCTGTGTAAGCAATTAACACATGTGGTGTGATTAAAAAAATTGTTTGTCTCCAGTTAATCCACAAGTGATGGCATTAAACGTCTTGATGAATTTGGCAGTTTCATGTTGTCCTTCACTTGTCCCAGAGCAGCCACCTACAGAGTGTCCTGGGAGGTTGAGATGTTCTCCCACTAGCTTTTATGGATATTGCCATTCCTGATGTCCAGTTTGCGTCCACTCTTCAGCAGGCAAGATGCTAAACAAAGTACTGGGTGAGGGGCAAGAGGGAGAAAATTGTACAAAAATTAGGCTGCCCTCATGGCTACAACATCAACCTAATTTTTGTCCCTCCTCCTTTTCTTTTTTCTTTTTATAAAGTCTCTTCTTTACTCTCCTGCTTTGAGTAACATTTTTTCCTGATGAAGAGTCCTGGAGAATCCCAAAGCTTTGCCACTCTTTTGTGACAGCTTGGTTAGTCCCATAAAGTTATTGCTGAACTGTTGGTTTTCTTCTCCTTATGGACTAGTACCGTTATTTTTTGCCCCCAACCCCTATATATATATATATATATATATATACACACACACACAAATACAGGGACGCGGGTGGCGCTGTGGGTAAAACCTCAGCGCCTAGGACTTGCCGATCGCATGGTCGGCGGTTCGAATCCCCGCGGCGGGGTGCGCTCCCGTCGTTCGGTCCCAGCGCCTGCCAACCTAGCAGTTCGAAAGCACCTCTGGGTGCAAGTAGATAAATAGGGACCGCTTACCAGCGGGAAGGTAAACGGCGTTCCGTGTGCTGTGCTGGCTCGCCAGATGCAGCTTGTCACGCTGGCCACGTGACCCGGAAGTGTCTGCGGACAGCGCTGGCTCCCGGCCTATAGAGTGAGATGAGCGCGCAACCCTAGAGTCTGGCAAGACTGGCCCGTACGGGCAGGGGTACCTTTTATATCTACAAATAGTAACACAGGGGTGTGGCTAATCAGAAAAATTAAATAAGGGTGACTTTCCAGGAAGAAGAGAAGGTGGCAGGGCTTCATTTTGGTGCTGAGCTCAGTTTTTTTTTTCACAGGGTGAGATACGCTAACCACCTGCTCACATTTGATTGAAAACACGCTCACGTATGGGCTGTGGCTTAAAAGAGTTTATTTCCAGAAAAGCACTGCAGATAAGAGGCAACACAAAGGACAAGATAGTACACTATTTTTTAGAACTGGCCTTCCCCTGCACAAAGGAGGTGTGAGTGAATTTCTGTCGGCAAGAATGCCGTTCAGCATCTCATCTGTTCCACAAAGATAACGCACGTGAATTTGCCCCTTATCATCATCCCACAAATGGAGAGTCATTTTCCATACAACCAGACAGGGTACAATAACGCAGAGTCTATCACTGCTGGTGGTATTCTGCAAACATCCCAGCGCCTCCTGTTGGGGTTTGCTTGTGCTTATGCCTGCATGTTGGGGAAGGGCCGGTTAGGGCTGAGAAAGGGTCAGGAGGCAGCCACCTCTGCTGCTGCGGCGTTTGTCCTTTCCCACCGAACCTTTATCAGTATTCAGCTATGATCTCAAAGCCCTGTTGGTGCCCAATACTTCTCTCATGCTTTTGTAAAGTGCCTTCTGGAGAACAGAATGAAGGGGACAGCAGTGTTGGCTCTGGAAGGCAAACAGTGCACAGATATTGAACTGAGATGGGTAGTACAGGCAGTGGGAATAGGAGCAATGTGAGGAGGACAAAGAGCGGAACAGGGCACTGGTGATGCCCCCTCCCAACCATTACAAGAACCCTTCTTGGGTTCTCCATCATCATGAGGCACCATAAAAGCATTTCAGAGCTTTTCAGTTTGATCACGAAGACTAGGCACACTTATGATTTGTAAAAACATTGTATAATACATATGATTTGTGGAGTGGTTATAATATGTGCAAGTTATGTAATGGACTTTGTATATGTTTATACGTATAGATATGCAAAGCTAATAAAAATTTATCATGAAAAAAAAAAAGGCTAGGCACACTCTGTTTTCTTGCTAGATAATAAAACTGTAAGTCTGTCATCTCACTGCAGTTCCCATGGCCACCAACAGGTGGCCATGGCAGTTCCAATGTGATGACAAACTAGCAGGAAAACAAGCAGGCAGCATAGCTGGCAGGCACCCGAAAAGAGCTGCATAAAGGCATGTGGGAGGCACACCAGAGACCAGTTTGGCAAGCCGCTCTCTGAAGGAGGACAGACTGCGCTTGGACAGACAGCTCTCGGAAGCGCCTTCCACCCTCCTTTAAAAGATGCTGGGGGTTGGGACAAACTGTGAGGGGTGGTGGCTTCAGACAGGCTGTGAGGGAGAAGAAGAGGGGTGGTCAAGGTATAAAGGGAGGGGCTTTGGCCAGGTGGGGGGGGGGGAAAGGGCTTGGCAAACCGGTGGCAGCCCCTTGTTTAAAAGGGATATCTGTGTTCAGATATCTTTGGAAAGTCGTGTAGTTACTCATCTCCTTGACATCTGCTGGGAGGGCGTTCCACAGGGTGGGCGCCACCACCGAGAAGGCCCTCTGCCTGATTCCCTGTAACCTCCCTTCTCTCAGGGAGGGAACCGCCAGAAGGCCCTTGGAGCTGGACCTTGGTGTCTGGGCTGAACGATGGGGATGGAGATGCTCCTTCAGGTATCCTAGGCTGAGGCTGTTTAGGGCTTTAAAGATCAGCACCAACACTTTGAATTGTGCTTGGAAATGTATTACAGTTTCCTAGTAGTAGTATGGTGGCAGACCTACGCCTGTGTCTGCTTAGTCAGGGATTTTAGATCTGCAGAAATTTGGACTGAGTGCAGGAAGAGAGTCTAAACAAAGCTTTCGTTCTGAAGTCCTTGACAAGATTCCGGATGCAGCGCTGCAGAGATGAAGGCTTGCAAAGCCACGTGCTGCCACCTAATTGCCAGTACGGCCTGTTTAGCAACTTGGTGGCACGATTTCCTAGGTACCAACCAGTATTTAACCAGATGACATTCCACTGCCTTGGCACTGACTAATCCATATATTTTTTTCCAGCTCAGGGCTTGTTTTCCACCCTGGGCTCTGCCTGCAGGTCACGTGTTTGTGTCTGACGTTTTCCAGGCTTCTCTCCAGTGGGGAGGCCAACGCTCTTGTGTGGAAAAACAACAGTCCTACACTCAAGTGAATTGGGGGGCGGGGAGGGGCGTGGAAGAGGGAGAGGCACACATGCTGTAAGGAGCAGATTGGGAAAAAGTCCCCCAGCAGCTGTGCTTGTGCTCATTCTGCAGTCTCCTCGGCCCAAGGGGCTACCAAAGGCAGTCCCTCCTGTGGTGTGTCAGCCTGTACGCCTCTGAAATCCAATATGTTGCCTGGATTTTGAAAGTCAGCAGCATAAGCAGTTCTGCTGCTCCTACTTTCTGCTTCCCTATAATACAAGAGGTCCAAGGACCAGAAAAAGGGTGAAACATCATATTATAGGACCAACCCATCCTTTGCCAAAAGACAATGGCACGCTGTTCGATGCCACAGCATCCTTCTTCCCAGGGTGCAGTTGAGAACGTGTGTGGCTGTCACAGGAGATGGGGGGGGGGAGGATGGGACATTAGACTGCAGCTCAGGGGCAGAGTATATACACTATGTGGGCAGGAGGTCCCAGGTTCTTGCCCTTCCTCTGTCCTGAGAGACAAGGAAACGTGCCTCTGGGGGCAAAGTCAGTCTGCTGGAGAATCACAGCGCCTGCTGCGGCTGCAGAGACCAGCAACTCGTAACTGCTGCCTCCCGCGTTGCTTTTGCTGTGTTGGCAGCACCTAAGTGACATCCCTGGGTCTCAAGCCTGGATGGTGCATATGGAGGTCCTGGGCTGCCCAGACAACAAGACCCCCATCTTAGCCTGGCTGATGTGGTCCAAAGGAAAGCAGAGCAATGTGTCTGGCACCAGCTTGGCTGCAGGAGTTGCTGCAAGGAGGTGTACAAGGCACCATCTAACAGGCTGTGTATCAGATTTACTCCTTAGCCTTTTAACCCACTGGGGGTTTGACACCCATCAGCTCCCCTCATCTGGTTTAGCCGCTCAGTTGAAGCTGTTTCCTGGGGTGTGGCCACTGCCACACACTGACAGCTTCTAGGAGCTGCAGGCGAGAGCTGAGTGCAGGGGACCAAAGGTGGACAAAGTGTCCCAGAAAGAGCACAATGTGTCTCCCACCAGAGATACTACCCCTCCTCCTAACACCCCACACACCGCCATACATTGCCAGGGAGACAAAACTCCTATCTGAAACCCTGGAGATTTGCTACCAGTCATTGTAGACCAAGGGTGGCAATGGGATGATCTCCCATCATCCTTGACCACTGGCCATCCTGTCTGGGTGCAGTAACAACTGGAAGGCATCAGGGCAAGGCAGGCTGGTGGGTGTCAACTCTGTATGCTGCGCCCAAAGTCATCTGTGAGCAGGGGTGCCCTCTGGGTATTACTCGACTCCAGCTCCCATCATCCTTGACCACCGGGGAGTTGCAGTCCAACAACGGTGTGGTGCAGTGGTTAGAGTGTCAAAGCTAGGATTTGCAACACCAGGGTTCAAATCCCCACTTGGCCATGAAGCTCCCTGGGTGACCTTGGGCCAGTCACTGCCTCTCAGCCCAAGCTGCCTCACAGGTTTGTTGTGGTGGTTAAATGAGGAAGGGGAGAACCACCTTGTATTCAGTCTTCACTGGAGAGCCAGTGTGGTGTAGTGGTTAAGAGCAGTGGACTCGTAATCTGGTGAACCGGGTTCGCGTCTCTGCTCCTCCACCTGCAGCTGCTGGGTGACCTTGGGCTACTCACACTTCTCTGAAGTCTCTCAGCTCCACTCACCTCACAGAGTGTTTGTTGTGGGGGAGGAAGGGAAAGGAGATTGTTAGCTGCTTTGAGACTCCTTCGGGTAGTGATAACGCGGGATATCAAATCCAAACTCCTCTTCTTCTTCTTCTTCTTCTTCTTCTTCAGCTCCTTGGAGTAAAAAGTGAGGCATAAATGTGATAAATAATCATAAATAGACATTGCTGCATGAGGTGAGCCAGTTACCTGACCCGTAAAAAGCACCTTCCTGTATTTTTATGTTTAAACATGCAGTTCCTTTAATAGCAGCCGCAATGCCGCTGGTGTGCATAACGCACAATGGTTTGTGTATCTTTGATGCGTTCTAACAACGCCTCTCTCTTTTCATCCCCCCCCCAGCGTTTTTTAGGTGCCAAAGACCCAGTTGACCGCCGTGTGGAGCGAGATAAGTTCAGGCAGGAGCCCCGCCGGAGGACCGGGATGGATTGGCTGTGACAACCTGCCGCAGGTGGAGGTGGAGGGGAGAGTTATGATGAAGAGTTCCTGCCGAGCTGGCCTCCACCGGGAACTGCTGAATTCCACATCCTCCGCGTTACACCCGGTCAAACGGTACGGTTAGATGCAGAGTCCCCATTTCTCTACCTCAGCTGCCTTCCGATAGGCTCTTGGTGGCTGAAAAACCCATTTTTAAGCAAGGATCCCAAGGAAACGGGGAGGAACACTGGATTCCTGGCAATTTATAGACTGATTTTAGGTCCCAGGTGACTCTGATATCTCCTATGATGAAGGGGGTTTGTGTCAGCGTTGCAAAGGGAAAGGCTATGGTCTTTTATAGACTGGGTGGATGACTAGAAAACAAGAATCAGAGGATAGGAATAAGTCAGCTATTTTCCCAGTATGTACAGTTGTACCTTGGAAGTCTAACGGAATCTGTTCTGGAAGTCCGTTCGACTTCCAAAACGTTCGAAAACCAAATCACTTCTTCTGATTGACTGCAGGAAGCTCCTGCAGCCAATCAGAAGCCATGGAAGCCCCGTCAGACGTTTGGGTTCCAAAATAACATTTGCAAACCGAAACAATCACTTCTGGGTTTGCAGCGTTCAGGAACCAAAACTTCCGAGTTCCAGGGCGTTCAGGATCCAAGGTACCACTGTTCTTCATTATCAATATTTGTGTCCCTTGCCTGCCAAAGTAGGACCCTCGAAACAGCTTATGACAACAATGATCGGTTAAAAAAAACCCAACACCCTAGGAAGGAAAAGCCACCCTCCTAAGATGTGTCTGGGCCTTCATTTCTAGCTCCCTCATGCTAAGACAGAAGATGCCGGACTCCTCCAAAACTTCATGGGTGCTTGAGAAATCATGCTAAGGTCATGGCTTAATTCTGGGTCAGCATCCTCTGCTCTGAAGTCCCGACAGGATCACGGGTCTTCTGCTCAGCCTTAGAAATAAAATCCAAACAAATAATCAATTTGAAAAATGAACTCAGTCTTGAGAGGCCGAAAATGAGTTTGTTCATTGTTACTGAAGTTCCTTCTTCCTGTAGTTTTAGGGTCCAGTTTATATCAGAGCCTTCCCCAAGCTAATACCTCCCTCCCCCCAGTATTTTGGACTAGAACTTCCACCAGCCCCAAGCAGCATGGACTGTAGCCAGGGGTGTCGTCCTCTCTCTGTTTCTCTCTCTCTCACACACGTGTTAATGTGTGTTTGTGTGTATGCACACATGTGCATGTATGAACACACAACTCCCTACCTACTCTATAAAAAAGCTATCCCATCTCCTCTTGATCTCTCAGCTCCTTGTGTACAAAAGCACACTTCAAAAATCATCAGTGGTTTCAGTTTTTAATCTGTGCATTTCTCTCTCTTTCCTAGAATATCTGGCATGCACTTAAAGCCCTATCTCAAGTTACAGAAGAAAGAACGGCCTCTGGAAATAAGCCTGGACCCTCCCCGAAGCCCACCAATGAGCCAGCCGAGGTTGGCAGAAGAGGAGAAGCCCAGCAGCCCCGAGCCAAGCCTCTTTCCAGCCCCGTCTCTCCGGAAGCCATTGGGGACACTCTCCCCCAACACCATCGGCAGCAGCAGGAGCCACGCGGAAGGGCCCGGCGGGAAGGAGAGGAGAGCTGCCCTCCCGGCCACCATCCACCAGGGGGACGACGGAGAGGGGCCACTGGACATCTGGGCCATCGTGAAGCCGGGGAACACAAAGGAGAAGGTCGCCTTCTTTGCGGCCCAGCAATGCGGCGACCGCAGCCGGGTGCTCTCTGTGAAGAACAAGAGCACCTGGGACATCGACGGGAGGTCCACTAAGCGCAGGAAAAAGTCGCTGGATATCAAGAAGGCAAAAGTCCACCTGGAAAGGATGAGGGAGGCCAGCGGGAGGTGCTACCAGCCTGAGCCATTTGCCTGCGGCATCGAGCACTGCTCTGTCCATAATGTGAATGACGGCCTGGAGGGGGGCTTCCCGGGACGGCCCCTGTCTGTCGTCGAGATGGTTGCTTTCTTGGAGCAAAGAGCCAGCGTCTTGCTGGCTGACTGCTCCAAAAACTGCCCCAGTGCCTCTGCTGTGACCAAGTTCCCTGGCCAGCCCAAAGCCGCTCCCCTAGCCTCTCCCGGACCTTTTCCCACCTCGGGAGTCTGCGAAGCTCCCTCTGAAAAGGCAGCCTGTGGGGCGAGCGGCAACAGCAGCAGCGGCAGCAGCAGTGATGGGGAGCAGCAGGCAGAGCCCCTTCGAGTGCTGGACATGGTGGCCAAGCTGGAGTCGGAGTGTCTCCGGCGCCAGAACGAACGTGAAGCAGGGTCACTCTCGAGGAACAACAGCTTCCGGCGGAACGTGGGGCGGATGCTGCTGGCGAGCGGGGCACCCCCGGAAAACGACGCCGGCAAGGCGCCCCCAGAAGCTCCCAGCCAGGAAGAGCCCTGTCTGCCGCTGGAAGGCCAGCTATCTTCGATTGTAGACGCCCGTGCTGGGAACGGCCTTCTCGTGCGCGAGCAGGGAGGGTCGGTCTCCTCCAGCCGCGGTTGGCTCAGTTCTGAGAAGGCGAGCAAACCCACATATCCGGAAGCTGCTCAGGCGCCCCCACATTCCTTGCACAGCAGAAAAGCGACGGTTGATTGTACGCCGAAGGAACCGGCCACTCTTCCCAGCCTGGCTCCCAACGCGCGAGTGAGAGAGTCCGTAAGCATTAGTATCTCTGTCACCAAGAGGGACGCAGGCTACAGAGCCGCCCAGCCTTCCGACGCCGCCTTGGGCGAAGACCCTCTTCCGGGCAGACTCTTCTTGCTCCTGTCCAGGTGCGAGCCCCCCCAGGAGTGCCTGCGCTCGGGGGAGACCCTCCCCGAAGAGTGCCGAGGGGGCCCTCAAGGGAAGGAAACCTCCCTGGGCGATGAAGCCCTGCGCCTGCCCGCCCTCGCTCCCGGGGAGCCCCAGGAGGCGCCCTCGGAAAGCGCCCCGCAGGCCCTCGCCTCCTCGCGCCTGAAGCGGCAGAGATCTCACGACTTCCTGGAGACCAGGTTCAAAATCCAGCAGCTCCTGGAGCCGCAGCAGTACCTGCTCTTCCTGCCGCACCACATCATCGTGAAGATCTTTGGGCTGCTGCCCACCCGCAGCTTGGTGGCACTCAAGTGCACCTGCGGGTACTTCAAGTTCCTCATCGGGTACTACAACATCCGGCCGGCCGACTCCCGCTGGGTCCGCGACCCCCGCTACCGGGAAGACCCCTGCAAGCAGTGCAAGAAGAAGTACACCAAGGGCGACGTCTCGCTGTGCCGCTGGCACCCCAAGCCCTATTGCCAGGCGCTGCCCTACGGACCCGGCTACTGGATGTGCTGCCACAGGTCCCAGAGGAGCGTCCCCGGCTGCAGGCTCGGCCTTCACGACAATCACTGGGTGCCTGCCTGCCACAGCTTTAACCGTGCTCTGCACAAGAAACCCAGGGAGGCGGAAGAGGACTGTTAGCGTGCGCTCCCTGGCGCAGTCTTTGTGGAGCCTCACATCCTAGGTGGGGAGGAGAAAAGATGTTTTATGCCTTGTGATGTTTACACTGTATATAATTTTGTGGGTGGTTTTTTTTTTTTTTTTGGTCCCCCTCCCCCTTTCTATTTCCCGCTTCCACAGGGCTATGAAGAAACTGCACATGACTTCTAAATCACAAGAGCCTTTTTTAACCTTTTAGAGAAAGAGAGAGAGAGAGAGAAATAGCCCTTCCGTGTACATAATATTCCCAGAATCTCCTTGTCCATCAGAGTGACTTGACAGCTGGTTGACCAACGTTGACGATCACTACAACGCAGCTACGAGAGTGTTGCGGCTACAAGTCCCGTGTTGTCGTCGTTGTAAAAAGCAACAACTGTGTCTCATTTTCAAATCTGTATATCCTGTACAAAAATATACATATATAAATATATATAAATATAAATATATATTGAAAATGTTTCTGGAAGGAAACTCTAAATAGGTAAAAGAGGAATCTTCGAAAAGATGGTTTAACTGGACAACCTTAAAAAAATAGGCTAGAACAAATATTTGTTATATCTTAGGGTGGCAGCAAGCGAAAGAGGGGTGTTTTTCTTAGAGCAAAGAGTGTTGAGAAAAAGCTCTGGCTTCCCATGCCCACCTCACCTGGTTTTTGTTTCATTTTTTTTTTTTACCTTAAAATAAAATGTGCATTCTGAATCTTGCTCTTGCTCACCTCTGTTTTCCTCTCAAGATTTTTCCTCGTTAATGCTCTCTCTCTTAAAAAGGGGTGGTATTGCAAGCATTCCGGCTATGTGAAAGTCTTCTGCGTTATGGTCAGAGAAGCAGGGCCAGCCCAGGACACCTTGCTGCTTGGGGCAGGATGGTGTGCCCTCCCTTGTCTGCATACCCAAGCCCATGGACTGGTAATAATAATAATAATAATAATAATAATAATAATAATTTTTATTTATATCCCGCCCTCCCCAGCCGAAGCCAGGCTCAGGGCGGCTAACAACAATAAAACAGTACAAAAGTACAGCACAAACAACACTCTAAAATCATTCATTATAAAATTAATTAATTCAAGCCACTGGCAACCATTGGGCCAGAGCTCCGCGAAGATTGCCGAGGGAGGGAGTCAGGCTGTGCCCTGGCCAAAGGGCTGGTGGAGCAGCTCTGTCTTGCAGACCCTGCGGAAAGATGTCAAGTCCCGCAGGGCCCTGGTCTCTTGTGACAGAGTGTTCCACCAGATCGGAGCCACGGCCGAAAAAGCCCTGGCTCTAGTTGAGGCCAGCCTAACTTCTCTGTGGCCTGGGACCTTCAAGATGTTTTTATTTGAAGACCGTAAGTTTCTCTGTGGGGCATACCAGGAGAGGCGGTCCCGTAGGTATGAGGGTCCTAGGCCGTATAGGGCTTTAAAGGTTAAAACCAGCACCTTAAACCTGATCCTGTACTCCACCGGGAGCCAGTGCAGCTGGTATAGCACCGGGTGAATGTGATCTCGCAGCGAAGACCCCGTAAGGAGTCTCGCTGCAGCATTCTGCACCCGCTGGAGTTTCTGGGTCAGTCTCAAGGGCAGCCCCACGTAGAGCGAGTTACAATAATCCAGTCTGGAGGTGACCGTCGCGTGGATCACAGTGGCTAGGTCAGGGCAAGAGAGGTAAGGAGCCAACTGCTTAGCTTGGCGGAGATGGAAAAATGCCGCCTTTGTTGTAGCTGCAATCTGCGCCTCCATGGAAAGGGAGGTGTCGGAAGATTACACCCAAACTCTTAACGGACGGTGCTGGCACTAATTGCCCCCGCAAGAGATGGGAGTTGCCCCCCCAATCCCATATCGTCCGGTCCCAGCCACAGGACCTCTGTCTTCAAAGGATTTAGCTTCAATCGGCTCCCATGTAACCATCCAGCCACAGCTTCCAAACATCTGGTCAGTGTGTCTGGGGCCGAGTCAGGATGGCCATCCATCAACAGATAGAGTTGGGTGTCATCAGCATACTGATGGCAACCCAGCCCAAAACTCCGGACAAGCTGGGCGAAGGGGCGCATAAAGATGTTGAAAAGCATCGGGGAGAGTATCGCACCCTGAGGTACTCCACACACCAAGGAGTGGCGCGATGACAATTCCCCCCCTGAGCGCCACCCTCTGTCCCCGACCAGAGAGAAACGAGCGCAGCCATTGAAGGACTGTGCCCTGGATCCCCACGTCGGCAAGGCGGTGGTCCAGAAGTTCGTGATCGACCATGTCGAAAGCTGCTGACAGATCTAGAAGAATCAGCAGCCCCGACCCACCTCGATCCAGCTGTCTACGAAGATCATCTGTTAGGGCAACCAGAGCCGTCTCGGTCCCATGACCAGCGCGGAAGCCGGACTGGAATGGATCCAGAGCCGATCTGGTAGTTGGGTCTTGCTATACAGCCACCATAACGGAAGAATCTTCCACTACACCAGAAGGCAGCAGGTTAGTTTAGGGCATCCAGGACAAGGGCCACACAGCCCTAGGAGGGCCATACAAGAGGATGTATTTGCCACCTGGAGCAGTTGCCTTCTTTTGCCTAATGAAGACAGCTTATGTAATTGAGGGATCTTGCACCTGATTTTGAATGACACTTCCTCTATCCTGAGGTTTTGTGTGACTCAGCCCACACAGTCCAGGAGGAACCCCAGGGGAGATACAAGGAGCTTCAGGGAGAGGAGGGAAAGAACAAGATTGGTTGCATGACCTTCCACTCATGCAGCCATTGGATACAATCCCTCTGTATTTAGCCAGGGGATGTGTATTTAGGACAGTGGGGGTGTTGAAAAACTAACTGGATTTTGAAATTTATGTGTGAATCTCGACCATTTCCGATTTAATTTTGCAAATGTCAAAAAACAGATGTGCACCTATGCTACGGAATGAACACTCAGTTTTCAGACATTTACGAGGTTTCTGGAATGCTCAAAATCAACATGGGAATGGTGATGTTTTCCAAATATTTAGGCATTCAGACTTACATAACCTTCATAGAGTTTACTCCCAATTAATAGACGGTTGCACACTTTGATCAGAGGCAGGTTGCAGCTGCCTCGAGCGCAGTCGCTTCTCGCCACACACATGGATTTGACTGTTGGAACAACTTTTTGTTTTGAGAAGCAACTTCCCTCCAGCTCTGGAAGCTAACTTTGATTAATGAAAAAGTGTGTATTTTATTCGTAGAATCAAGTAGATGATTAAATTATGTAGTAGACAGTATATGGTTCAAGGTTGCAGAGGACACCAAATCAAGATGAGCAGCAAACGTTTTAGAAAACGTTGGGAGTGTTTCATAGATAGCAATTAATTTGAAAATTAACAAGAAGCATGGTTGTGTTTCAGGTAGGAGCAAAAGTGCCAACCATCTCTATAGCCAGGTTGAGGCAGTTTAACTGGTAGCAAAGTCTTCTGAGAAAATATCTAACTTAGCATGAGTCACCATGACTCTATTATGCAAGGCCAGTGTTTTAGGTTCTCCTTGACTGGCCAGGTTTCTGAGATAGAGGAAGCACAATTGCTTTGTTCCCTGTGAGGAATACATTTTCACACTGGAAAAGAGGATGTTGATAAGGTGTGGGGGGGGAATTGAGAAGAGCTTCCAAGATGAAAAGAGGGGCAGAGCATCTGCTGTGCATGCAGAATGTCCCAGGTTGAACGCTCAGCATCTCCAGACACAGCTGGGAAAAGTTCTCTGCCTAAAATTCTGCAGAGCTGCTGCCAGCCTGTGTAGACAGCACTGAGGTAGATGGAACACTGGTATATGGCAGCTTCCTATGGCATGACCAGTCACAAGTACAGTGGTACCTCGGGTTAAGTACTTAATTCGTTCTGGAGGTCTGTTCTTGACCTGAAACTGTTCTTAACCTGAAGCACCACTTTAGCTAATGGGGCCTCCTTCTGCCGCTGTGCCGCCGCTGCACGATTTCTGTTCTCATCCTGAAGCAAAGTTCTTAACCCGAGGTAGTACCGTATTTTTCGCTCTATAAGACGCACTTTCCCCCTCCTAAAAAGTAAGGGGGAATGTGTGTGCGTCTTATGGAGCGAATGCAGGCGGGAGGCTTTGCTCAGCGCTCCCTTTAAAGAGCCGCGTGGAGCCTCTTTGGGGCTTTTCTCCAAGGAGGGAGAAGGGGTTAGCCGCGCGCAGCCTCTCCCTGGAAAAGGGGAGCCTTCATCCCGCTGCCCGGGAGAGGCTGTGCACAGCTAACCCATAAGCCAAGACAGCCAGCGGGATTGCTGCGCAGCGATCCTGCTGGCTGTCCTGGCTTCTGGGATTCAAATTCCGCCCCCCTTATTTTCCTCTTCCAAAAACTAGGTGCGTCTTATGGTCTGGTGCATCTTATACAGCGAAAAATACGATGTTTCTGGGTTAGCGGAGTTTGTAACCTGAAGCGTATGTAACCCGAGGTACCACTGTATTAGGAAGAGAAGGCAAACATGTTTTTTTACATTACTAGGACTCTGAGAAGGAACAAAAGTTAACAATCTGTTTTGCAAGTTGAAAAGCACCTCTGGCAGCAGAGAGCCAATCTTGCTGTACCAATGACACATCTGATGTAGATTTGCCCCTATCCTGGCTGGGGCTTATGGGAGTCACAGCTCAAAAATCTGGGAAAACCTATTCTGCATAGGCAGCCCCTGCAGGAGAGAACCTGTTTTCTTTGTACCCAGACACCAGTACCATCTTTCCATCTCTGAATTAGTGAATTTCATAGCTTAACCACGTGCAGTGTGAAGAAGTCCCTTTTTTCCCTATCCTGAAACTTCCAGCATCTGGGGATGCTTCCCTGGAAAGAGATCCAGATGTGAAACAGCGGATTTGTTGCTGACTACCTCCAGGATCAGAGGCAACAGTTCTCTGGGACCTCAGCTGAAGATACATGGGATTAACCCCAGGACCTTCTACTTGGAGAGCTACAGCTGGTCCGATTGGTGGAAGAACCACATACACCTGCCCTTGCAGGTGAGAGCAGAATAAAACCATGAGATAAATAAATGGGTGGGGCTGCTTGACAACAGTAGCGACAAGAAAATTTACCCTCTAGACTGCAGGCTTTAGGGAAAAGGTGTTATTAGCCATTGACTCAGGGGAACAGTCAGAATTCCTCAGTGTGCATGAGAGGGGCACATTCCACAAGTAGGCAGATCTTTCCCCGTTTTGGTGCATTACGTAAAGGTAAAGGGACCCCTGACCATTAGGTCCAGTCGTGACCAACTCTGGGGTTGCGGCGCTCATCTCGCTTTATTGGCTGAGGGAGCCGGCATACAGCTTCCGGGTCATGTGGCCAGCATGACTAAGCCGCTTCTGGCGAACCAGACCAGCACACGGAAACGCCGTTTATCTTCCCGCCGGAACAGTACCTATTTATCTACTTGCACTTTGACGTGCTTTCGAACTGCTAGGTTGGCAGGAGCTGGGACCGAGCAACGGGAGCTCACCCCGTCGCAGGGATTCAAACCGCCAACCTTCTGATCAGCAAGTCCTTGGCTCTGTGGTTTAACCCACAGCGCCACCCTTGTCCCATTGAGTTGCATATGGTCTCCCAAGTTAGCCACAGAGGCGTAAGGAGCTCTGATGGGACTTTACTTGGGTTGTCAGAGCATAGATTTTCAACCTTTTTGAGACCACAGCTCCCTTGACCAACTACATTCTTTCTGTGGCACCCCTGTGGGGCTCATGAGCCCAGTTACGTCACCCCTTGCCGGCAGAGCTGGCAGCCTCTTACCCTTTTTCAGACACCCTTGCGGAGTGTCCCCTCAGCCTCTCCCCTCCAGGCAGCTGCTACTGCTGCCCCAAAGAGAGGTGCCTCCTCATACTGCCCCATAGCGGCCTGGGAAGAGAAGGCCCCCAGCCTTAGTGGCCCAACAGAGACTGGCCAAAGGTGGGAGGCAGCAGTGACAGCATTTTTGTCTGCAACAAACAGCTGTCCAAGCCTTAAGCATTAAGAGGAGGGAGGGACGAAAAGAGGGATGATAAATAATAATAATAATTTATTATTTATACTCTGCCCATCTGGCTGGGTTTCCCCAGCCACTCTGGGCGACTTCCAACAGAATATTAAAATACAGTAGTCTATTAAACATTAAAAGCTTCCCTAAACAGGGCTGCCTTCAGGGGTCTTCTAAAAGTCTGGTAGTTGTTTTTCTCTTTGACATCTGATGGGAGGGCGTTCCACAGGGTGGGTGCCATTACTGAGAAGGCCCTCTGCCTGGTTCAATGTACCTTGGCTTCTCGCAATGAGGGAACCGCCAGAAGGCCCTCGGAGCTGGACCTCAGCGTCCGGGCAGAACAATGGGGGTGGAGATGCTCCTACTGGACTGAGGCCGTTTAGGGCTTTAAAGGTCAGCACCAACACTTTCAATTGTGCTCAGAAATGTACTGAGAGCCAGTGGAGGTCTTTCAAGACTGGTGCTATGTGGTCTTGGCGGCTGCTCCCAGTCACCAGTCTAGCTGCCGCATTCTGAATGAGTTGCAGTTTCCGGGTCACCTTCAAAGGTAGCCCCACATAGAGGCCAGTGTTGCCCGCAGCACCCCTGACCATCATTCAAGGCACCCCAGAGTGTCACGGCACACTGGCTGAAAACTACTGTATTAGGGGGTAATTTTTGTGTTCATAGCAGACGCCCAGATGCATACAACACACAATACTGTCATCTTCATAGTGTTCCTTACAATTCTAGAAAACCCACAAGGATTCACAGAACTAGCCTCTCCCAAGTCAGAATGAATGGAATAACAACAATAATAAAAACCAAACCAGCCAACCTTAGGAAAACTCCTGTTAAAAGATTTATTGCAATAATACAATAAATTTTTAGAAAAACACACGCACCTGTTAGGTTACAACCCTTCCTAGTGGGGCAAGTGGCGCAAGGTTTGCTGAAAAGGCAGCCAGGGGTTGGAGACCTTCAAACATAAATCCCCCTCGGAGGGTGGAGAGCAGTCCTCATTTCAGAAGCTTCGCTCGGTATCCTTTGAGGCCACTGACCCTAAATGCGCAGCCTTGCCTTGCCTCTGTGGCGCCACAATTATGACCCGCAAGATGCTCAGCCGGTTGTCTTCACCCACAACAGTCGGCTAATGGGGAGCCTCTCTGCTCCTCGCCATTCAAGCAGAACACAATCACACCTCAATTGCACTAAAGTTTTGGGCACACACTCCCAGTTTCTCCACATAGCTATATATGTGTAAAAACATTTTTTTTATATATGTGTGTGTATATCTATTTATATATACATATAAAACAAAAACCAACCGGGGGAAAAAACCATTGTTACCAAAAAAAAAAAAAAAAAGTGTTTCTGGAAAGGATTTGACACCCTAACATATTACAATCCTTGGGGCGCACCTTTGTGAATTCCGAGTGGATGCTACGCTACAGCGCCAGAGAGGCATCGTTTTAAGACAAAGAAATCGGGACTGACAAAAGGTTTGTGGTTTACTGGCATTTCCTATTAAGAGGGTTTCCCCTCTCTTCTTTTTTAAACAAACCATAAATAAGCAGCAGAATGGATGAAACACATGGGGCAGGGGAGGGAACAGAGTTATATTTACAAGGGGGAAAGGGCCCAGGGCCAGCTGGGAGACCCCAGCAGCTACGAGCCCAGCGTTGAGCAGCCTAACTCCTTTGCAACTAATAAAGTGCCTTCTTTCACAGGACCTCCTTCCACACGTATCGTTTCGGACACAGGAGAGACTTGCAGGGCAGTGTCCCATGTTGAGCATCCTTTGAGGCAAAGACAAGTGAGCCCGGTTTCCCTCCAGTCTCTTGTAGCTGGACAAAACCTCACCGGGAGCCTGTGATGATGGAGCAGGCTGGATTACATTGCTGCTGTTCTTCTACGTTAAGTCTTCACGGGCTGGGAAATCCCGCCCGACCAGTTTAAAACTGAAAACACTGAACCGGTGGGATCTTTGGTTTATTAACAGAAATGCACAGAACCCCACCTCCCGCAGGTACGTCTGCCAAGCAAGGTTCCCCACGCCACCAACTGACACCCAACTCCAGGCCAAAGTGGGAGCAGAGAAACAGAGCAGAAACACATCACAGAATCGAAACAAGCAAGAGCCAAATATTCAGCACCAGTGGCTGGAACCCTCTCCTGAAGACTGTGTAAAAGTGCAGAAATGCACGTCAGCCCAGGCCCATTATCTGAGGAGGGAGTCTTTTGCCTGGCACGATTTTGGTCTCGGCATGTGTGCTATTCCACAGAAGTGGATGCCCGCAGGACTGCACCACGTGACTCTGAATCATGGCAGCAAAGCATCCTTGGGCTCACACTGCTGGCAGTGGCATGGGCAGGGAGGCACCTCTCCCCCAAGGTGCACACCTGGCACTTTAGGCCGCGGTGGGGTTGTAAGAGAGCAAGGGCAGCAACAGAAACCCACAGCCAACTTCTCCCTTTATTGTTCTGTAACGCATTGGGGGTTGCTACATCGTGCCACTGGATGCTGGACTTCAGTATTCTCCAGTGAATTCGGGCCCAAATTTCCATGGGGGCGTGGGGGCACATGTCCCCTCCCCACCTGCCCTGCCTGACTTGCACCTTTTGCTCACTCATTCCTTGCCGAGTCTTGGCCTCCATGCACACAGGGCCTACGCGGTCTCTTATACACGGAGAGATGGATTTGCATGCTCAGAATCCCCACCCACTAAGTGCCTGAACCAGGACTGGTTTTCTCTAGGGGGCTGAACAAGGAAAGGGTGCATTGTCAAAAGCCTAATTCGCGCCCCCACCCCAATTGCCAAAAGCCTGCCTAGTCAGAAACTCAACCCAGGCTGAGGTCCGAGGGGCACCGTGCTATATCCAACCAGAAGCCGAACTGGATGCAAGAACCAGGAGGATTTCATGGGGTTTTTGACCAAGAAGGAACACAAGCCCCGTTGCTCTCAAGCATGAGGAGCACAGGATTTCTTAAAAAAACAAACCCACATGGAACGTATACCAAACTTCAAAACGAAAGTGCGGCTCCTTTGCACACAAAGAGGATTTGTGACGAGGCAAACCTTATTGTAGCAGTAGAATTGCTCTGTATTGGCAAGTTATTACGGTCCAGGCTTTCTTTGGTGTCGGGCAGCCAGAGCAAGAAGCCAGGGAAGTCTTGAGCGACTCAGCATAAAAAACGTTCTGGAACTGGATCCATAGAGCGCGCACACACACACGCACACTCACACAAAGGCGGCATGACCTAACATCTATTTTCTCCCCTTAAAAAATAAATAACCTATTGATATTGAAGAAACATGATGGTTTTCTGTATTAAAATTATGGCAACGGAGATCAGAGACCACAAAGAAATGCAGCAATCTGCACATCTTGCCAGAAGGCTCTACAAATGTGCATTTTGTGCTGCAAATTTTCTCCCCTGTGCACACTTTTAGAAGAAACACACACACAAACGTAACCCAAGAACCCTGCTGGGAACTAATCACAGGGGATGTGGTGGCCTCATGCACTGGGCAGAACTGCCACGATAGTTTTCTCTTTCAGTCTTCATGCTTCAAGATGATTTGCCAGGCCACGTAACCCCAGATCTATTTCCTTGTTTTTGTTTTTTTGTTTAAGGGACTAAACTAAAAAAGAAACTGAAGTTAACAGACAGGATCCTCCTCCTTTCACCCTCTGCGGAACACGTGGGACTCGGAAGAGGCACAGAGTTCCATTTTCAGGTATCCAAAATGCGTGTCGAGAGAAAACGAGATGCAAGGTGACTGTCGCGCAGTCAAGCTTGGGCAAATTGAAAGCATCTTCCAGAGGGGAGAGCGTGTTACGCAATCAGAAGTCTGACCCTTGATGTTCCAGGCACTACTTAGCAGAATTGGGAAGGTTTACTACAGTGTTGGTGGGCGGGATGTGGGACAGGAACTCCCCACCCCACCCCACAGAGGTCCGAGTGTCACCCTAGCGATGTCCAGTGTACGCTTTGAACCAGGAGGTAACGGAGGCCGCGGCCGAGGAGATCATGCCTCCCGCGCTGCTGCTGGCGATGGGCTCCCGCGAGGCCAGCGTGCTCTGGCTCTGAAGCATCTCCACCGTCTGCGAGGGGATGTCGCAGAACCGGGGGCTGGGCAGGTTCTCCCAGTCCGTCCCGAGGTCCGTCTCTTCGTCGCTGACACGTTCGTCGCCGCTCTCGTCCGTTTCGCCGGCGCCGCTGGGGTCCACGAACTCCATCGAGTCCTCCAGGTCGGCGGTGATCTCGAATGGCCCGGACCTGCGGTCGGAAAAACGGACTCTGCTTACGGGGAAAACGACCTGCAAGTCGGGACCGGCAAGAGGAACAAAGAGACCTTTTGCAGGAGAATGGCAGAGCTTTGCTACACTTACAAGCTCTCCAGAAAAACAAGGTTTAAACCGGGCACCCCCAAACTCGGCCCTCCAATGGGACTACAATTCCCATCATCCCTGACCACTGGTCCTGTTAGCTAGGAATGATGGGAGTTGTAGTCCCAAAACAGCTGGAGGGCTGAGTTCGGGGCTGCCTGGGTTTCAACTGACTGGTGGATCACTTAATAATAATGCTGTAAGCTGTGGCGTAGGGACAGGAATCCAGGTTCTCATAGTATTTTGGAAGGTCTCCAGCGAAATTTAAAGAACAAAAGTAAGGAAAAGGGTGTCCATTGAGGCCAGAATGGATCGCCCAGCCTCTTATGCTCTGATGGGAGCTGAAGGGAAACCAAACGAACTAAGCTTGCTGGGAAAAGGACCTAATCCATCTCTACCATGGTGAACAGCAGACACACTCCCCCATATTAAGGATACATTGCAGTCTGGCCAAAGGACCCAAGGGGGCTGGGGAGCAGGGCTACAGAGGAGGCATGGCCTGGAAAGAGAGCCAGGGTGAGAGATATAGACTTGGATGGCTACATTCAGCCCCCAGGCCTGAAATTCGTCTCCCCTTCAGGTAGAAGGTCCGGCTCAGCTTGTGGATGCCGATTTCCCTCCAAGCCACAGAGGGTTGCTGCCAGCCAGGGCTGATTCTCCTAGGCTATGTGGACCGCTGCTCCAGTTCAGTATAAGGCAGTTTTAGTTGCTTAATTTGGCTCTCTGTTCGGTTGTCATGGTCCCATTTCATAGCTCAGGGAAAGATGAATTAGGAAAGGAGGCCCTGAGAGAGCAGAGGGAGGGGGGACTCCCTTAAAAAGGGAGCAGGCTGTTGTGTGTCACAAGCCTGCGTACTTCCTGCTCACAGGAAGTTTCCATTTTGTATATAGCTTTCGTTTTCTGTCTGTTGCCTCGACACGAAGGCAGGCAGTCATGTTTTTCCTTTGTTCTTACCAACATTGAATAAAGCTGTAAAATATGCTCTCCTGGGTGAATCTTCCGTTGTGGAAACTCTGCGAAAAGGGCGTGCACGAGACCTGGAATGTGTCTGAGGCTTGTGTCGCTAATTGACTGATACTGTTTCCACGGGAGACCGGGAGACGACATGGAGGCGTGATGGCCTTTGTCTCCCTGGCAGTATCCCAACAGTATCCTTGTGGCACAGGGATGGGGAAGGCTGTGCCAGGCTTAGAAGTGGCACAGAAAGAGGACAAGGAGGGAGAGGTGGTGATGGCAGGGCGCAAAAGAGGCTGGAAGCTGCCTCTTACCTTCCCAAATGTTCTGTCTCGGGGCTGACCAGGTACATCAGGTTCCTGAGTGTATGCAGAGGATGCAGGAGGTCTAAGTTTACGTGCTGGAAGAGGAAGAAAGCAGAACATCCGTCAGGCAAAAAGCGCTGAGACGAGGAAGGGAAAGTGTGAAGCCACCCGAGAGGTTAAACAAAAAAAGAAAAATTGCATTCACTGTACCTGAGAAAAGCAAAGGTAAAGGATATTGGCGTTCAGCTTTTTCACTGCCCACGTGAACTTCCTCCTGCTGAGGTTTTCCCCGCAGAACTCACTGCAAGACACGTTAAAAACACATGCACAAACTGACGAGAGAGCTCTCAATGAAAGGATCCTCTCCTGTTTCCCCGCCTTCTGCAACGCTAGTAAATCAACCAAATCTTGGCAAAACGATGGCTTTTATTCGGCCAGCTGACAGGAAAGGGAAGAGTGTGCATCTTGCTCATTTCCATTTCTGGAAGGAGGCAAAACTAACTGTTCGGGCACTTCTTCCATGCAGAAATAATAATAATAATAATAATAATAATAATAATAATAATAATGATGATGATGATGATGATTTATTATTTATACCCCGCCCATCTGGCTGGGTTTCTCCAGCCACTCTGGGAGGCTTCCAACAGAATATTAAAATACAATAACCTATTAAACATTAAAAGTTTCCCTAAACAGGGCTGCCTTCAGATGTCTTCTAAAAGTCTGGTAGTTGTTGTTCTCTTTGACATCTGGTGGGAGGACGTTCCACAGGGCGGGCGCCACCACCGAGAAGGCCCTCTGCCTGGTTCCCTGTAACCTCACTTCTTGCAGTGAGGGAACCTCCAGAAGGCCCTTGCAGCTGGACCTCAGTGTCCGGGCTGAACGATGGGGGTGGAGACGCTCCTTCAGGTATACTGGACCGAGGCCGTTTAGGGCTTTAAAGGTCAGCACTAACACTTTGAATTGTGCTCGGAAACGTACTGGGAGCCAGTGTAGGTCTTTCAAGACTGGTGTTATGTGGTCTCGGCGGCTGCTCCCAGTCACCAGTCTAGCTGCTGCATTCTGGAAGGAATCCCTTTGAGAGGGGAAGGGTTAAGTCAAAGCTGCAGGCCATGCCACCCAACCCGTATGCATTCACCTCTCTCTCTCTCTCTCTGTAGGTCCTGTTCAATAATCAGAGACCCATGACCAGGGTTTCCCAAACCAGAGCGGCCAGCTGTTTTTTTGGACTACAACTCCCATCATCCCTAGCTAACAGGAGCAGTGGTCAGAGATGATGGGAGCTGTGGTTCAAAAACAGCTGGAATCCCAAGTTTGAGAAATGCTGCACAAGAGGTCCCTCCCTATACCTAGATGACGAACCCGGGAGCAGCTATTGGGGCTTTCTGTTTTCTGTGGGAGACTTATCAAATGCACAAAGAAAAGGTGAAATCCACGCCGCTCTCAAATATCTCCATTTTTTGCTTCCTCTCCGGTGTTACTTGGGGAGCTCAAAGTGCTTCACGTATAAAGGTAAAGGGACCCCTGACCGTTAGGTCCAGTCGTGGCCGACTCTGGGGTTGTGGTGCTCATCTCGCTTTATTGGCCGAGGGAGCCGGCGTACAGCTTCCGGGTCATGTGGCCAGCATGACTAAGCCGCTTCTGGCGAACCAGAGCAGCGCACGGAAACGCCGTTTACCTTCCCGCTGGAGCGGCACCTATTTATCTACTTGCACTTTGACGTGCTTTCGAACTGCTAGGTTGGCAGGCGCTGGGACCGAGCAACGGGAGCTCACCCCGTCGCGGGGATTCGAACTGCCAACCTTCTGATCGACAAGTCCTAGGCTCTGTGGTTTAACCCACAGCGCCACCCGCGTCCCTTGCTTCACATATAATCCCTTGCAATTGTTACAACGTGCAATTGTACAGTGAGTCCAGGTGTTCGGCTGCATTGCATCTACCCTGCGGAAAAGGGTGTCTTTCCGAAATGTTGCACGCGGAGAAATTCCCACAGTGTAAACTGGGGTTCATGCACTTATAGACCTGGTGTTCAAAACACATGATGCTCCCCTCGCGCCGCCCGCCGGGTTATTCCAAGACAACTTGCCTGTTGTACAGCTTCTTGGGAAGGTTAACGTCAAGTATATGCGACAAAATGTTGACAAGCTGAGTTGCATAGCACAGGGCAGCACTGATGGTGTACGCAGGGTTGTTATGCTCCATGTCTGGAAGGGAAAGAACAACAACAGGCCCTCCATCAGTAGGTTGTAAAAGGGCTCCCCCCCCCCCCAGGAGTATCAACTATATATGTCTCCCCAGGAAACAGCCCCATCAAGAAGGGATCCTTAGATCCCGGTGCAGCATAATAGTTAGGGTGCCAAACTAGGACCTGGGAGATCCGGGTTCAAATCACCGCTTGGCCATGAAGCTCAATTTTGGGCCAATAACTGCCTCTCAGCTCAGCCTGGCTCGCAGGGGTGTTGTGGGGATTAGAGAGGAGGAGGAGAACCACGTAGGCTGCCTTGAGCTCCTTGGGAGAAAAGGGTAGGGTAGGAATGCAATAAACGAATACAGTGGTACCTTGGTTCTCAAACGCCTTGGGACCCAAACACTGCAAACCCAGAAGTAAGTGTTCTGGTTTGCAAACTTTTTTCGGAAGCCGAACGTGCTCCGTTTTGAGTGCCACGCTTCTGTTTTGAGTGTTATGCTGAGATCTGTTTTGCTATTTATTTTGCATTTTTGTGGCTTTTTTTGTTTTCGTGACTGTGTGGAACCCAATTCAGCTACTGATTGATTGTGTGACTGCAGTACATTGTTTATTGCTTTCATTTTATGGGTCTATGGTCTCATCCGATAGTAAAATTCATGTTAAATTGCATTTTTAGGGGTTGTTTTTAAAAGTCTGAAACGGATTAATCCATTTTGCATTACTTTCTATGGGAAAGCGTGTCTTGGTTTTGGAACGCTTTGGTTTTGGAACCAACTTCCGGAACGGATTAAGTTTGAGAACCAAGGTACCACTCACTGTATGGAGGGGTAGAGATGTCAGGGAAGCACATAACCTGTACATAACTTCAACTCACTTTGTCCATGGCTGTGATGTGAACCCTGAATTCTGCCCAGCTCTATCTCAGGGCCCCTGGGACTTTTGCTTCCACCCACCCACGGACAGGACACAAACAAAAATTAAAACCGTGTTGCGAAATGGTGTATGAATTATACAAGTTATTTATCTTCTCTGAACCCCGAGTCACAAATCTCAAACCCCAGCTGACATTTTTGCTGCCGTTCCGGCTTCTGAGAGTTCTGCAGGCGAGGGATTTGCCGGCATGTTGTGACAACCATGCTGCTGAAAAATTTGCTCTGCCTTTTTTTTTCCAACCAGGAAAGAAAGGAAAAGGAACGGAAGCCAAGATTCTTAGGGAGTTGAATTCTCTGCCTGGACCTGCGCTCCACAGCTTTGTGTGGCTGCAGAATCGCAACCGACGGGGCAGCCCTGCTGACGCACTCCCAGGCTTCCCTAAATTCAGTCCAAGCTCTGTGTTCTGCATTGATGTTAACCACATAATCCGAGTGAAGGAATGAGCAGAGGCTTACCCCCAGTGAGTTTAACTTCAGCCCAGCCAGAGGCTCTGTGGAATTTTTTTTTACCTGGCCCTTGAGTGGTCTTCTTCTCTTCCACCCAGTTGTAGTAAGCAGAATAATCTCCGTTGTTGGGAAGGGTGATCCAAGGCCCCGCGATGCCTATGCTGGTGTCTCCGTTGTGGTCGTCACACACCCATCGCCCGGACAGGTAGGTGGTCCTCCTGGCTTCCGCAAGCTTGCTCACAGTGCTAGAAGTCATGGCGTTGTCGCTCTCGGACGACATGTCTGCGGGGTCCCTGGAAGAAAGGCAAGAGGCTGAATGGCGGTCTCTAAGGAAGGATATAGGGACGTGGGTGGCGATGTGGGTTAAACCACAGAGCCTAGGGCTTGCCGATCAGAAGGTTGGCGGTCTGAATCCCCGTTGCTCGGTCTCTGCTCTTGCCAACCTAGCAGTTCGAAAGCACGTCAAAGTGCAAGAAGATAAATAGGTACCGCTCTAGCGGGAAGGTAAACAGCGTTTCCATGCGCTGCTCTGGTTCGCCAGAAGCGGCTTAGTCATGCTGGCCACATGACCCGGAAGCTGTACGTCGGCTCCCTCGGCCAATAAAGCAAGATGAGCACCGCAACCCCAGAGTCGGCTATGACTGGACCTAGTGGTCAGGGATCCCTTTACCTTTTAAGGAAGGATAAAGCCACCCCCACTAGCAGCTGCTACTGGTGTCCCCTCCGTGAACTGGGGCAAACTGTGCTCAAGGGGCTCAAACTGGGCAGAAAATACGGAAATAAATTAACTCCTTGGGACATCGTCCCAGGACTCCAGCTTTTACTCTAAAAAGCGGGAAAAGAAAACATTGTGGCTAAAATGAAGCACACTGCTTTCAGTGCAAAAATAAATCCATGCTAACATCATCTCCCTTAGGTATCAATGGAAGCAGAAAGTGCTTAAAATTGAACATTTAAGGAATTAGCTTCTGTCAAAGAAAAGCTGAAAACAGGCGTAAGACAAACAGGTGTTGAGGCTGCAACCCTAAGCAAAATAATTATCCCGAACCAGCTACCTAGAAGCCACCCTTTAGACCACGCAGGGTAAAACGGAGGAAAATTAAGAACCACGCATGTCCCCTTGAGCAGGATAAGCCTATATGGGATAGCTCAGTCGGCAGAGCATGGGACTCAAGCCCCGCATTGAACAAACAGATTCTTGCACTGCAGGGAGTTAGACTAGGAAGCCCTTGTGGTCCTTTCCAACTCTACAATTCTTTATTATTATAATACAGTCGTAACTCGGAAGTCGAATGGAATCCGTTCGGGAAGCCCATTTGACTTCCGAAACCAAGGCGTAGCTTCTGATTGCTTTATGTTTGTGCAGGCGTGCCGGAAACAATAGCGGAAGCCGCACCGGACGTTCGGCTTCCAAAAAGCTGTTCGAAAACCGGAACACTCACTTCCGGTTTTTGATCGTTTGGGAGCCGGAACGTTCTGTTGGGACATTGCCTACGTGCTTCTGTGCAGCTTGGCAGAGTGAGTAATTAGTAAGTTGGCCGAAGGCCAGGGAGACTGAGCAGGGGGAGTTTCTGCCTGGAGATATGGGAGCCTTGGCTCCAGCTCTGCTATTGGATGAGGTCGCCCATTTAAGCAGAATGACCCATGACTTCTCTCTGTGTGTAGGAGAGTCTTGGAGTGAGTTGAAGTTTTGTTGAGAGAGTTAAGATCTGTATCTGTAACTCGTATATAGTAACTTGTGAGTCTGCTGTTGTACATAATAAATCTCTAAGAAACCAGTATTTTTTGTTCCTGATCATCCTGCCAGTTTGCAAACAAACGTTTCCAGAAAGTCTGCGTACACTCTGCAATTTTCAACACATTCAACTCCCAAGGCGTTTGGGAGCTGGGGTACGAGTGTAATAATATTATTGTCTGTATGCAGCCCATCTATCTGGCTTGCCCAGTCAGAATTCTTTGATCCTAAGATAAAAATGTAGTAACTTCTTAAAAATGAAGCTGTATCTCCCACTGCGGCTCAAAGGGACTTTCACCCAAGTAAATATGATTCTGGTTTGGGTACATACTGGGTGACATCAGGAGGGGGTAAGGACCATTTCAACACAACCCCTTGTCCCCACATTCCCATGACCTTCCAGTTGCCACCAGGTTCCCTACCCACAGCTTTGCAGCCAGATGAGCATGGATATAAATTACAAAATTATTATTACTACTAAACCCCACAAAAGAGCACACGTATCCCTCTCGCCTGCTGCACCTTGCAGACTGAGGAAGTGAGCACTGCCACCCAAGCGGGCAGCTCACCGCACTGGCTCGGCAGCTGCCCCTTCCTTCCTTCCCTACCTCATGCCAATCTTCACCTCCTCGATAGGGAAGATGACGGAGGTGAGTTCCAGGACATGCGAGCGCCGGAGGCCTGCAAGGTGCTCGTGCTGGCTCCTCAGATCGTAGTTCCTTTTCTCCACCAGCTCTCCCAGCTTGCGGTTGTGCCTCTGGATCTTCTCCTTCTTCTCCTGATGCCGCTGGGCCCTGCGGTACAGCTTCTGGTTCTCGTCCTTAATTCGGAGAAGCCACTCGGAGTCTGGGGCAGAGCAAAGGCAACGGTGAGCTTTCGGGGTGGAACTGTCGTTTCTTCATACTGGTGCTGCAACCAGCTCATTCTTTCGATCAGAGACGGCCAGTCCTAGGCAATAGCTTTGATTTTTAGCTTCAAGTTACAGGGAAGCCAAGTTACACAGAACCAGGCAGAGGGCCTTCTCGGTGGTGGCTCCCATCCTGTGGAACGCCCTCCCACCAGATGTCAAGGAAATAAAGAACTATCTGACTTTTAGAAGACATCTGAAGGCAGCCCTGTTTAGGGAAGCTTTTAATACTTGATGTATTTTAATATTTTTTTGGAAGCTGCCCAGAGTGGCTGGGGAAGCCCAGACAGATGGGCGGGGTATAAATAATAAATTATTATTATTATTATTATTATTATTATTCAACTTGTTTTTTCCCCAGCTGTTAACTTGTGATTAATAAAAGAGAGTGAGTTACATTGCTCTAGCAGTTGTTTCCCCAACTTGCTTTCCCAGCTGTTGCTGGACTACAACTCCCATCATCCCTGACCACTGGTCCTGCTAGCTAGGGATGATGGGAGTTGCAGTCCAACAACAGCTGGGGACCCACTGCTCTGGGTTGCTTGAACCACTTTATGCCAACTGAAAGGGCCCCCTCAAACGCGCCCAATGCTATTCCTCTACTGAGGATTACAGTTGAAGACTGACAAACAAAGGCCAAACTTTCTTTTGGGGATGTTGCCTGCCGTTACTGATCTTATCATAGAAGAAGCCCAGATACGCTTCTGGGGAATGTTAAGGTCACATAGCATGCTTTGCAAAACTCTTCAGCTATGGGAACAGGAGTGTCCCAGATAGAGTCTGCCAACGCTTTTACTGAGGAAGAAGAGGAGGGGAGGAGTTTGGACTTGATATCCTACCTTTCACTCCCCTTAAGGAGTCTCAAAGCGGCCAACAATTTCCTTTCCCTTCCTCCGCCACAACAAACACTCTGTGAGGTGAGTGAGGCTGGGAGACTTCAGAGAGAAGTGTGACTGGCCCAAGGTCACCCAGCAGCTGCATGTGGAGGAGTGGGGAAGCGAACCCGGTTCACCAGATTACGAGTCCGCCGCTCCTAACAACTACATCACGCTGGCTCTCAGCACGAGCATCACTTACTTCGTGCCATTTCTTCGTTTTCCTTGCAGATCGTTTGCTTCAGCTGCTCAACCCTCATTTTGCAGGACATTATTTTCCACCTCTGAAAGAAACAGAGCAAGTAGAGGAGCTGCCCCCAAATCCACCACCTCAACAGCCTTAATCAACCAATCAGTTTTGTTTCAGGGCCCAAAGGAACAGCACCTATGATAGGGCTATTTATTATCCCCTGAACTGCACACTGCAATGTTTTCAATCAAGAGGCTTCTTGAGCCCCTCACTAGGTATAAACATTAAATTACTGTGGCCCAGAGTAATCCTGGGGCTGGCTGAGTGTGGTAATTCAGCGCAAGAACAGCACTTTTTGCTTTCCCCAAAGGCGTTATTATTTTAGGGGCAAGTGAGACAACAGATACATCTATTTTCTCAACCAAATTCGCCTTCGGCAAAAAAGTTATAGGTCTTGCTTATCTGCCAGCTATTTGGGCATTGCCTTGGAAACAGAAAGACTGGATGGAGGCTAGAACAGACAGATACTTTTACACCTTCAGAATAAAAAAGAAATTCCAGCCAAAGTAGCTGTAATTAAGTTCTGTCTTTCTTCCAATGAACTCAAACCATTGCACATTGTCCTCTTCCAGTTCCTGCTTTCTCCTTGAATCAGCCCTGAGAGGTAGGTTAAGCTGGGAGCAAGTTTGACTGGCCCAAGGTCACCCAATTAGGCTTCTTGGCTGAGTCGGGATTTGAACTCAGGTTTCTCGGGTCCTAGTCCTACACTCTAAACGCTACATTGCACTGGTGGAAGCATAGGATAAAAGCAACTTTCCTTTGCTAAACTCAACAGGTACAAGACATCCTGCGAATTTAAGGGTATCCAATCTCCCCTTTTAAAACGTAGGTTTACTTTGGCAACTGGTAGAGCATGAGCCTCTTAAACTCAGGGCCACGGGTTCAAGCCCCAAGTTGGGCAGAAAGATTCCTGCACTGCAGGGGGTTGGACTAAATGACCCTCGTGGTCCCTTTCAACTCGACAATTACAGGACACTGTGCTCTGTAATAGCTTTGTGTTTATCCTTCTCTGAAATCATCATTAAATGCCCAAAAGGGAGCTGAGGTTTAGGGATCAACCTTACAGGGTTGTTGCATGGCTTTCGAAAACTTGGGGGGGGGGGGGAGGAAATGTTATACAAATGCAAAATATTATTACTGGACTGAAGCTGGTGCCCCATGGTACAACCCCACACCCCCCCGAGTATGCATACACAAGAGACCCACAAGGACAGGGCTAATATGCGGTTCCTTCTCATGTGAAGAAAACAGCGTGGGTCTACACTGAAAAGTGGCCACTGCGCTTCAATGTGAACTGGAAAACTTCCATAGGACTCACCAGCTGGTCAGTTATCCATTTCCCCTCCATAGCTTTTAACAACCTACAAGAAGAGGGGAGCGGAAGGAGCAGAAGATTAGCTGGCAACCAGAACCACGCTTTCAGCAAACATCAGAGGTTCGAAAGACGATCTGCCTGTGCTTTAAGCCAACCAAAGTAGGTAAAAGAAACTGAACTGGGACTTACTGGGACTGGAATTCGTGCTGCTTGTTTCTAAGGTGCTTCAATCTCTCCTTCTTTTCAGAAAACCTGGAAAAGAAAGAAGTTCAAAGTTGTGGAAGGTGAAGGTCTGCTGTTTGATGGCTCAGCCTATGTGTTTGTTTTTTAAATCTCCATACAGCACTTTGAAATTTAGGTGCTTTATATAACTTAGCTTTATATACCTAAGGGACTTGTGTGGCGCTGTGGGTTAAACCACAGAGCCTAGGGCTTGCTGATCAGAAGGTTGGTGGTTCGAATCCCTGCGACTGGGTGAGCTCCTGTTGCTCGGTCCCTGCTCCTGCCCACCTAGCAGTTCAAAAGTGCATCAAAGTGCAAGTAGATAAATAGGTACCACTCCGGCGGGAAGGTAAACAGTTTTTCTGTGCACTGCTCTGGTTTGCCAGAAGCGGCTCAGTCATGCTGGCCACATGACCCAGAAGCTGTACGCCGGCTCCCTCGCCCAATAAAGCGAGATGAGCGCCGCAACCCCAGAGTCGGCCACGACTGGACCTAATGGTCAGGGGTCCCTTTACCCTTTACCATATACCTTAGCAACAGCAGAGCACCAACCTCATCAACTGAAGGAGTAAAAAGATGGATGCAACAATGTCAGACATTTTAATCAGTGTTAGGAAACCCCCAGGTGCCAGGCACATTTTGCGACTGGCACGGGTCCACTTGCGACCACGCGGAGATCTCTGGATGGCACCTTCTGCGACTGACATCTCCATCTGGCTGAACACTCCAGCTTTCTTAAGCAGGTAAGCAAAAGAGCTTATTTGTTGTGCTGGTCTCCCACCTTTTTCTCCAAGGAGTACATAGTTCACCCTCCTCCTCAGTTAACCCCAACAACGACCCTGCGAGGTAGGTTAGGAGGTTGCAACTGACTCCAAGGTCACCCAGTGAGCTTCATGGCCGAGTGGGGATTTGAACCCTGATCTCCCAGGTCCTAGTCCAAGCACTATACCACCCTGGCTTCCTACAGTACTTCCACTATGCAACAGCTATATATATTAAGTAGGTAAATAAATACGAGGAAAGCAAAATGTCACTTAGAGAAGGATCTGAAATATTTTCCTTGATGCTTGAATTTCTTTTATTCTGGATTGTTTTATTAGATGTTTTAATGTGTTGTAAAGCGGTATAGAAATGAAAAGAATAGTAGTAGTAATAATAATAAAAAGGGCACCTAGATATTCTGTTGTGGCGACCATAGCCATGGTTTAAGGTGCCATTTTGTGATTAGCTTATATATCTGAGTTTCTAACACTGTTTATAGAGCGTTTTGGGCACAGCTGTTTGGCTTAACTTAGACCAGGAGTTTGATGAGGGGCAGCTTATGTTTCACTGGAAGACTGCCAGCCAACTTCTGATAGGTCACCTCAAGGCTGACCGTGGCCTGAACCTGCCAGATAGTCCTCATGTTCTTGAGCAGAATAAGAGATTGGGAATATGCAACCACGTGCTGTATCATTCAATGCACTACCCATGGGATTGTGGCAAAAATAGTAACACCACAAGACTGCGGTCAGGCCACTTGTGACCTCCCACATATAATCATTTGGAAAGAGATGTGCACTCGAAGGTATACTGATGACAACTATTGGTTAAACGATTTTGAACCCTTCTTCCCTTCTGTTTCTTTATAACATTGGTATACTGTATTTAAATTTATTAAGTGGTATTGTGTTTTCATCAACAGTAATTTCTGCTCATTCTTGGGAAGAAGGTCCCAAATTCCTACAATTTCCCTATCCCAATTCCTGTAACCTGAAGCGTCTGTAACCCGAGGTACCATTGTAAATGCAAAGTAAGAAACACAAAACACTTATTGAAATTCATTTCTTTTTTAAAAAAAGAAATCTTCCACTACTAACAACCCATTCTACTGCTTCTCATGCCAGGCAGAAACAAGTCACAATCCCTGGCTTAAATTTAAATCTGAAATTGAAACAGGAAATGTGATTTGTTTCATCCTCAAGAAAACCACAGTCTGTAGCCAAAATCTGTTCTGAAGGGCACCAGATTGGCAAAGACTGCTTTGGCTATTATGTTACGCTATTTTTGCTAGCTCCTGGAAATAAGTATTTCCACCCCCCACAATGTACAGTGGTACCTCGGGTTACAAACGTTTCAGGTTACAGACTCCGCTAACCCAGAAATAGTACCTCGGGTTAAGAACTTTGCTTCAGGATGAGAACAGAAATTGTGTGGCAGTGGCAGTGGGAGGCCCCATTAGCTAAAGTGGTACCTCAGGTTAAGAACAGTTTCAGGTTAAGATCGGACCTCCAAAATGAATTAAGTTCTTAACCCGAGGTACCACTGTACTTCTCAAAACTATGACACAATACTCAAAACACCCTGCACAAAACAAGGGGAGCAGGCTGCCTTTGTTTTTATTAACGGCAGGACTTCCTGCCAAACCGTGACTCATCACCGACAATTAAATGTTAACCAAGCTCTAACTTCTTAACAAACAAAGTGTTGGAAGAACGTTTCCTGAAACAAACACTGCATTTCAGCATGAAGTATAATTCAGGAGCAGACTAACAATGAGGAAATATAAATCCTATTGAGATCCAAGTGACTCAAACTTCTGTGAAGTTAAGAGTTGAGAAGCGGGAGTTACGACAGCTATGCTATGTAATATTTCGCTCTTGCGACTTCTTCCTGTTTACAAAAACTGTAATTCACCCATGACATGTGTGAAATCATAAATATGATTTATTTTAATCATACACACACTCTATCTCTCTAAAGGAACAGGTACATAACTTGGGGTGCTCCTGAATCCACTGCTGCCGCTTCAAACCCCGGTGGTCTCGGTGGCAGAGAGTGCTTTCTGTCACCCTTGGCTGCTGGCCCAGCTGGTCCCCTATCTGGACACAGATAGCCCAACTTCTGTGGCCTATGCTCTGGTAACCTCTAGGTTAGATTACTGCAAGGTGTTAAATGTGGGGCTGCCTCTGAAGACGGCTCAGAAACTTCAGCTGGTGCAAAATTCAACGGCCAGGTTGCTCACCAAGAGGAGCTGAGCATATAACACCGATCCTGGCCTGAATGCACTGGCTGCCAATTAGTTTCTGAGTCCTAATCAAAGTGCTGGTGCTGACCTATAAAGCCTTAAATGGCTCAGGACCTCACCCAGGGCCCTTCTCTATGTCGCCCGCCCCCTTCTCAAGAGGTTCAGAGGGCAACAACATGAGAACAGGTCTTTTCTGTGGTGTCCCTGTTTGTGGAATGCTCTCCCAAAGAAGCTCACCTAGTGCCATCATTACATGTCTTTAGGCGCGAGTCTTTCCCAGCCCTACCTGAAAATGCCAAGGATTTTATCCTGGGACCTTCTGCATGCAAAGCAGATGCTCTTCCACTTATCTACTATGGCCTATCAAGGAGGGTGTTGGGACTATAAAGCTTACAAAAAACCCTCGAATTCTACAATACAACATCTGCTCTTGCATCTTGCTTCAGATGCAAGGCAGAAAGTCAGCTACTGTTCCTACCATTTAGAACAGAAAGGTTCAATACTCAACCTGACAGCTTGCTTAAATTAACAAATGTGTACGGTCACCCAGGGTCATGTAAAGAGCCGTATGTCCCTGTTACAGCACTGGAGGAATCCAACACCTGGGCAAGTACACCTAGAAGAATCGGGAAACAATACCACCAGCCTGAAGATGACTTTATGCTGCCAGACCAGGCTGGGTTTCCTTCAGTGCTAGCAACATAAGAACAGTACCGCTGGATTTGACTGAGTGCATCCTGTTTCACACCGGGGCAAGCCAGATCCCTTTCAGAAGCCCCTAAGCTGGTCATGAAGACCATGGACCATCCCCCCAGTGTTTGCCCCCGCTCCCACCAACAGATGCCCACAGGTACACTGTCCCACCACAGGTAAGCTGTAAGTTGCCCTGGGCACAAGAAAGCAACCAACAAAATTTAATACACAATGACAAGTTTACAGACAGGAGTCTTGGACTCATAAATCACAGAGCTGGAAGGGACCCTAAGGGTCGACAAGTCCAACCAACTGGAATGTCGGTATCCTGCCCACAGCATCCCTGGGTGGGCTGGAACTACCAGCCTCCTTGTTAACACACCAACCCTTTGCACCCTGAGTGGCTGGCAAGGTCTATTACCGGGTCTCAGCCCTCAACCTCAAGGGGCAGCATCCGCCTGTCGGCACCGAGCCGCGGGAGTGCCTTTGAGCATGTGCAGAGAGCCGGAGCCACTTATACAGTGGTACCTCGGGTTAAGTACTTACTTCGTTCTGGAGGTCCATTCTTAACCTGAAACTGTTCTTAACCTGAAGCACTTTAACTAATGGGGCCTCCTGTTGCCGCCGGAGCACGATTTCTGTTCTCATCCTGAAGCAAAGTTCTTAACCCGAGGTACTATATCTGGGTGACCGGAGTCTGTAACCTGAAGAGTCTGTAACCCGAGGTACCACTGTATACACTTTCTTTATCCTGGATAAACTCCCCCCCGGGAGGCTGAGGTGAAAGGGGGGCTGCCGAATTTCCCGCTTGGGGAGCCCCCTCAGGAGAAGCGCAGCCAAGGGGCCCAGAGACCCCGGGGAAGGGAAGGGGAAGAGGAGGGAGGGGAAGGGCCTGGCCGCCCTCCTCCTCCGAGGCACCCACCGCTCCGAGTCCCGGCCGTCGAAGAAGACGAAGTCCCCCCCGCGGACGCACTTGGCGCAGGTGAGGCGGCGCCGCGTGGTGTTGCAGAGGGGGCAGCGCTCCACCGCCACGTACAGGCCCTCGGCCCGGGACTCCGCCTCGGCCCCGGCCTCCGCTCCCTCGGCACTGGCGGGGGCCACAACCCCGGAGGGCGGCGGCGGCGGCGGGGGCGGCGGGCGCTGCTGTTGCCGCCGCGGGCGCTGCGCCGGGCCCGTCCAGCCGCCGCCCCTGGGAGACGCCATGTTTGCCGACGGGCTCGCGGCGCCCGGCGGTCACGTGGGACTTTGTTTTCAATCCGGGGCATGATGGGAAACAAAACAACCAGCGGAGGGAGGGAGGGAGGGGACGCGCGCGGCGGGGCTTCTCAGGGGCGGGGCTTCAAGGGGAAAGGCGCGACGGTGACGCATTACGCAGAGGCGGGGTGTGATGGAGGAAGCGGCTCCCCTATTGGCTAATCCCAGACGGGCCTACGGGCGGAGCTAAAGGGGAAGGAAAGGTGGTGACGCTCTGAGGAGGAGGCGGGGGTTGATGCGGGGGAGCGGTTCCTATTGGCTGCCTCGCATCCCAATCCCAGGCAGGTGAGGGAGTGCAGCTAAAAGAGGAAGGAATGGAGGTGACGTATTTTATGGGGCGGGGATGAATGGGGGCGGTGTTTGATGGGGAAGCGGTTCCTATTGGCTGCCTCCCTGCCCAATCCAAGGCCGACTCCGTTTCCGCTGGATTTCATTCTTGCTCTCCTATGATTTGGGAGTATTTTCACTTTTACTTATTGGGTTATTATTATTATTATTATTATTTATTGTATTTTAGTGTTTTGTTGGAAGCCGCCCAGAGTGGCTGGGGAAACCCAGCCAGATGGCGGGGTAGAAATAATAAATTATTATTATTATTATTATTATTATTATTATTATTTCTCTGCACATTTTTTTGCATAGGGTTTAAAGGTTGCCGGCTGCCGAAAGGCGAAGCTGCCTTTGGAACCGCGGAAAATTAAATTTATGAGATTATGAAAGTTAAATATAAACTCAACGGCAGGCAAGGAGTTAAAAGGTTCGCGTTGGTTCGCGTTTGAAGCCGAATTTGTGAAATTCGCACTTACAGGAACAATAGGAAGACCAAAAAGCAGCCATTCCATAGACAAAGGAGATGGTGTTGGACTTTCAGAGGAAGAGAGAACTAGCCCCACTGTACATCGGGGAGGGCTGTGTGGAGAGAGTCTCTTCCTTTGAATTCCTAGGAGTTCATCTCAGTGAAGACCTTACTTGGAAGATCAATACGTGGTTAAGAAAGCCCAACAGAGACTCCATTTCCTCAGAGTATTGCAGAAGAATGACGTCAATCAACATTTGATTATCTCTTTCTACTGGTCAACAATAGAAAGTGTCCTTTCATACTGCGTCACGGTGTGGTATGCTGGTTTGACATCATCTGATAGGAAGTGCCTACAGAGGGTGGTGTACAAGATATTATGGGCTGTCCCGTGAATCCGCTGGATGAAACAGCGGAAGAAGGTTGCCTCAGGAGAGTGAGGAAAATTCTCAGGGATGATTCACACCCTGGCCGGCACTTTCTTGATCTCCTGCTCTCAGGCAGAAGATATAGAAGCATGATTAGTCACACCAACAGGGCAAAGAACAGCTTCTATCCGTGGGCTGTTAGGCTGCTGAATGAAAAGATAACAACAGGGCAACTGACTTTTGGGTTTGGTGGGTGTGCGTCAGTAAACGAGGGGAATTAAAACTAGGAGAGCTGAGTGAGGCGTGCTCATGTAATCTCGCTTTATACAAGTTGTACAAATGACAATAAAGTATTTCAATTTCAATTCTCTGACATCTGCAGTCATCTGGATTTTACCATGTAGTTTCCCAACCAACGCTGTCAGCAATATGCTAATGACACACACCTCTGCTTCTCCTTTACAGGAGTAAATGCTCCGTTTTCTGTTTCCCTGCCTGTTTCCTTGCAACAGTAGTGTGGACAGACATCTTTAAGACCGTGTTCATGGAAGACAAACATACTCAGCTATGAGCAATCGCCAAAGAAAAAGACAACCTGCTGAAATGCTGATGAGCTAGAACCAGGCCTTCCAGTCAAATGGGTCTCCCATTCCACATCAGCCAATGTGGCTAGACTACATATTGTTTAACGAATAATTAAAAAACAACAACCCAGTATTTTAATAGTGTGATTTATCTTTATTTTAGACAAAAACACATTTAAAAAATGGGGAACATTTCAATTTCAACAGTATTCCAAGACGCTAACCTGTTCCCTAAAGCATTCTTACAGAACTAGTTTTTGTATTTCATATCTCTTTTATCACATTTCACACTGTTCAAAATTCATAGCCTTTTTTCTATAAGGAATTCACAAGAAGAAGAATACAATGAAACAGACTGATGGCGTCAAACTGTAACAGAGGATTAGAGGTATTTGACTGTCAACAGTCAATTTGTGTGTTTGAGAATTTTGTACTTGATGCTAAAACTCACCTAAACTATACAATTTATCAGAAAAAAATTAAGAAGCTTTCTTAAAGCCCTTCAGGATTGGATAGATGTTTTCAAATGCTTCATATATTTCAGAACGGTATTTGGCACCTAGGAAAAATGGTTTTGAAATGAGCATTAATAACATTCATAAGAAATGAAATGAAGTTAGGAGCAATGCCCTAAAAATGTTCTCTGCCAGGAGAGTAAAGTTGAAGGGGGAAATGGGGGGAAATTTTCCATAGCGCAGCCCTTTTGAACTCCATTATCAGAGTGGGATGGTTTTCGATCATCTCCACTAGACTGGTTGAAAAGCCTACCATAGTAGATGACACCTTCCTTCCTTGTCAGTTCCTGGCCTATAATGTTAATTACCATGTCAGCTTGGACAAACTGTTTTTCTAGTTCAGCATCTTGCACCTGGCCTGAACAGAGACAAATCTATCTCACATTTATTTTCCCTAGATGCCACCACAGCATTCTGTTTGGGTTCATTTTTCTTAAACCTGCCAGCTATCCATTTCAATGAGAAATCAATAGTTTTTTTATTAAGAATGTACACTATTCACTTTCCCCCTAAAACAGCTATCCTGTTTCCTGCTTCTCACATGTGGTGTATACACACACACACACACACACACACACACACACTTATCCTATCACCATTATGTATGTGCTCTGGTCCATGGGGTCACGAAGAGTCGGACACGACTAAATGACTAAACAACAACAACAATGTACATATGATATATTATGTAAAATTGCATAATTTTACATAATATATAATAAAATATTACAGTGGTACCTCAGGTTAAGAACTTAATTCATTCCGGAGGTCCGTTTTTAACCTGAAACTGTTTTTAACCTGAAGCACCACTTTAGCTAATGGGGCCTCCTGCTGCTGCCGCGCTGCCAGAGCCCGATTTCTGTTCTTATCCTGAAGCAAAGTTCTTAACCTGAAGCACTATTTCTGGGTTAATGGAGTGTGTAACCTGAAGGATATGTAACCTGAAGCGTATGTAACCCGAGATACCACTGTACATAATAAAATAAAATTACATAATAATATATATTATGTAAAATACATAATATTATGTATTTAGACACAGCGGGTGGCGCTGTGGTCTAAACCACTGAGTCTTGGGCTTGCTGATCAAAAGGTTGGCAGTTCGAATCCCTGCGACGGGGTGAGCTCCCGTTGCTCGGTCCCTGCTCCTGCCAACCTAGCAGTTCGAAAGCACATCAAAGTGCAAGTAGATAAATAGGTCAATAAATACAGTGGTGCCTCGCAAGACGAAATTAATCCGTTCTGCGAGAGTCTTCGTCTAGCGGTTTTTTCGTCTTGCGAAGCAACCCTATTAGCGGCTTAACGGAGTAGCGCTATTAGCGGTTTAGCGGCTATTAAAGGCTTAAAGGCTTAGGGGATTAGCTGCTAAAAGGCTATTAAAGGCTTAGCAGATTAGATAAAGGGGGGGGAAAGCGAAAAAAAAATCTCTAGACTCGCAAGACATTTTCGTCTTGCGAAGCAAGCCCATAGGGAAATTCGTCCTGCGAAGCGCATTGAAAACGGAAAACCCTTTCGTCTAGCGGGTTTTCCGTCTTGCGAGGCATTCGTCTTGCGGGGCACCACTGTAAGACAAACTTCGGCTCCCTCGGTCAGTATAGCGAGATGAGCGCCGCAACCCCAGAGCTGTTCGTGACTGGACTTAACTGTCAGGGGTCCTTTACCTTTACCTTTAATATTTTTGCAGGATTCAGAAAAGGACCTTAAATTCTTTTCTTCCTTATAGTTTTAGGGCAGAAGTGATGCTTAAAATGCTTTTCACATTTCACACATCAGTAAACAGAGATGATCACACCACACTGACCTGGGTGTATAGCTTAGCAGTTGGGCTCTATCTCTCTCCTGCATAAACTTTCACAAGCAATGCATTCCAAGCATAAAAAAATAAAATGAAACTGTTCTCAGGCTGCAGTCCAATACCAATAACCTGTGCATAAGCCCTGCTGAATTCAGTGGGACTTCTGAATAGATAGGTATAGGATTGCAGTGATTGTCACACGGTGCAATTTTAGTAGAACAAATGTAAGATGTCCGATTTTACAGCTCCCATACGTTTCAGCAGGGCTCACGCTGGAGATGTTTCCGACAGACTGTGCCTATAGCCTTCACATGCAAACTCCTAGGTCAATAGTTTGCGCTGTATACATCACTTACCAGTTAATACAACTTTTCCGGACACAAAGATAAGCAATACAATCCGTGGTTTGACCATTCGATAAATGAGGCCAGGAAACAGTTCTGGTTCATAGCTGTTTAAGAAAGAATTAAAATGCATGAAGTTAGAAAGTCATTTGGCATTGTATGTGACTAATGGGAGGGTTTTATGTGACTTTGGGGTTTAATGCATCAGAAAGGGGGAAGTGAGATATCAAAAGAGCGTCTACCCTCTTCGAAAGGAAAAGGGAGGAAGCAGCTTCTGAAAAGGTCATGAGGGACACAGGTAGTCCAAGTTAGCAGAGCCTGCAAGCATCAGTGTGGAATTATGTGAGAGGATACAATATCAACACCAGGCTATGTTCATATGACTGCTTACTCCAAATCCATTGCACACCACAATGATACAAGCCCTCCATTCACAAGCAGTGTAAATGGGGCTACGTGGGGCTACCTTTGAAGGTGACCCAGAAACTACAACTAATCCAGAAGGCGGCAGCTAGACTGGTGACTGGGAGCGGCCGCTGAGACCACATAACACTGGTCTTGAAAGACCTACATTGGCTCCCAGTACGTTTCCGAGCACAATTCAAAGTGTTGGTGCTGACCTTCAAAGCCCTAAACGGCCTCGGCCCAGTATATCTGAAGGAGCGTCTCCACCCCCATCGTTCTACCCGGACACTTCTGCCCTTCTGGCAGTTCCCTCATTGCGAGAAGCAAAGCTACAGGGAACCAGGCAGAGGGCCTTCTCGGTAGTGGCACCCGCCCTGTGGAACGCCCTCCCACCAGATGTTAAAGAGATAAACAACTACCTGACATTCAGAAGACATCTTAAGGCAGCCCTGTTCAGGGAGGTTTTTAATGTGTGACATCTTAGTGTATTTTTTGGCCTTTGTGGAAGCCGCCCAGAGTGGCTGGGGAAACCCAGGCAGATGGGCGGGGTACAAATAATAAATTATTATTATTATTATAAAGCAGCAGGGGACTAGAATGCGATCTTGCCCTGAGGGCAAAGTGCTCCCTGGTTTGCAACACCTAAAAGCTATTTACAGCATTTTCCCCAAAACATGAAGAGCAAATGTTCTGTTTTCCTTTCCAACAGCGGCATGGATGGACGTACCTACTGAACTGCTGATGCGTGAGAACCAGGCCTTCGAGCCGGATGGGAAATCTCACATCGCAGCTGCCCACCATGTTCTGTATTTTGAAATCCAGGAACTTAGCAGGGAACCCAAGCTTCTGCACCACACGGGCGTACTTCCTCGCTGCCAGCCGCGACTGTTCTTCGCTGCAGGTTCACACACACACACAAAAAGGGGGGTGGGGCAGAAATCCAGCCACCAAAGGTTTGAGGCATAGCTGTCAACTTACAGATTTGAAAATAAGGGACCAGCAGCCTCGAAAATAAGGGATCAGTAGCCAAAATAAGGGATTTTAGTCAACCAGCAGCCAAACGAAGCCTCAAGCGGTGGTTCCCATAGCGCAGCAACCCGGCAAAGGGGATGCAGCAAGGAAAACAACCGTCACCTCTCCGCTGGGAAGCGCTGAGCAAAGGCGAGTCCCCAGGCAACGCGGCCGATTTGATCGGCACAAGGCATGCAAGCTCCACCCCCCAGTCGTTCTTAGACTCCTTATTAGGTGAGCAATGCAGCCAAGCAACACAGTTGGATCCTCCCTCCTCCGTGGCCGGCAGGGAGGGAGGGAGAGGAGCTGCTTCCTTTGAAACCCGGGAAATTTAAGGGACATCATCAATCCAGGACAGCAGCGGGACACGGCGCTGGGAAAAGGGACTGTCCCGCCAAATAAGGGACGCTTGACAGCTATGGTTTGAGTAGGGCTATAGGTTGGTTTGTGCTTTGCAATGGTTCCATCAGGTTACAGCAGAAGGGAGAGAAGGCAAGCATGAACATCATCTGCTTGGCTGAGAAGCTAGCTCTGTCAGGCTTCTCCTCCAACAGCTGTCATTGAACAGCACACCTTCCATCAGGCTGCTGTAGAGGGAACCAAGGGAGCAGGGCCGCCCCATTGACTCTGCTGAGAGGCTGCAACTTTTGACTTCTCTCCTTGATCCAGTTCCCATCCCAGCTGGTCTAGTGGCTTGAGTTTGCTCCCCGCTCCCCATTAAGTGTGGTTACCTTTGAAGGTGACCCGGAAACTGCAATTAATCCAGAATGCGGCAGCTCGACTGGTGACTGGGAGCAGCCGCCGAGACCATATAACACCAGTCCTGAGAGATCTTCATTGGCTCCCAGCACGTTTCCGAGCACAATTCAAAGTGTTGGTGCTGACCTTTAAAGCCCTAAATGGCCTCGGTCCTGTATACCTGAAGGAGCGTCTCCACCCCCATCGTTCAGCCCGGACACTGAGATCCAGCGCTGAGGGCCTTCTGGCAGTTCCCTCACTGCGAGAAGCCAAGTTACAGGGAACCAGACAGAGGGCCTTCTTGGTAGTGGCACCCGCCCTGTGGAATGCCCTCCCACCAGATGTGAAGGAAATAAGCAGCTATCTTATCTTTAAAAGACATCTGAAGGCAGCCCTGTTTAGGGAAGTTTTTAATATTTAATGCTGTATTGTTTTTAACACTCGATTGGAAGCCGCCCAGAGTGGCTGGGGAAACTCAGGCAGATGGGCGGGGTATAAATAATAAATTATTATTAATATTGTTATTAATATTACTATTAAGTGGAATTATTTAATTGTACATCAAAATGAAAAATAACTGTATATGTATTGCTGCAGCTGCAACTTTTGAAAATTCCATTGAAGCTAAGCAAGAGGAACAGAGAGCCTAAGAGATTATAATTAACTTAGAATGTCTTTCCGCAAGCTCGCACGTGGAGTTTTAGCTTAGATCACATAAGAAAGGTAAAAAGGTAAAGGTAAAGGTACCCCTGCCTGTACGGGCCAGTCATGTCCGACTCTAGGGTTGTGTGCCCATCTCACTTAAGAGGCTGGGGGCCAGAGCTGTCCGGAGACACTTCCGGGTCACGTGGCCAGCGTGACGGCTATGGTACAGCACACGGAAACGCCGTTTACCTTCCCGCTATAAAGCGGTACCTATTTATCTACTTGCACTTAAGAGTGCTTTCGAACTGCTAGGTGGGCAGGAGCTGGGACCAAAAGACGGGCGCTCACCCCGCCGTGGGGATTCGAACCGCCGACCATGCGATCGGCAAGCCCTAGGCACTGAGGTTTTACCCACAGCGCCACCCGCGTCCTACATAAGGGACATAAGAAAGGTATTCGGTTGCAAATCTCCATTTTGTGTGAGTTGGTCTTTGCTCTCTCCCTGGGAGCAGCTGGAGAGAAAGGTGTGCAATTGATTCTCTCCAGGAACGCAGCCTCAGAGTATAATACAGGCGATGGAGGAGGCAGAGCTTTGTTTTCAGCTCTGGGTGAAGTAATTTAATGTTTCTAAGATGTTTAACCTATGCATGGACAAGCATATGATACTATGCAATAATTTGGGTGTAAGATTACTGTTGCAAGTCTGTTTTGCAACAAGTTCTATTAGTAAAGCTTTTGAACCTTATTTTTGGACTGGACAATTCTTATTTCAAGAAGGGTCCATTTTTATTCACCCTACTGCTTCCAAATTCACAATATCAATACCCCCCCCCCAAATAAATCTCTTTTCCTTTTGGCTCATTTCCTTTATATTGTGGTCGTGAGGGCAGAGACAGGCTTGTTAGTGACATTTGTAAGGTTCTCTGGGAGCCTTTTTCAACCACACTGTGGGGTAAAATTGCTTACAAGCAAGCAAAATGTTTCCCACATTATTCCAGTTGTTCCTATTTATTTATCTGTCAGGACAGACCCTATTTCTTGGTATTTGTTCAGAGCGCTTGGAAAGTTATAACTGGGACCTGAGAATTGGGGTGTTTCAATCATGTCTCCGTTTTCTTCTGTGAAATGTGCAATGTAAACATTATTCAAATCAAACAAATCTGTACGTGCTGACTTTCAACCGTTTATTACAGGCTTTTTGCTATCCTTTGGGAGGGGCAGAGAACTATGTGGGCAGTGAAAAGCCCCCCTCTCTAACCACTGTATATCCTACTATTCGCAACCCGACCTCCAGTATTTCACTTGCATCACCCACACCACTTCCAACCCTTATATTACAGGGTCAGGTTTAAGGTTCTGGTTTTGACCTTTAAAGCCCTTCACAGCCTAGGACCCTCGTACCTACGGGACCGCCTCTCCCGGTTTGCCCCACGGAGAGCCTCAAGGTCCATAAATAGCAACACCCTAGAGGTCCCGGGCCCTAAGGAAGTCAGATTAGCCTCAACCAGAGCCAGGGCCTTTTCAGCACTGGCCCCGGCCTGGTAGAATGCTCTGTCTCATGAGACCAGGGCCCTGCAGGATCTGATTTCTTTCTGCAGGGCCTTTAAGACAGAGTTGTTCCGCCTGGCCTTTGGCTTGGAGCCAATTAGATTCCCTCCCCCTCTTTCTTTTTCCTTTTTTCTTTCTCCTCCTGTGATGAGGCTGCATTTTAATATTTTAATGTTTCAATATTTTAATGTTGTATTTTAATCTTGTTTTTTAAGTTGTATTCATTCAACTTGTTTTTATTATTGCTTGTTAGCCGCCCTGAGCCCGGCCTTGGCTGGGGAGGGCGGGGTATAAATAAACATTATTATTATTATTATTATTATTATTATTATTATTATTATTTTCAGAGTCACATGGCTAGGCAAAACGTATTTTAAAAGGAAGGAGAGAAAGAAAGCCAAGATTTGCAGAAACCTCAATCCTGCCCGCCATGTCAGTGCCCTGTTTATTCTGGGTTCATAATAAAGTCTTACCTTTTCGCTCCTGTGCAGACCATTTTGCCGGAACTAAATATGAGGGCGGTTGTCCTTGGTTCTCGAATTCGCATGATCACAGCAGCAAACCTCTAAAGTTCAGGAAAAAACCAGATTACCACCTTGTGGATCTGTTTTAGGCAAGTGCCTCTGGCAGTATCTTATGAAATACAGAGGTTTGACCCGACAGGTGCACTCTGCGCATGCTCATCCTTCTCATTTCTGAGGCTCTTGCAATGGAGGAATCTACAAGACCTGTTTTCCACAAGCCTTTTCTATTATTACATTTATATGGCACCTTTTCTAGCAAGGAGTTCAAGGCTGTGTACAAGGTTCTCCTCCACCCCAGTTCATCCCCACAACAAACCTGTGAGGTAGGCTAGGCTGAGAGATAGTGACTGGCTCAAGGTCACCCAATGAGCTTCACGGCTGGGTGGGGATTCGAACCGTGGTCTCTCAAAGTCATAGTTCAACATTCTAGAATTGTAGAGTTGGAAGAGACCACGAGGATCATGTACTCCAACTTTCTGCAATGCAGCAATCTTTTGCCCAACGTGGGGTTCAAACTCATAATCCTGAGATTAAGAGTCTCATGTTCTACCGACTGGGGTACCCCCAGCACCTCCATCTCTAGAGTCCACCAAGTCTGAGCCTAACCAGAATCTCAAAGGGGAACCATTTCTCAGAGGCATGGCACCAAACAGCTTCCCTGGGACTTACCTTTGGGTTGAATTCTGCATTCCTAGCTTGAAGGGCGATGTTCTTGAGGTCCAGTTTACAAGCCAAGTTTACAGTGGCCACTATATTCCTAGGAGAACAAGGGAGAAACATTGCACATTGAAGACTTCATTTACGAGGGGATGCAACAGATTGACAAAGGTGCCTTTAGTGCTTAGAAGTGGCATGGATAAGTTCATGGGATGCATAAAAGATAATTAGAAGTCACTTGAAAGTAATAAATAGGCTAAGGATTAGTATAAGAATGTGTTGTAAAACATTAAGGACTAGAATACTAATAAAAGAGAGGAGGATAGTAAATGGAAGAAGTCAATTTCAATAGAAATATGATTTTAGAGAACTGTTACAAGGTGATATAATGAAATTCAGTTAGGGGGGACCTGAGGAAGTCAATTAACAATGTAAGGCAATTTGGGTTTCGGAAGAAATAATTCTTTTTATGTTTTTCTTTTGTTCTGTAATGTGTTTTCTTTTGCTGTTTTTTGTAATGTATGTTTTTTCTTATAAATTTGGAAAAGCAATAAAAAAAATTTGGGGGGGAAAAGTTCATGGGATGCATCACAGCAAATCTGCCATTCCTTTCAGTACTGAGCCATAAATTGAATGTCCATCATACTCCTCCTCCTCCTCTTCTTATTTCTAGATGCAATTGGTTCAGGGAAATCAACCAACATCTGTTGGGATTGCATAAATTTGACCTTGCTAGTTTGGGAACATTCACACAACACAGTGGTACCTCGGTTTAAGAACAGTCTGGTTTAAGAACGATTCGGTTTACAAACTCTGCAAAACCGGAAATAGTGTCTTGGTTTGAGAACTTTACCTTGGTCTAAGAACAGAAGCCGAATGGTGGATGGGGAACTGGCGGCAGGAGGCCTCATTAGGGAAAGCGCGCCTTGGTTTAAGAATGGTTTTGGTTTAAGAACGGACTTCCGGAACGGATTAAGTTCGTAAACTGAGGTACCACCGTACATTCAAAGCACCCCCAATGCACATTTTAAACATAGAACCTGAGAGTTAAAGATAAGCAAACAAGAGTGAAGAGAATGTGTTGCCATTGCTTAGCAACCTGGAGGCAGGCTCCCACTTGCTTAGGGAGAAGGCCCTCAAGTGGCTAGCAGTAGTAGTAGTAGTAGTAGTAGTAGTAGTAGTAGTAGTAATACCCTGCCTTTTTCCCTGATGGGGACAAAAGGTGGCTTCAGATAAAAATAAGAACAACCAAAAACATAGAAAAATAACAATTAAAAAAAAAACAATTAATGATTTGCTGAATAAAAGCAACCATGGTAAAGGTAAAGGTAAAAGGACCCCTGACCATAAGGTCCAGTCGTGACCGACTCTGGGGTTGCTGCGCTCATCTCGCTTTATTGGCCGAGGGAGCCAGCATATAGCTTCCGGGTCATGTGGCCAGCATGACTAAGCCGCTTCTGGCGAACCAGAGCAACGCACAGAAACGCCGTTTACCTTCCCGCCGGAGCGGTACCTATTTATCTACTTGCACTTTGACGTGCTTTTGAACTGCTAGGTTGGCAGGAGCAGGGACCGAGCAACGGGAGCTCACCCTGTCGCGGGGATTCGAACCGTCGACCTTCTGATCGGCAAGTCCTAGGCTCTGTGGTTTAACCCACAGTGCCACCCGCATCCCAAAAGCAACCATATTTCAATCTATTGATTTTGTACTTAATACACATATAACTTTAACCCACCAGGGGGCACTATTTGTGTAGAAAGCTAACTAGAACTTGTTGAAACAAAATAAAAAAAATCCTTCCAGCAGCACCTTAGAGACCAACTAAGTTTGTTATTGGTATGAGCTTTCCTGTGCTTGTTTGGTAAGCCTCTGTGTTTAAGTTAACTCCACCCCTTAAAAGCTGAGCCATTTGTTGTTTGCTGTTCTCTCCAGACGAGATGTCTGCTATTTCTCTCCTATCTCCACTCATCCCGTAAACAGTTCCTGCATAAATAAAGCCTTTGAACTCTACAAACTACAAGAGTGACTTTCAATCTAAGTCACCCAAGCTTCAAGGCGCTCTAACAGGAATGAACCTACTGCAACTGTGGGACGATGCCAGAAGAACTTTCTGAAGCAGAGGCCATAGGGGTCATCGGGTTCATGGGAAGACGGGACCCAGAGGCATCGGGCATCCTAGAAGCATCGGGCGATGGTTGAGTTGCGTTTTCATCCCTCTGTCGGGACAGGCCACTACCATTCAGGAAGATGCCACTGTCTTGCGATCCTGACTGAGAGCCGTGCTGGTCTCCCAATGACATTGCACGGCCCTCATGTTTGTTATCCGGGCTTAAATAGTCAGGCAGGAAGCTGAGGTCAATCGAGAAGTTGTGGGTCTGGTCGGGCGGAGAATGAAACGCTGCCCCCTGGTAGGAGGAAGGAGGCAAGTCTGCCGCAAAGGGGCTCATGGGAGCAGACACTTGTGGGCTGGATGGTGGAAAGTTATCCTATCACAACATGGGAGAGAGAAAAAACAGTCATCACACTTCTGTGTTAATAGGACATAAGAAGAGGCTGCTGGACCCATCTAGTCCAGCATCCTGTTCTCACAGTGGCTTGCCTGTGGGAAACCAGCAGGCAGGATTCGAACACAAGAGCAGCTCTCCCCTCCTGTGGGTTCTAGCAACTGGGATTCAGAAGCTTTGCTGCATCCAATTGTGGAGGCAGAGGCGAGCCATTGTGACTAGCAGTTGCCAAAAGCCCTTCGCTATAGGTAAAGGGTAAAGGGACCCCTGACCATTAGGTCCAGTTGTGACCGACTCTGGGGTTGCGGCGCTCATCTCGCTTTATTGGCCGAGGGAGCCGGCGTACAGCTTCCGGGTCATGTGGCCAGCATGACTAAGCCGATTCTGGCGAACCAGAGCAGCGCACGGAAACGCCGTTTACCTTCCCGCTGGAGTGGTACCTATTTATCTACTTGCACTTTGACGTGCTTTTGAACTGCTAGGTGGGCAGGAGCAGGGACTGAGCAACGGGAGCTCACCCCATCGCGGGGATTCAAACCGCCAACCTTCTGATCGGCAAGCCCTAGGTTCTGTGGTTTAACCCACAGCGCCACCCGTGTCCCGCCCTTCGCTATAAATTGGTCCAATTCTCTTTCAGGGCCATCTAGATTGGCGTCCATCACCTCCTCCTGTGGCAATGAGTTCCATAGTTTAACTGTGCACTGCGTGTTTTCTTTGATCTGTCCTGAATTTCCCCACCATTCACTTGAGGTCCATGGGTTCTAGTGTTAGGAGCAGGGGAAACCTTTCCTCTACGCCAGATCCCCCAAAATAATACGTTCAAAATACACTGCAGCAGCAGAGGACCACAATTCGAGCAAAGCCATGGCTTTTTCCTCACAGGGCCATGTTTACTGCATAGAACCCACTGTTGGTGGATCTCAGCCAAAACTCTCTGCTACCGGCTGCTTAGTCCGTGTAGTCCAGGATGACAACTCAGGAACATAACTTGCCGAACAATAACTTGATTTGTATTTACTTTTATTATATACAGAGTATAGCACAGTTTTGTACAAGTTACTATACGCACAGACTTGATTCTTACTCTACACACCAACCTCTGAACTCTGTGATAGGAATTTTGAGGTCTTAGATATATGGTAATGTTCATTAGTGTACCAACCAAACACTTACATAGATCAGCACAGGAAGACCGACCTGGAACCATTTTGATTCCTAAACTGACCAAATGTTTTCTCTGCAAGGTCAAAGTGGGAAATCTCCCCATTGTCTCTTTCCTCACAAATCCTGTCTTAAGGGCACATTTAAGATATGAATAGGGTGTGAGCCTGTGACCTGGCCCAGGAACTAAGTATTTATCATTACAAAAGACTAGCCAGGCTCCCCAGGAAATCCAATCAAGTGACCTGCCAGACAGGAGAAAAACAACATTCAGATTTCTGTTTGAGACCGCCTTTTCTGTGATGTATGTATGATGTTTCTGGGGGTGGTCTTGAGCTCCAGGACAAGGAATTTAAAATGTCTATATAAGGGCAGCCACACCTTGGTTCTGGGTCCTCCTCCTTTCCTGCGTTTGAGGGGAACACCCTGTTGCAACAGATCAATAAAGATCAAGCTTACTAGCTGCTTTGCTTCTCAATATTCTCTGGTTGGCCTCTGTTATTCTCTCCTACCAATAGAGAACCTTTGTAAGGACTCTATATGGGCTCTTGGATACCCCATAAGGGAAAAGGGCAATTTTTGTTTACAGCAACTCCACCACCAAACTACTGTGTCATGCTGCTTATAAGGGAAAACTTTTAGCCAATCACCACCTGTTGCTAGCATAGCTGTCAACGTTTCCCTTTTTTAAAGGGAAATCCCCTTATTCCGAATAGGATTTCCCTTAAAAAAAGGGAAAAGTTGACAGCTATGGTTGCTAGGCTTCCCTGTCTCCAAGCAGACTTCCTCACTTACTCTTGCGTCACTTGGCTTCTTGCCAACTCACTAATTGTCCACTTCAAAGCTGCCGTTTCTCTCAAACCTCAACACCCACAGCTACTGGGCATTTATTCAGATTCTGGGCATTTATTCCGATTTGATTGTGGGGAGGTTAGATGGTGTTGTGTCAAATCAAGCGCTATCCCACACATTCCGACACACTTTCCCTTCTTAGAACGTCCACTAACACTCAGCCTCAGCTCGCTATCTGCAATTTGGGAATACGGTAATTAGATTTGCCCAGCTTACTTAGTCATGTTCATAGCTCAGTGGTGCAGCACATACTTTTAATGCTAAAGATCCCAGGTCCAATCCCTGATGGATGACTGGGGCAAACTCTTTATTATTATTATTATTATTATTATTAATTGCAAAACATGCAACACAAACAGAAAAAACAATACCACAATGACAACATTAATTGGCTACACATCACCTAACATCACACATATTTTTGACTTCCGAATCACCTCATTGTGCTTTCTAAATATTCTTAACCTATATGCACTTTCTATTATATCTATTACATCTCAGGAACAATTTTTTTCATTTATAATTCTCTTTAATATTCAAGATTCAATCTATACCTGCCAGGAGATTTGCATTTCCACAGTATTGTTTTAAATATTCTTTCAATATTGTCCATTCTTTGCTCACTTTCTGACTTTCTTATTTTCCCAGTCATTTTCGCCAGTTCCAGGTATTCTATCATCTTCACCTGTCGGTCAAGCTTTGTAGGAATTAAGTCACCTTTCCAATTTTTTGCTACCACAATTCTGGCCGCTGCGGTTGCAAACATAAAGATGGTTCTAAAGTTTTTTTTGTATTTCAGTGGACATAATGCCTACCAGAAAGCCTTCTGGGTTTTTTTGAAAGGAGAATTTAAAGATCTTTTTAAGTTCGTTGTATATTATGTCCCAAAATTCTCCTATCCTCACACATCCCACCTGGGACTGGGACAAACTCCTGCCTTAAACCTTTCTCCCTACTGGGCCACATGAACCAATAGGCTGAATCAATATAAGGTATATTCCTATGTTCCTAAATGCTAAGCAATAGGAGCAGAACAGAAATAATATGACCAGAATCCATCAAAATAAATGTGGAAACAACACACTTGCTCAACTTGTTCCAATAGCGTGACTGGGAGTTTTGCTAGTTCCACAGTAAAAAGCAGATAGCCGCCTTTTACTAAGGTCTGGCAATACTAGCAGGAAAAACAGTTGCCCTTTCAAAATGGATTAAGCCCCAGCATCCTTCATGTTACCTGGCCTGTACACTGGTCCAGGTAGTTTTCCAGGGATAAATCCTCATCCATGCTTGGTTTCCCTATTCCAAAGAAGAGCAGGTCAACGGTTTCCAGTTACAGTATCGATGGAGAAAGAAGGTGGAAACTGCTGTAGCAACCTGGAGATCATCTCTCCAGCTGGTGATGTTGGGAGTAAATGACTACAGGTGAGTTAAATTAAGAAACCCCCTTAATTGGAGAAAAGGGAATCAGGTGGTCTTAGGAAGCCTGAGCAGCTATTCACTGGGAGATTTCTCCTGACTGCTCTCTAGATCTGTTGGTATATGTAGGAGAATCTCACAGGCTTACCTAAGCAAAGCTGTGCTGGTCATACTATAACACCTGACTTCCATTTGACGGTGTGCAACAGAACTTGAGTCATATAAAGGCTTCGGAATTAAACTGGCTTCAAAAGGCGCAACTTTCCCCAGCGTAGCCTGGGAATTGTAGTTCAATGAGCCCCTTTACATCACGGCAACAACCTCCATGTTTCTCCATGGGGAGCCAAATAGTTTAAACAGGCATGAAAATAGCTTGAGAGCAGTACATGTGAAAAGGATCTAGGAGTCTTGGTTGACCACAAACTTGACATGAGCCAACAGTGTGACGCGGCAGCTAAAAAAGCCAATGCAATTCTGGGCTGCATCAATAGGAGTATAGCATCTAGATCAAGGGAAGTAATAGTGCCACTGTATTCTGCTCTGGTCAGACCTCACCTGGAGTACTGTGTCCAGTTCTGGGCACCACAGTTCAAGAAGGACACTGACAAACTGGAACGTGTCCAGAGGAGGGCAACCAAAATGGTCAAAGTCCTGGAAACGATGCCTTATGAGGAACGGCTAAGAGAGCTGGGCATGTTTAGCCTGGAGAAGAGGAGGATAAGGGGTGATATGATAGCCATGTTCAAATATATAAAAGGATGTCACATAGAGGAGGGAGAAAGGTTGTTTTCTGCTGCTCCAGAGAAGCGGACACGGAGCAATGGATCCAAACTACAAGAAAGAAGATTCCACCTAAACATTAGGAAGAACTTCCTGACAGTAAGAGCTGTTTGACAGTGGAATTTGCTGCCAAGGAGTGTGGTGGAGTCTCCTTCTTTGGAGGTCTTTAAGCAGAGGCTTGACAACCATATGTCAGGAGTGCTCTGATGGTGTTTCCTGCTTGACAGGGGGTTGGACTCGATGGCCCTTGTGGTCTCTTCCAACTCTATGATTCTATGATTCTATGAAAAAAAGTGTCTGCTCAGAGTTTGGTTCATGGGCATTTGCTAATGCGGTTGTGTATAAAAGCATGCATCTCTCCACATGTATGTTCATGTACGCTACTGCCGCAACAAAAATGTTACGGAATGGAAAGAAGCAGAAGTCCCAGCAAAGGAAGAATGGATACAAAAACTTATGGAATCTGCAGAAATGGCGAAATTTGGCAGAAGAGTTAAGAAATCAAGATAACCATTTTTTAAATAAAAGAATGGAAATGGTTGGTTGAATATTTCCAGATAAAATGATTGTAAAATTAGTGAAATGTATAAAATCAGTGAAATGTATGAAGTCAAAAAGTATAAATAAAAAAATATCAAAAAAAGTGCATGCATCTCAGCAGCAGGATAATCTTGGACATGGCTTCCTGGAGAACAAGGAGAGTCTTTGTCTTGGGTCACATCCACACCAGAAACAGGCAGCCATGTTTAGGGAAAGTTTTTAATATTTGATGAATTATTGTATTTCAATCTTTTGTTGGAAACTGCCCAGAGTGGCTGGGAAAACCCAGCCAGATGGGCGGGGTATAAATGATGATAATTAATAATAATAATAATAATAATAATAATAATAATATTTTCAATAACATGGCTCCTCCCCCAAGTGCTGGGAGCTGTAGTCCACACCCCTCACTGAGCTACAATTCCCAGCACCCTTCACAAACTAGTTCCCAGCCCTGTGCTTTGGGTGTATGGTATGGATGTGACCTTGCTTTGCCTGGTTTTCCTCTGGAGATCTTTGAAGGCGATGAAGAGCAGATAGCCAGCTAAAGCTGCGGTACCAGTTGGAAGACTGATCGTCTCCCAGAGCACTTCAACAGAACGAAAAGAGCGTAGAAGGCACCCACAAAGCATTAAACATGTGGCATGTCAGGTTAGCAGAACCCAAGCGCGGAGGTTGAGTCTCCTTTTCAGCACGGTGCAGGCTGAATAGAGACGTCTTGGGATTTGTTGAGGTTAAACATGTTCAAAAGTAACAGACCATCAAGCCGGGCTTCCATTTTAATCTGTGGCGGAGAACGTAGGAAGGTGCCTTCCACCAAGTTACACCACAGGCACACCTTCTCATCAAGCTGTTTGGCAATAGTCTTGTAGCCCAGTCCAGCCTTGTGCAGGTCTACAATCTTTTCCCTGACATCCTTGAACAGCTCTTTGGTCTTGGTCATGGTGGCTACTTTGGAATCTGCTGGATTGATTGCTTCTGTCGACAGGTGTCTTTTGTACAGGTACTGTTAGCGAGCTGGGATTACAGGTAAGACCTCTCCCTTGCAGCAGGTGCTTCTAATCTCAGCTCGTTACATACAGTGAAGATACCAGGTAGCCTGACATCTGGCTGGTCGATAGGGGATCAAATACTTATTTCACTCATTATAATGCACATCAATCTCCGACTTTTGTCTTCTGGGGTTTTTTCTGTTGTTATTCTGTCTCTTTTGTGTGCATGCACACTTCTTCAGAACAAACTTAGTTGGTCTCTAAGGTGCTACTGGACAATTTTCTCATTATTTTTATTTATTCAAACTCTTGGGCTACACCGAGACGGCAAAACTGACCAGAAAGCTCAGGAACCAAGAAGACAGAAACTTCAATAAAGAATGGGGAAAATTTATAATTTATCTTGGAAACCACTGTAAGCAGATGAAAACATTAGCAGAATTGCAGGAACACTTGTAATGTAGCAAGTACTATGGAGATAATGGAGTTATATAAAATATGGACTATTGAAAAAATATGCAGTAGAAAAGGTTAAAAATAGGACCCATGGAGGGGAAGGTGAGAAGTCCAGAGATTCGGAGAAACCTTTAAATATGGATGTACTGTATATGGTTGTATTGTTCTAATTTTATACTTGTAAAATCAAATAAAAATAATTTTTAAAGAAAGGGAACACTGATTTGCACATGCTAATTTATACATAGGTGGATATATGGAAATGAGTTATGATATAAGCAGAAACACAAGACATCTCACCCTAGACAGGAAGACGGTGATCAGGTAATGTGTGTGTCTGCTCAATCTGTTGTCTAGGTGCTCACTGTTGATGGGCAATTTCCAAGGTCCCTGCCCTATTCCCTGATTCTTTATATTTAAACTATTCTTTATCTTTCAACTGCACATTGGCCAGAGCGTCCTTTGAGCAGAGGATGCCTTCAAATCAAGGATTTCCATCTGTAAAGTAGGGCACATGGCTGCCCAACTTAGCAAGAAAAGGATGGTTACAAGGGCCCTAAGGAGGTCAAACTATCCTCCACCAGGGCCAGGGCCTTTTCAGTGATGGCTCCGACCTGGTGGAATGCTCTGTCCCAGGAGACTACGGCCCTTCAGGATTTAACCTCCTTCTGTTGGGCCTGTAAGACAGAGCTATTCCACCTGGCCTTTAATTTGAATCCAGCCTGATCTTTTATTTCCCTTCTCTTCCCTCCCTGTCCCCTTTTATGAAGATCACCTGCCCTGAGACCCCACAGCTAATTCTCCCCTGACCCCCTCGCTGGCCCAAGCAGGACCAATTCAGCCAGCTAGCCCTGGGGATTATCTAATGCTTATTTCCCCTAAATTGATTTTTGAATTTTATTGTTATTCATGTTTTTATACTGTATTTTATGCTGCTTTTATAATTGTTTTAAAGTGTTTTAAATTTGTTGTTAGCCGCCCTGAGCCCGTTTTTTTAACCAGGAAGGGCGGGGTATAAATAAAAATTTATTATTATTATTATTATAACAATGGTTGCCTCAATCCAAAAGAACCCACCTCAGGTAACTCTGAGGCGACTGTCAGCAGGCAGAGATCACTATGAGGGACTTTGGTAGTGAGCGAGTGAAAAAAGACAGTACTGTTTGATATAAAGAGAGTGTTTTCTGGTACCTTAAAGACTAACAAATATACTATGGTGTAAGCTTTTGAGGACTCAAGGCCATTTCAACTGATAGAGGTGTAAGATTTCACTTCAAGCCTTTGGCAAAGCAGGCCTGAAAACACAAAAAAGACTCAAAAAGGGGGGAAACTTCCAGAGGGGTAGAAGTGTTAATCTGTGCAGGAAAAGCAAAGTCTTGTAGCATCTTTAACCAATTTATTATGGTGTAAGCTTTGGGACGCCTGCTTCTTGGGAGAAAAGCAATGATGAACCTAGACAGCATCTTAAAAAGTAGAGACATCACCTTGCCAACAAAGGTCCGTATAGTTAAAGCTCTGGTTTTCCCAGTAGTGATGTATGGAAGTGAGAGCTGGACCATAAAGAAGGCTGATCGCCGAAGAATTGATGCTTTTGAATTATGGTGCTGTAGGAGTCTCTTGAGAGTCCCATGGACTGCAAGAAGATCAAACGTATCCATTCTGAAGGAAATCAGCCTTGAGTGCTCACTGGAAGGACAGATCCTGAAGCTGAGGCTCCAAGACTTTGGCCACCTCATGAGAAGAGAAGCCTCCCTGGAAAAGACCCTGATGTTGGGAAAGATGGAGGGCACAAGGAGAAGGGGACGACAGAGGACGAGATGGTTGGACAGTGTTCTCGAAGCTACCAGCATGAGTTTGACCAAACTGCGGGAGGCAGTGGAAGACAGGAGTGCCTGGCGTGCTCTGGTCCAGGGGGTCCCAAAGAGTCCGACACGACTAAACAACTAAACAACAACAAAGCTTTGGGAAACAAGAGTCAGCTGCACGAAAGCTCACTCTAGGAGGATGGGTGGAGAAAACACACACGCACAAATACTGATAAATTGCACATTTTAATGAACTACTGTGAAATAAAACGTTACATTGAGTTTGGCAGAGACCACTGGAAGTGCGGTTTCAGCTTCTGACAAGTTTTAGAATGCTTTAAATAACAGCAAAGGTTGAAAGCTCAGGCGCTTGTAATGGCTGTACATATAAATAAACATTATCATTGGGGTATCATCTTAAGTTGGGGAAGCGGAAGTGGCTGATAGCTTGTCTACTGCTCCAGAATTGGACGCTTGCTGGCTTGCTTGAATGTGTGCTTCCAGCTCCATCACAGTCCAACGTTGGAAGAAGGGAGGGAGGGAAGGAAGGAAGGAAGGAAGGAAGGAAGGAAGGAAGGAAGGAAGGAAGTGACGCAATGCAAACAAGACCCGTGTCTCAGCCAGACTCCTACTTCTCTGTGGAAAAGGCCCTTTTCATCAGGGGAGGGGGCGTTTTCCCAACATCAAACATCATTTCCAATGGAGGATTATTGAGGCAGCACCAGTCGGGGATGCGGCCTGTCTGGTTGTAGTATTCTTTCGACACAGAACGACTGCCCAGGATGTCTTGGAGGGCTCCAAAGATTGCTCCTGTAACACGGGACAGAAAGCAGGAATTAGAGACTCTTGGGACAAATCATAGAATCATAGAGTTGGAAGAGACCACAAGGGCCATCGAGTCCAACGCCCTGCTAAGCAGGAAACACCATCAGAGCACTCCTGACATATGGTTGTCAAGCCTCTGCTTAAAGACCTCCAAAGAAGGAGACTCCACCACACTCCTTGGCAGCCAATTCCACTGTCGAACAGCTCTTACTATCAGGAAGTTCTTCCTAATGTTTAGGTGGAATCTTCTTTCTTGTAGTTTGGATCCATTGCTCCGTGTCCGCTTCTCTGGAGCAGCAGAAAACAACCTTTCTCCCTCCTCTATGTGACATCCTTTTATATATTTGAACATGGCTATCATATCACCCCTTCACCTCCTCTTCTCCAGGCTAAACATGCCCAGCTCCCTTAGCCGTTCCTCATAAGGCATCGTTTCCAGGCCTTGGAAGTGTTTGTTTCATTGGGCTTCATTCGAACCTGGGCACCTCTGGATCGATCTTGGTATGGACTCAGGGCTGGAGTTGTTATTATTATTATTTATTATTATTATTATTATTATTATTAGTTAAATTTATATATCACCCTATACCCGGAGGTCTCAGGGGTCTCACATAAAAGATAACAATACATAAAATCAAAGTAAAAACAATAACCCAATAATACCCCCTCCCCCAAAACAGAGCTGCATTTTAAAAGGGTACAGAAAGTCGATAAGGTCAGTCAAAGGCCTGGTTAAAAAGGAACGTTTTTGCCTGGCACCTAAAGGTGTATAACGGGGTCAGCAAACTTTTTCAGCAGGGGGCCGGTCCACTGTCCCTCAGACCTTGTGGGGGGCTGGACTAAATTTTGAAAAAAGGAAAAAAAAATGAATGAATTCCTATGCCCCACAAATAACCCAGGGATGTATTTTAAATAAAAGCACACATTCTACTCATGTAAAAACACGCTGATTCCCGGACCGTCCATGGGCCGGAATTAGAAGGTGATTGGGCCAGATCCGGCTCCCGGGCCTTAGTTTGCCTACCCATGGTGTATAATGAAGGCGCCAGGCAGACTTCCCTGGGGAAAGCATCCCACAGGCGGGGAGCCACTGCAGAGGAGGCCCCGTTCTTGAGTTGTGAGCCCCTCAAAGAATCCCAAAGTTAACTCACAGGTGTCTCAGACTTACCTCCTAACCAGGCCACGCAGTTGGGCTTGGCTGGTGGCGTGTGCACTCGGAAGGTCTTGGATGCCAGCATCTCCTTATACTTGGGCTTCTCCACCAGGTGCCTTATCTCTGCCATCAATCTGTGCAGGAATCCTGGCAACATGGCGGTGCCGCCAATCACCAGCAAGTTCTCAGCCAGCTGCTTCCTGGTGTCTATCGGGCACTGGCAGAGAAAGGGAGGAGAGAGAATGATTCACTCGGGCCACGGGCTCAACAAGGGCTGGTGTGCAGCTTGCAGGTTTGCCACAATATCCCTGTTTGTGTAGCGATATACTGATCTGCGGGGGGGGGGGGGAGGAAAGTGGGCAGCAGATGGCAGGGAGAGGGGCAGATCAACCAGAGGATTGGCAGACAACATGACTGAAACTGCGTGGCTGCCAGGAGGTTAATTGTAGCTTTGCTAAGGAAGCTTATCTTCTGAACTTCCGGCGGAGCCACGGCAATGAAAAGAAGCGTGAGGTCTACGCGGACCTCAAAACTTCAGGAAGAGATCTTGAGGGACGTGGTACCCAGCAGTGCCCAGAAGTGCTCTCTTGCTCCCCGGGTCTTAATAATAGATTCGGGGACGGGATTGAGCTGTGGGCGCGAGGGGGGAAGCAGCTTCAAACCCAAACCGTGAAGTCTCAGGCTTCTTATGAAAGTGGCCAGCTTCCAAAATTAATAACGAATTCAGACTTATAACTGGCGGAGCTAATCCGAGCATTGCTTTAAAACTCTGAACTCTTTAAAATTCGGCGAGTTACGGGGCGCAAAAAGGGAGTCCGTCCCGGCAACTGGGAGAAAATGGCGCACGGCGGAAGGTTGGAGGAAGCTTATCTTCTGCTCTTGGACAGAAGGGCCAGTTAGTTTGCAGAATGAGTGCGCTCTGTATGGTGGGGATGGGAGATTCATCACTGGCGGAGAGGGAGGAACCCAGAGAAGCAAAATGCCAACCGTAGTACCTCAACCAGTGAATCCAGGATCAAAGTAGCCACCGATTTTTCTTCGTTGTCCTGCTCGAAGAGTATTTCGATGACAGAATCCCTGTTGGAAAGAAGCAAACGGAGGCTTTTGAGTAATCCAGACTTAGAACAAGGGATCAGAAGACGCCACCCAACTCCTCCCAGCTGCCGAACCGAAGGGGAAAAATCGACATGAGGACACCCCCACGGGGCAAAGTTTGTTGCTCCTTCTGTTTGGCTATGTGGGTTTACAAGGCTGCCAGCTGAGCCATCAGGGATGACAGTGTTTTGGATAGCGGCCTCCACGTCTGCACAGCAAGTCAAAAGAGAGCGGCGTTTTTCTATCTCTCTCTCTTACTACTAGAACACAGGGTAAAACTGAATATTGTAAGATGCAGAACACACAAAATAAAGTCCTGCACATAGCTAGAATTATGGAATTTCCTTTCCCAAGAGGTAAGGTAAAGGACCCCTGATCATTAGGTCCAGTCATGACCGACTCTGGGGTTGTGCGTTCATCTCACTCTAAAGGCCGAGGGAGCCGGCGTACAGCTTCCAGGTCATGTGGCCAGCATGACTAAGCCACTTCTGGCGAACCAGAGGAGCACACGGAAACAGCGCATGGAAACGCCGTTTACCTTCCCACTGGAGCGGTACCTATTTATCTACTTGCACTTTGAGGTGCTTTCGAACTGCTAGGTTGGCAGGAGCAGGGACCGAGCAACGGGAGCTCACCCCATCACGGGGATTCGAACCGCCGACCTTCTGATCGGCAAGTCCTAGGCTCTGTGGTTTAACCCACAGCGCCACCTGCGTCCCTTTTCCCCAAGAGATAATGATGGCCAAAAACGGATGGCATTAAAAGAGGATTACAGAAACGTGAGCCCAAGGAAGGCTTCCTCAACCTCGGCCCTCCAGATGTTTTGAGACTACAGTTCCCACCATCCCTGACCACTGGGGTCCTGCTAGCTAGGGATCATGGGAGTTGTAGGCCAAAAACATATGGAGGGCTGAGGTTGAGGAAGCCTGGCTTAAGGCTATCAATGGCTACTTCCCTCCCCTGTTGTAGGCAGGCTGCCTGTGAAGACCAGCTGCTGGGGAGTCCTAAGTAAGGAAACAGTGCTATTGAAGGCAGGTCCTGCTTGCGAGTTTCCCAGAGACATCTGGCTGGTCAATGGGAGACAAGAGTGCTGGACGAGAGAGGCCTCTGACTTGACCCAGCGGCCAAATCCTCTTATGTCTGTGTTTAAAGGGGGAGGTTGTGGCACGCAGATGCCACCTGAAACGCTTGCGTGAAAGGTGAAAGTTATTTATTCATTTATTGCACTTATATACCGCCTTCATCTTCCTCGAGGTAGTGTACATGGTTCTCCTCCTACTCCCCATTTCATCCTCACAACAAGCCTGCGAGGTAGGTCAGGCTCAGAGATGGTGACTGGCCCAAGGTCACCCAGGGAGCTTCATGGCTGGCTGGAGATTTGAACCATGGTGTCTCTCTCTCTCTCTTACATTTTTATTGGTTTTTTTAACATATCATTTCCAACAATCATATAGCATAACTTCTTATCTTGGAGGGACGCGGGTGGCGCTGTGGGTTAAACCACAGAGCCTAGGGCTTGCTGATCAGAAGGTCGGCGGTTCGAATCCCCGTGACGGGGTGAGCTCCCGTTGCTCGGTTCCTGCTCCTGCCAACCTAGCAATTCGAAAGCACGCCAAAGTGCAAGTAGATAAATAGGTACCACTCCAGCGGGAAGGTAAACAGCGTTTCTGTGCGCTGCTCTGGTTCGCCAGAAGCGGCTTAGTCATGCTGGCCACATGTATGCCGGCTCCCTCGGCCAATAAAGCGAGATGAGCGCCGCAAGCCCAGAGTCGGCCACGACTGGACCTAATGGTCCAGGGTTCCTTTACCTTTACCTTCTTATCTTATACAATATTTTAGACTTCCGTCAACACCTCTGATGATTTTTTGTTCTTTATCTATCACTTAATCTGCATTTCTTAATCTCTCTATTACACTCAATTATCATTAACTAACAATTCTTCTCATAGTCTTTCTTGCAATATTTCAAATAGTCCTCCCTACAAAACGTTTTGCAACCCTACTAGCGTGATCTGTTCATTACCATTTGAACCATGGTCTCTCAAAGTCTTAGTCCAACACTCTAACCCCACACTGGCGCAATGGATGGGCAACTTATTCTATTATTTTATTTTAAAGATAAAATTATTTAATTTTCAGATTTTGAAATTTACAAGCATTCGTCAACCAACCAAAAAAAGGAGAGAATTCCATAAATTCCCATGTACTACCTCCCCTTTTTGGGTCCTTATGTTAACTTTTTTTCCTCCTGCATCTTCTCTATTCATCCAATTCTATTAGATCACCATTACAACCACAGTCCAACATTCAACTAGAAGTATCATTCCAATCCTGCTAATAATTTTAATTGCTCACAATGATTTTGAAGATAAATTATATATTTCCCCCATTCCTTATTAAAATTTTGGTCTTCCCGATTCCTAATTCTTCTGGTCATTTTTGCCATTCAGGCACCGTCCATCAGCTTAATCTGAGACGGATGGGCAACTTCAGTCCTGCTTTCACACTGCAAAACCCCGCTGTGTTTCTAACCTGATTGCTCCGTTCACGTGCAAAATCTTCTCTCCGTCCAGCGGATAGTCCACGTCTGGAGGTGGAGTGGGGCGCTGCAATACAAGAGAGGCTGTCAGAAGGCGAAAAGCAAAAGAGAAGGAAATCAAGTTCATTCTTACTGAAAGGGGAAATCCAGCTCCTTCCTCGCATACCTCAGCGCTGCCGTCGAGGTTGAATTTCGCCGCCTGGATTTTCAGCCCCCGCTGGAGGTCGCTCACGAAACAGGTGCGAACTTTGGAGACGAGCAGAAATGGTTTCAGAACTGTTCTCAGCCTAACAGTCTATACCAGTGGTTCTCAACCTGTGGTTCCCCAGTTGTTGGACTACAACTCCCATCATCCCTGAGCTCTGGCCTTGCTAGCTAGGGATGATGGGAGTTGTAGTCCAACAACATCTGGGGACCCACAGGTTGAGAACTGCTGGTCTATACAGTCCTTTTAATGGGTGTACGGATGGGAGGTTGCCTGCTCTTGACATACTCAGTATACCTGAAGGAGCGTCTCCACCCCCATCGTTCTGCCCGGACACTGAGGTCCAGCGCCGAGGGCCTTCTGGCGGTTCCCTCACTGCGAGAAGCAAAGCTACAGCGAACCAGGCAGAGGGCCTTCTCGGTGGTGGCGCCCGTCCTGTGGAACGCCCTCCCTTCAGATGTCAAAGCGATCAACAATTACCTGACATTCAGAAGACATCTTAAGGCAGCCCTGTTCAGGGAAGTTTTTAATGTGTGATTTTAGTGTATTTTTGGTTTCTATGGAAGCCGCCCAGAGTGGCTGGGGAAACCCAGCCAGATGGGCGGGGTACAAATAATAAATAATAATAATAATAATAATAATATATGTCGCCTGAGGCCCAGGTGGCCTCACTGTTGCAATGTGCCTTCCTTCAGCTTCGACATGTGGCCCAGGTGCGCTCCTATCTGGAGAGGGATAGCTTAACTTCTGTTGTCTATCCTCTGTATCCTCTAGGCTGGATTACTGCAATGCATTTATATGTGGGGCTGCCTCTGAAGACTGTTCAGAAACTTCAGCTAGCGCAGAATTCAGCGGTCAGGTTACTCACCGGAGCAGGCCAGTTTGAGCATATTACACTGATCAAGGTGGAAAAAGCCAATGATTAAAAAATATATATCAAAAAAATGGGATTTTTTTGATTTAAATTGGATTTTTTAAAATTTAAATTGGATTTTAAAATAAAATGCTTTTGGAGGAAAAATCTTTCTAAAGATAGTTTTCTATTTAAGTTACATTATAGTCCAAAGGCTATTCATCAGGAAATAAGGATTTGTTTTAAGTTTTTCATGTGTGCTAAAACTCAGTTAAGGTGTTTTTTGGTTTTTTTAAAAATTGTTTAACCACATCAGTTAACAAACATGGATACATATGCTATAATGTTATTGTTTTAGTTAAATAAATTATTTAAACAGTTATTAAGGAAATGTTTATTTTTCTCCTTCCAATAAAGTACAGCAGAAAAGTTGTCCAAATACAGTTAACTTATTAAACCTCACAATAATTTCATAATTATCTGTCTATGCATTTCTAATAGTATAATCAAATCAGTAATTTTTGATATAACTGTAAATACTACTCTGAAAAATTATTATTCCAAAAATGAAACCTTCATCTGGTTGTAAATATTAAGATTATACCAGCAAGAATGAGGCAATCTATTAAAATCAAGGCAATCCATTTTAGGAATGGTTTGCTCCCTCCACTGAAATGGGAGGTGGAAATTGCCTTGCGAAGTTTACAAATCTGCGCTCCCTTTCCTGGGAATAAGTCCCACCGAACTCAACCTTTCTTCAATCTATTTCATAGCTCTAAAGATGGGGATTTCTGGATGAAAGGAAAGTGAAGATTTGTATGAAGGCAGTCATCTTACCTTTGATGTCTTCTACAATGTCTTCTGGAACAGAACCTAAAATACAGGATGATGATGATTATTCTTATACCCCACCCTTTTCCCTTACAGGGACTCAAGGCGGCTTACAGATAAAATAGGTGTAGCTCAAACAGCATCAACAGAACTGTAAGCACCCAAAGACAGAATGCACTTAGAATTTAGTACAAATGAGCAGAAGAGTCCCTCAGAATAATCCAATTATTAAAAAGATAAGCCTTTGGTCTGATCCAGCAGATGGGCTCTTATGTTTTCAACCAACATGCTCATGGTTGGAAACCAACAGATTCAGTAATGCATGTGGATCACTGCTTCTTAGGGGCAATAAGAATTCATGAACTGACACTCCCTTGAAAGGGTTTACTTTCTACTTTTCTTTTAGTAACAATAATCGGATGGGAGGTGGAAAATGAGTGAGGTCTCAGCTAAAGAAGAATGGCAACTTAAGCTGATGGAATATGCACAGATTGCAGACTTAACATATACAGGTGAAACTCGAAAAATTAGAATATTGTGGAAAAGTTCATTTATTTCAGTAATTCAACTTAAAAGGTGAAACTAATATATGAGATAGACTCATGACATGCAAAGCGAGATATGCTTCTACTTCTCAGAGGTCCAATATTGCTCTATTTGCAATCCTTGTTTTGCTGATTTCATTTAATATTCTAATTTTCTGAGATAGTTAATTTGGAGTTTTCATCAGCTGTACACCATGATCATCACAACTATAACAAATAAAGGCTTGACATATCTCACTTTGCATGTCATGAGTCTATCTCATATATTAGTCTCACCTTTTAAGTTGAATTACTGAAATAAATGAACTTTTCCACGATATTCTAATTTTTTGAGCTTTAGCTGTAGAATAAGAGAACAAGAAGAACACATGTTTAAAGAAGATTGGAAAACATTTACTGTATATATGGAAAATAATTGTGTACAGATGAAAATGCTGGCAGCATTAAGATTAATTCAATAGTGTAAATAATTTTTGATGGACGTAATAATGGAAAATTGGTATAGTTTTTGTAAAATATGCAGGGATTTAAGATATGCAATCTGAACCACGGAAAGAGAAGGGAAGTCATTGATATTTCAAGTATGTAAAATGTTTATCTGAAATTGTAAAATAGAAAATTTAATAAAAACCATATTTTTAAAAAATTGAATGGGAGGAGAGGGGATTTAGCCCATTCTCCTCTGAACAGTTCCAATAAGCAACACCCGCCTTTCATTAATTGTAATAATAGTTACCCATCACCGAGGGAAGGCTCTGTCCTTTGGTGGTTCCTGTATCCACAGTGCTTTGCTCCAGCAGCTGGTACTCCAGTTCTCTGAAGGATTGCAAAAAAGGTGATTTAGCAAAAAATAGCATTCAGGCAACACGATGCATACACACAACAAGCCATTTCCAACTTTCTGCTCCTAGTATTTATGAGACGGACAGTGGCTCACCGCCAGCCAGTGTTAACTACTCCACAAAGGCCTGCAAGGCAACTGGAGGATGCTCTCACGTTTCAGATGTCATGCTTGGAGGACTGGTGGAAAATCTTTCTCCTTATGAGCAGCAAAAAAAAGCTAATGCTATTCTAGGCTGCATCAAAAGAAGTCTAGCGTCCAGATCAAGGGAAGGAATAGTACTACTCTGTTCTGCCTTGGTCAGACCACACCTGGAATACTGTGTCCAGTTCTGGGTGCCACAATTTAAGAAGGATGTTGACAAGCTGGAATGAGTGCAGAGGAAGGGCAACCAAGATGCTAAAGGGTCTGAAAGCCAAGCCTTATGAGGAATGGAAGGAGGAGTTGGGTATGAGGAGGCTGAGAGGAGATATGAGAGCCATCTACAAATATCTAAAGGGACGTCACATGGAAGATGGAGAAAGCTTGTTTTCTCCTGTTCCAGTGGATTCAAATTACAAGAAAGGAGATTCCAACTAAACATCGGGCAAAACTTTCTGACAGTAAGAGCTGCTTGGCAGTGGAATGGAAGGCTGTGGACTTTCTTTGGAGGTTTTTAAGCAGAGGTTGGATGGCCATCTGTCATGGATGCTTTAGTTCAGATTCCTGCATTGAAGGGGGTTGGACTAGATGTCCCACAGGGTCCCATTCAACTTTGCACAAATATTTTCTGTCAACTTACTTGTGAATGGCTTTTCCTCCCAATGGTAGCGCCCCCCAGCAGTTCAGAACTGGAATTCCTTCATAGATCTGCAAGCAGCTAAGGATGTTTCATGAATAGTATTTATGCTATACCAGGTACAAGAACCACATGAGCGCCATCTTTCTAACAGCTGCTTCCTTCTCCATACAATCAACTGGCAAGTCAAATGGGCCAAAGAGGAAAGAAGATAAACTTATATTGTTTGGCTCCAAATACCGCAGCCCTGAGCTCTCCAAAAGCTTGAGAAATGTCTTTTGGAGTGCTGGAAGCAGTCCAGTGACACACTACCTTTTTGTTTTAATTACAGGTAGGTAGCTGTGTTGGTCTGCCGTAGTCGAAACAAAATAAAAAAAATCCTTCCAGTAGCACCTTAGAGACCAACTAAGTTTGTTATTGGTATGAGCTTTCATGGTCTTACAGGAAAAAGCAAGGGGTGAGATGGCCGAGATGGCTTTATCATGTATAATGAGATAAGAATCCAATGTCTCTATTCAGACCAGGTCTCTCCATGGTTTTAAGTATGGTAATAAGTTGCAATTCAGCAACTTCTCTTTCCAGTCTATTTCTGAAATTCTTTCGTAATAAGACAGTTACTTTGAGATCTTGTATAGAATGTTCTCCTATTTTTAGCCATCTCACACATTGCTTTTTAATGTAAGCCCAACTGCAGTCGTTAACAGTCGTCAACAGGTTTACCACACCTATCAGCCAATCACCCATTCCCACCACCCTTCTGAGTAATACCTCTCCCCACCCTCTCACTATATATAAGGGTCCCGTGACTTCTGTTTCAGTGTATCTGAAGAAGTGTGCATGCACACGAAAGCTCATTCCAAAAACAAACTTAGTTGGTCTCTAAGGAGCTACTGGAAGAAATTTTTTTATTTTGTTTCGACTATCTTTTTGTATTCATGATATGGAAACAGGGAGAATGTGAGACAGAAAGGAATGGAATTGTGATGAAAGCATGTTGCAGAAGCAAGTGTGACCTCATAAGGCCAGCATGGGTAAGAATCAAGTGTCTTCCGAAAGTTTGGCAAAGACAGACACGAGACAAACAGGCCTCCCCACCCACCCTGCCAATGATGCCGTTGTGGTGGTTGACTGTGGGAGTTAAAAGCTGTATTGATTAATGTTTTCCTCTTGAAGTAGTCACACCGGAGGGTAAAAAAAAAAGATACAGGGAGCACCATACTTTCTGTGTAGCCACAATCCAAAACCATAGCAGAATTGATCCCAAGGGTCAGGAGAGACATCAGGTGGCCTGGGGCAAAGAGCACAGAAGGAACCTGGAAGGAACACAGAGGTGACAAGCTGAACACATTGCAAGAAAATTTAGAAGGTCTGGAAGCATCAAGCACCTGCTTTTCTGAGGCAACTGGTAGCTAAGGTTCAAAAGAATATGGGCCTATAAAACTCTAGAAATTTCTATAGTACCATGCTTTACCATCTTGAGCTCTCATATTCAAATAATTATCATGCAGTGAGACAGGCTACTGCTCTTCCCTTTAGATGTATTTGAAAGAGGGAGCTAAGTCCCATCTGCATGAAACATTTAAAGCAGCACCACTTTAGACAGCCATGGTTTCCCTCAAAGAATCCTGGGAGCTGTAGTTTTCTACGGGAGCTGGGAGTTGTTAGAAGACCCCCATTTCCCACACAGAGCTACAATTCCCAGAATTCCCTGGGAAGAGTGATTGTTAAATCACTATGGGAATTGCACCCACATAAAACTACATCTCCCAGGGTTCTTTGGGGGAAGCCGCCATCATGTTTAAAGTGGTAGGATACTGGGTTGGACATAATAGTGCAGATGGGACCTTAAGAGTGTTTGTAGCCTGGGACACCTAGGACACTAGGTTGGAGAAAGCTGCCCTTGTGATAACAGAGCTGGGCTTTTGGACTGGTGGCGCCAGTGTTCTGGAATTCCTTCCCTGCTGAAATATGAGTGGCCCCCATCAGTACTGGCATTCTGCCGGCTCTTGGAAGACACAGCTGTTTAGACAAGCATTCTCCTGCTCTCTTGATCTGAAGATCCTGTTTTAACCACTGCGCTGTTTTAATGAGCTTGCTGCATATTTTAACTATGGATATTCATTTTAATGTTTCGGTGAAATTGTGTCTTTTAATTACGTAGAAGGGCTTTTTCAACACTGGCCCCGGCCTGGTGGAACACTCTGTCTCATGAGACCAGGGCCCTGCAGGATCTGATTTCTTTCCGCAGGGCCTGTTTGACAGAGTTGTTCCGCCTGGCCTTTGGCTTGGAGTCAAGCCTTTCTTTTTTCCTTTCTCCTCCTGTGATGAGGCTGCATTTTAATGGTTCAATGTTTTAATGTTGTATTTTAATCTTGTTTTTAAGTTGTATTCATTCAACTTGTTTTTATTATTGCTTATTGCTTGTTAGCCGCCCTGAGCCTGGCCTTGGCTGGGGAGGGCGGGGTATAAATAAAATAGATTATTATATTAATATTTATAAACAATCATAATAATTCAGCACTCTTCTGCAGGTGCAAGGGCTCTGATATACACACAAATCTCCCCCTTGCTCAATAGAGCTTCCTCTAGCCTTTGACTAGCTCTGTGAATACCTGTCTACCCTGCCTATTCAGGTTGGTATGGAAAACTTTGCGAGTGAGGATGCTCCATAAGCGCCATTGGGGCAGGTACGGGGTTCTAGGCTGCCCCACCCAGCAGGGTCATGTTGGAACTGCAAAGGCAGGTCTCCAGCTCCTGGCCATCTTATTAAGCTCCATTTTTAAGGGGATTGCTTTGCAGGTGCTGTTGTGGAACTGAGCCGAGATCCAGGCTTTGGCCATTATTCAACCGTTAATACAGCAGCTACTGAAAAACCCAGGTGAGCTCAGCAGCTGCTTTCCCCAACAAGCAAGCCAAGAAACCTAGACAAGTAGACAGGTAGCTGCAGCAGACGTCTGGAATGTATTACCTCAAAATATTTGAACAAAACCCTTGTAAGCGTCTCTCTGAAATGGGAAGGGCACAGTACAGACTCCACAATCACAACACGGCGGTCTCGGGGGTTTACCAGCAAGTGCCTGAAAAGTGAATGGATGAGACCAGAAAGCAGAATCAACAGCTGGCCCCTCTTCTTGTAAAATTAATCACCCCCTGTCAAGACTTTGGTGATTTCCACAGTCACTCAACATAGGCTGCAATCCATTGTATGGGATTCAATCCCTTCGAACACAGTGGGACTTACTTCATTGTAGACGGGACTGCATAGCTAATTAAGAAAACAACAGCAGCCAGAAATAATGTTGTATGGATGGGACTGGGATGGGAGAATGGGCAGAGCCACATGTTGGAACGCTGCCTCTTGGCACAGAAAAATATGAGGAAGGAGACCCTGCCTTCCCTTACTTACAGGCCGGAAAACAGATTATGTTGCTCTTTAAAGTTGCTATGACCTTTCTGAGACAGGACATTTTCTTCATTGTTTATGGAAAGCTTAATTCCAAAAGGGGCTTAAGTCAATTTTGAGAAAAACCCCAATTTTGACAAAAACCCCAATTTTGACCTGGAGATGTTGCCATGAGTCCTACCAATACAAAATAAAAAATCTTGTATAAATTTTGGGCCTAAGTCATTGTTAGCAAGCCTTGAAAATCGTGTCTGCATTCAAAAAAGGCGCTAGCCAGAAATAATTTTCTTCCAAATGGAATGTTGGTCAAAACTGACTCAAGCCCCTTTTGGAATTAAACTCTTCGTACGGCATGGGCGGAGAAACTTTGGCTAGTGGGCCGAATAAGACCCAGCACTGGTCCCAATATGGCTTGCGAGGCAGTCGCCCCTACCCAAATCATGCCCACCTGCCCCACACCTGATATAACAAGCAGTAATTCAAGGATGTGGCCTTGAAGGAACAATCAGGACTTCCAAATGAGCTCCTGAATGAAAGTTTACTAGCAGGGCTTGTTGAGTGGTTGACTCTGACAGTGAGCCCCATTTAGATTAGCTGCACTAAGGAGTTTCCCACTAGAAACTCCCTAGTGCTGTCGAGGTGGTTTGCTGCCTGCAGGCGCATTTTGGTTTCAAGCTGCAATTGCAAATGGACATTTTTCTTCTAAAAACACTGTCATTCTGATGTCAGGTGACTGGCTTGCAGGGGAAGGGTGGATCCAATATTATCCAGTTCCCAATTCCCAATACAAGGTTCCAGCCCATCCTGGCTTAGCCTAATGTACAAGCCCAAGCACAGAATTCCTGTGTCTTAGGCTATGTATGATTCAAAGAGTGCTGCAGGTCAGAATGGTCTTTGAGGCAGCGAGGGAGCCCCTTACCTGTTTTACACAGACAATCTGAGCTCAACGCTAAGAGCAGCCACCTCCCAATTCTGGGAGCCTCTTCACAGACGCAACACCAAATTATGTACAATTCAAATGCGGATGTAGACTTTATAATGCTTGATACAACCATTATGGTACTGTATTGCAACAGGATACCTAAGCAATCCATTTCCTAGTCAATCGCTTATTAGAGGAAAAGTCATTACAGTGGCATCTCCTACCTGAAATATAACATGTGGATGAACTCCTTCAGGTACGAATATAACTCCTCTGTATTGATGTTGTATTGAACAACTTTGACAGGCTGTGAAAGAATTTGAAACAGTTTTAACATCATCACCACACACACTGAATTGGCTTCAAAAATAACAACAGGTTTCTTTCTCGATAGTTTTAACCTAGTGGGAACCTAGTGAACTTTTTCCTGTGCAAGACCCCTATGCAAGCAGCCCAATACTGGTCTAGTTAACAAAGCTCCTCCTTCTCCTCAGTCTCTCTCTCACCTCCTAATCCAGTCCGCCTTGCTTAGGGTAAGATGCCATCCAATGTCACTACTGCCACCCGACAACTAGTGTTTAGCTAGGAGGATTATTCGCAAGACCCCAGAGAGCTTAAGCACATCCTTCAACCCCTTGTATTTATGGCTACACCAGTTTAAGGGCACATGACTTGTCATCCTATCCTATGAGGTCTCAGCAACTTACACAGAACTGCAGCATCACTTATCCCAGTTATTCCACTTATAAAGATATTGATAGAGAAGGTATTACATCAGGTAAAATTGTCGAACACAGGACTTATTGTAAACCAACAGAAGTTGATAAATAAGGCCCAGCCATTTTTAATGTTTTATTTATTGTAGATGGATGCTGTCGGGATGTTTTCGTTACTGAACTCAAGCAACCAAAACAACCTCCCTGTCTTCCCTTGCCTCCTTCCCTTCCCAGCGTTGAACTTCAGATTATAATCTTCTCAGGACACAATAACAATAATACTAAAGGAAAATGAACGTTAGCGTTATAGAAGTTAACACAGATAAAATACCTTAAATGGATTTGCTTTCAACAAGCTTTTAATATACAGCAAAAGTTAGCCGTTTAAACAAAAAAAGAGGCCTACCTTTGAAATTCCAGGTTTCTTTATTTCGCTAGGGATAACACATCTTGGCCCTGTTTCGCCTGCAAAGCCACACCTGGAATTTTAAGATTGAATAGTAAATGTGTGTATTTCTATAAATATGCCAACCTCTTCCAAAGAACTTTGTCTGGACTGGCAACAGAAGAAAATGCTTTTAGCCAGCAACCCAGAGTGTCTTTGGTAAAGGCAGCAGCATTGGGGACTTTTTAATTTTGGAGAAAAGGCGAGTAAGAGGCAGCGTGATATAAGTTCGTAAAATCACATTATGGTGTTTTGGAGAGAGAGCGTGCGAACATACATGCATGCATCAATTTATTTGTTGCTGTTGTTTTAATAATAATAATTGAATTTATATACTGCCCTATACCTGGAGGTCTCAGAGCGGTTCACAGAATAGAATCAAAATATAAAACGACAAAATACGTATCTCAGGGTGATACCACTACTACTACTACTAATAATAACAGAGTTTATATACCACCTTATACCCGGAGGTCTCAGGGCGGTTCGCAGAATAAAATCCAAATATAAAACCACAAATACATAACCCTAATAAAAGCAACAGCCCAATAACCCCCCTCCTTTATTTAGTGCTCTTTTTGATACATTTGAATGAAAAGCGGCTTAGAAATAAATCAAAACAAAAACAAAAACAAATTTCCAGGTCTGCAACATCCCTCCTGGGAATAAATAGGAGCGAAAGGCAAAAATATGACGTCGTCTTGCAAAAGGAGAGATAGTTAAAAAGACATCAAGTAGTTTTGTGTTTATATCTTGTATTTTAATGCTGAGATCTATGAAACAAGGGCGGTAGAAAATATTATTATTAGTATTGAGAGGGGGCGGGGAGGGCAATAACAACAACAACAGCCACAATAATAATAATAATAATAATAATAATAATAATAATAAGCGAGAGGGGGCGGGGAGGGTGGGCGACGCCCAGAGGAAGCAGGAGGCGGGGGGGGGATAAATCGAGGGACGCCTCTCACTTGGTGAAGGCCGCGCCCAGGTCGATCACCACCGCGGTCTTCTCGCCGCCGCTCCCGAGGCCCTCGTAAAGCGGCATCGCGGCGGCTGCCCTCCCTCGGGACGACGACGACGAGGAAGAGGAGGAGGCAAAACCCCAAGAAAAGCCAGTTTGGGAAAAGGGGAGGGGGCTTTCTTGACCTTGTGGCGCGCTGAGCTGAATGGCTGGCGGGGCGGGGGCCTTCCGGCGCAGCAGGCGCGTTTCAGGCTGCCCAACATGCCGCCTGATCCCGGGGGTTATTTATGACGCCCTCGTTTCTTTCCGCACGTCTTCTCCTTAACTCCACAGAGTTGTTATTGTTTGTCTGAAGAGCCACAAGCGCCCCTCGTTTCTCCTCGCCGCCCCTAGGTTCGGCAGGCAATGCGGTAGACACCCCACAGCCGTCGCTGGTCGAAGAATTGAGGCTGGCGGAGGAAAAGGGAGAGTAAAGGAGGCGCAGTCTAACGAAGTGGAAGCCACATTTCCGGGTGTCGTTGGGATGCTCGATAGGAAATCTCCCACTTGGGTGTCAAGGTGCATTCACACGAGCTAGGGGGGCTGCCGTTTTGAAATCCCTTCCACAAGGATGAAGAGTGGTCATGAAATATACTTTTGATAATAAATGATTGAAACTGCAAAAGAATAAAAAAAATTCCCTGGCGTGTTTTAGGGATGCTAACTACAACTGATTGGTTCAAAATTGGGAAAGGAGTACGACAAGGCTGCATATTGTCTCCCTGCTTATTTAACATATATGCAGAATTCATAATGCGAAAGGCTGGGCTGGATGAATCCCAAGCCGGAATTAAGATTGCTGGAAGAAATATCAACAACCTCAGATATGCAGATGACACAACCTTGATGGCAGAAAGTGAGGAGGAATTAAAGAACCTTTTAATGAGGGTGAAAGAGGAGAGCGCAAAATATGGTCTGTAACTCAAAATCAAAAAAACTAAGTTCATGGCCACTGGTCCCATCACCTCCTGGCAAATAGAAGGGGAAGAAATGGAGGCAGTGAGAGATTTTACTTTCTTGGGCTCCATGATCACTGCAGATGGTGACAGCAGCCACAAAATTAAAAGACGCCTGCTCCTTGGGAGAAAGGCGATGGCAAACCTAGACGGCAAACCTTAAAAAGCAGAGACATCACCTTGCCAACAAAGGTCCGTATAGTTAAAGCCATGGTTTTCCCAGTAGTGATGTATGGAAGTGAGAGCTGGACCATCAAGAAGGCTGATCGCCAAAGAATTGATGCTTTTGAATTCTGGTGCTGGAGGAGACTCTGGAGAGTCCCATGGACTGCAAGAAGATCAAACCTCTCCATTCTTAAGGAAATCAGCCCTGAGTGCTCACTGGAAGGACAGATCCTGGAGCTGAGGCTCCAAGACTTTGGCCACCTCATGAGAAGAGAAGACTCCCTGGAAAAGACCCTGATGTTGGAAAAGATGGAGGGCACAAGGAGAAGGGGACGACAGAGGACCAGATGGTTGGACAGTGTTTGCGAAGCTACGAACATGAGTTTGACCAAACTGCAGGAGGCAGTGGAAGACAGGAGTGCCTGGCGTGCTCTGGTCCATGGGGTCACGAAGAGTCGGACATGACTAAACGACTAAACAAACTTCATAAATACTTTGTCAAGTCCTGCATCTTTTGCATTGAACCCCAGACTTCCCGCCCCTTCTTTACACACACACACACTCTTTTAAAAAGGAAAAAGTTGCTTACAGGACAACTAGGCACGATCTCCCTTAATTCAGCGTCATCAAATTATCTCTTAAGTTCTAGTATTGGAGAGAGGGAGAAAAACGTCTCATCCACTCCCTCCAGAAAAACGCATTATTTTATATACCTCTGTCATGTCTCTTCTTTCTTGCCTTTTTTCTAAATCAGGGGTCAGCAAACTTTTTCAGCAGGGGGCCGGTCCACTGTCCCCCAGACCTTGTGGGGGGCCCGACTATATTTTTTTGGGGGGAAATGAACAAATTCCTATGCCCCACAAATAACCCAGAGATACATTTTAAATAAAAGGACACATTCTACTCATGTAAAAACACACGGATTCCCGGACCGGCCACATGCTGGATTGAGAAGGCGATTGAGCCGGATCTGGCCCCCAGGCCTTAGTTTGCCTACCCATGCTCTAAACCCAAATGATGGAAGTTTTCCTCATAGGGCAATTGTTCCATCCCTTTAGTCATTTGTTCTGTGAACCGTCCTGAGACCTCCAGGTATAGGGTGGTATATAAATTCAATTATCATCATCATCATCATCATCATCATCATTGAAATATATTTGGAGTTGAGAGTGGATTTCATGCTCCTTATTCAGCTCATAGTGGTGAGGGGGAATGGAGGTTCCCCCAGAATGTCTGCTTTATATACATTATTTACACAATGAGTCCCACGTGATTGGCTAATTATGGGATTCTCCTGTAGGCCAATCAGGTCGCGGATTCACTTCCACTTGGAGCTGGATTGGGTAGCTCCTGTGGACCAATCAGACTGCTGCATTCTGGAGCCTATTGTTCTAGGACCAATCAGGCTGCTGCATTGTGAATCCTATTGTTCTAGGACCAATCAGACTGCTGCCTTTTGGATCCTATTCAACGATACGATACGATACGATACGATACGATACGATACGATATCTTTATTGTCATTGTCCCTTGCGGAACAATGAAATTGAAAACTACATAAAACTACATAAAAACTACATAAAACTACATAAAACTACATAAAACTACACAAAAACTACATAAAACATTCAAAAACCCCATTTTAAAATACACTATACTACAGAGACCCCTTATGCTGCGTTTAGAACCAGAATTGCATTAGCGTAGAAACTGTTTTTCAGGCGGCTAGTCCTGGCCTTTATAACCCTATACCTTCTTCCAGAAGGCAGAAGCTGAAAGAGATCATTTCCGGGGTGCGTACTATCATGTGCTATCTCTGCCGCTTTCTTATGGCACCTGGCAGCATAGATTTGATCTAAGGTGGGAAGAGTGCACCCAATAATTCTCTCTGCAGTCTTTACAACCCTGGATAGCATTGTTTTTTCCCTGGCCGTGCAGCTCCCAAACCACACGCACAGACCATAAGTTAGTACGCTCTCCACAGTGCAATGGTAGAATGCCATCAACAGGTCCTTTGAGAGATTGTTTTTCCGGAGGATTCTCAGAAAATATAACCTCTGCTGTGCTCTCTTCACCAGGTCTTTGCTGTTCTCTCCCCAGGTTAGGTCGTCTCTCAACTCCATTCCCAGAAATCGAAACACTGAGACCTGTTCCACGCACTTCCCCTCAATAATAAGTGGCTGAATATTCAATTTACATTTCCTAAAGTCCACAATGATCTCTTTTGTTTTCTTTAAGTTAAGCAGTAAGTTGTTTTTCCTGCACCACTCCCCGAACCGCTCAACTTCCTTCCTATAGGCCGTCTCCCCCTCTCCAGCCGTAATTAAACCAACTACCGTTGTATCATCTACGAACTTAATGATCTTATTACTGGGGTATTTGGGGGCACAGTCAGCTGTACAGAGCGTGTATAAAAGCGGGCTCAACATGCACCCCTGTGGCGTCCCCGTATTCGTGATGAGATCCGCAGAGACGTGGGAACCCAACCTGACCCTTTGGGAACGGTTTGATAGAAAGTCTAATATCCACCTGCACAAACATGGTGGAAGTCCCAGGTATAATAATTTGGGCACCAATCTATGCGGAAGAATAGTATTAAATGCAGAACTAAAGTCTACAAATAACAGTCTCGCGTAGTTCCCTTGCTTCTCCAAATGAGTCAGGACAGCATGTAAAGCCATTGCCACAGCATCCTCTGTGGATCTCTTTGCCTTGTACGCAAACTGGTAAGGGTCAAGTCCCACTGGCAGACAAGATAAGATGCGCTTCCTCACCAGTTTTGCGAAACATTTCATTATAATGGGTGTCAGCGCCACAGGGCGAAAAGAAGAAGAGAGCAGAAGCAGAAGAGAGGCTGTAGAGAACAAGGTCAAATGAAAGAGAGAATAAAGATAAGGAAGAAACAACGATGCAAACTACCTCTTCCAAGTATCTTCTACGCTAATGTGAGATCATTGGCAAATAAACTTGACGAATGGAGGCTTCGTGTAGGAGTGGAGGAAGACATCCGGGATTGCTGATACAGAGACATGGTTAAATTCAGCTATTCCAGACACAGCTGTTGAATTACAAGGTTTTACAACGTACCGGTGGGACAGGACACAGGATTCTGGCAAGAAACAAGGTGTGTGTGTGTGTGTATTTTTGTAAATCAAAACTGGTGTACGGACTCTGTCAAGTTGGATACCTACTGTTCTCCCGATGTGGAATTTCTGACAATTAAATGCAGACCTTTCTATCTTCCCCGGGATAGTACATAACAATCATCATCATCTTGGTAGCCCTTTTCTTACTATTTTCTAGCTCTAAAGATTTTTCCTTATTTGAGGTGACCAGAACTGTGCACACTATTTCAAGTGTGGTCTCACCAACATATTTGTACAATGGCATTACGATATTGGAAATTTTATTTTCAATCATTTCCCGAATGATCCCTAATGATTGAATTTGCCTTTTTCACAGCTGCTAACTTCTGGGTCTGCATCACCATTGGGCTATGCACTACAACCCCAACGTCTTGTTCCTGGTCAGTCACTGCCAGCTCAGACCTCAGGAGTGTATATGTGAAATTAGGATTATTATTTTTTGCCCTGATGTGCACTCCCTTTGCACTTGCTTATATTGAATTGCCTTTGCTATTTTACTGTCTATTCACGCAGTTTGGAGATATCATCTTGGAACTCCATGCACACAGTGGAAGAGTGTGCTCTTGTGGGTTGAGGTCAAACCGAATGGTTAGGTACCATGAGCAAAACTGAAAGGTTTGAGAAATTTGTGCTTGGCAGATCGAGTATTTGTTTTTTTTGGTTTTTTACAGTTTAAAGATATTTATTAAAATTTCAACATATTACAAAAATAAGCGAAAAAAGAAAAAGTAAAACAGATAAAAAATAAAAAAATAATAATAGAAAAATACAAAATACGAAATAAAAGCAGTTAAACAAGCAGATTAGTCTTTCTATGTCTTATCCTTCATTTACTTGTTTCCTCGACCTCCTCGCACCTCCCTTTTTTGTATTCCAGTTCACATATTTTGTTCAGCAGTTCCCTCCCTTCTTTTAAATATCCCAATCAATAATCATAAAGATATTGTACTTTTAGATTTTTACATATTACATAGTAAACCCTTTTTTCATCTTCCCTTATAACATTTCAGCTAAGAACCACTTAGTTTTTATCGAACGTCATTCTAACATTCATTAATTTTACAATATTTCTGTAGATAATCTTTGAATTTCTTCCACTCTTCTTCCACCGACTCTTCTCCCTGGTCTCGGATTCTGCCTGTCATTTCCGCCAATTCCATATAGTCCATCAGCTTCATTTGGCAGATCGAGTATTTGAAGAATAGGGTGGGATAAGGAAGAAGAGAGTTAAGAATACGGCTGGAGGTTATTGAAGAAACTCTCAGGATTATTAGAATCTCTTTCCAATGGAAGAATGGGCAGATACAAAATTTCATATTTCATTTTTTCCCCATTTCACTTTTAATTTGTACACCGCACTTCTGTATTGCTATACGCAAGGCGGTTTACAAGCTGAAGAAACAACAAAATAGACAGCGAAGATCACACGCCTAATAACAATCTGATCCAACACAGAAAAGTAAGAATAGAAACATAACTTTAAAATAAACAACTTACATAAAACAAAGCAATATTCAGTCATCCATTAGAATATAATAGTAAACAGTATGATTAAATATCAGAAATTATAATTAAACAGTTTATACTTAACAGTTACAAGAAATAATTACTAAACACTAATCAATAAAAATAATGGCAAAATTTGTACAATGGCACTTCATGGGACTTATCCAATAAAGCTGAATAGTGGAAGATTCAAGGTGGTCAAAAGGAAACACAGTAAACTTGAGACTTAACACGCATTTAACTTTGTGCATTCAGTTTTACGTGCTTGGGAAAAACACTTTAAAAAAATTAAAAGGGGGCAGAATATGGGTGGGCATCCGGGGGGAAATGACTTCGGCAACAACCTGCCACTGACCGCCAGGTGTTTTGACTATATGGCTTTTGGCACGATCCCTTGAACGTAATCCCTGCATACGTAAGTTACGGACTCCCTGTGCATTTTCACACAGCACTAGGCAATTTGCTCCCTCCAGGGGATTTGACAAATGCAGGGAAGAAAAGGCTATTGGTGGTTACTACTTGCCATTTTAAGGGACGCGAGTGGCGCTGTGGGTTAAACCACAGAGCCTAGGACTTGCTGATCAGAAGGTCGGCGGTTCGAATCCCCGTGACGGGGTGAGCTCCCATTGCTCAGTCCCTGCTCCTGCCAACCTAGCAGTTTGAAAGCACGTCAAAGGGTAAGTAGATAAATAGGTACCACTCCGGCGGGAAGGTAAACGGCATTTCCGTGCACTGCTCTGGTTCGCCAGAAGTGGCTTAGTCATGCTGGCCACATGACCTAGAAGCTGTACGCCGGTTCCCTCGGCCAATAAAGCGAGATGAGCACCGCAACCCCAGAGTCGGTCACGACTGGACCTAATGGTTAGGGGTCCCTTTACCTTTACCTTTTACTTTCCATTTTGGCCATGTGCATCCTACATATAAGCTTCAGTATCAAGTAGAGGGAATAAATGTAGTACAGTAGTTGCTGCAAAACAGTGCATGAGAAATATTGCACTCGTGTCCCCCTTGTGAGCTTTCCGAGAGGGATCTGGCTGCTCCCCTGTGGGAAAGGAGATGCTGAACAAGATGGACCACTTCTGATCTCATCCCACGGCAGGGCTCTCCTTAGGCACGGTCTGATATTGTTTCCATTAGCATTAATTAATAGGCTGGCCTCTTGAGGTGCCCTTGAGAAAACATCTCCTTGGGTCGGCTTTCCTTCCTCCTCCTTTCCCCTTGCTTATTTCTTTCTTTGCTGTGCTTGTCTAATTTTGCAACTCGCTATGTAGGACAGGGAGAGGAAGGAAATAGCTCAGTACTGCAGGGAACCGACAGATGGTGGTTTAAATTTAAGTTGAGATGCTACTGTGTGGTGTGACTTTTTCAGCGGGTTCTCTCCACCCCCGAAATTTATTCTCTTTACTTTGGAGCACTTATTTGCTCCATTGATTTATGTACACTCTTAACAGACTCTCTAACAAACCCTGGTTAGCCCTGGAAAGCGTAAGGGTATTTCTCTTCCAGGCTTCCTTCCCAGAATTACAACTTTCTGGTGTGACCTTGGGTAGTTCAGCGAGAGTGTTTGGGTGGTATTTCTTTTTACTCAGCAGTTCTGTTTCCCAGGTTGTAACTGCTGACTTGATTCACACAAGTAAAATATTTTCTACTTCCATCAGCACTGGAGAGATCAGGAGCGGAGCTGGACTCTGTTCTTTTGGGGTCAAACAAAAATGGAAATCTCAAGAACACCCACCTGCCGTGCCACAAGGGGGTGGCCTGAGCAGTGCAGGTATAAACTGGCTTGCAGGTTCTGTTTTGCTGCTCGTGATGTTCTTGTGGAAATCATTAAGAGAGAAAATCCAGGTGAGCTAAAGGAAAACACAAGGTGAGAAGTTGGGCGAGGGCTGTAGCTCACTGTAAGGTAAAGGTAAAGGGACCCTTGACCATTAGGTCCAGTTGTGGCCGACTCTGGAGTTGCGGTGCTCATCTTGCTTTATTGGCTGAGGGAGCCGGCGTACAGCTTCCGGGTCATGTGGCCAGCATGACTAAGCCGCTTCTGGCAAGCCAGAGCAGCGCACGGAAAGGCTGTTTACCTTCCCACCAGAGTGGTACCTATTTATCTACTTGTACTTTGACGTGCTTTCGAACTTCTAGGTTGGCAGGAGCAGAGACTGGACAATGGGAGCTCACCCCGTTGCGGGGATTCGAACCGCTGACCTGATCGGCAAAGCCCTAGTAGCTTGTGTCCCTAGTAGCAAGCACTCGTGTCCCTTGTAGCTCACTGTAAGGAGGCAGCAATTTCTGTTCTGACCTGTATTCATCACAATCAGCACCGTTTTCCGTTCTGCTGCAGTTTGGTTTCCATCAAATACTGTGTTATGTGTATTGCTATCCCCTACCTAAAGTTAAGTTATGCAGATTACATAACTATTTATGTAACCGATGTAACTTACATTCATTACAATGTAATGGAAACTTCTAAACAATGTAAAAGAAAGTAATTGCATATATTCTGCACACTTAAATGGCTCAGGGCTGCAATACCTCAAGGACCAACTCTCCCCATATAAACTGACCCAGACCTTGTGATCATCATCTGAGGCCGTTATTCTACAGCTTTTTAAATGTGTGTGTGTGTGTGTGTGTGTGTGTTATTGTTTCGTTTTACTTTTGTTTTAACTATTTATTTTGAGCTCCTGTCATGTATTTTTATCTTGTGAACCACTATCTTTGGATGCAGGACGGTATATAAATTTAATAAATAATAATAATAACAATTAGGTGAAAAAACAACGATCTGAGTGAAAACCAATCGCATTCGCTTATTGAATTCTGTTCCTGACCACAGACGAACATGCGAACTGCAGCCGTTTCTGCTTCCTTTTCTCGCAGAATTCTCCTTTGCATCGAGAAACTCTCAAGCTCGATCTCCTGGTAAGCGCACCTGGATGGAGGCTGCACACCTGTAATTCATCGTGGGATGCATCAAATCCAGGAGGAAGCCATTGTTTCTGTTATTATTGTGGTGGTTGATTTGTCCATCCAGCATCCTTCTAGGGCAGGGGACAGCAAACCTTTTCAGCAGAGGGCCGGTCCACTGTCCCTCAGAGCTTGTGGGGGGCCGGACTACATTTTGAAGGGGGAAAAAAATCAATGAATTCCTATGCCCCACAAATAACCCAGAGATGCATTTTAAATAAAAGCACACATTCTACTCATGTAAAAACACCAGGCAGCCCCCACACATAACCCAGTGATGCATTTTAAATAAAAGCACATATTCTGCTCTTGTAAAAACACGCTGATTCCCGGACCGTTAGTTTGCCTACCCATGTTCTAGGGTCTCAGGCAGGAGTCCTGTCCTTCACCTAAACTCTGCTCCTTTAGATGCTGAACTTGGGACCTTCTACATGCCAAGCAGGTGCCCTACCTCTGAGCTATATGGACCCTCCCTTTTGCAACCCAAGTGTTTTTTGCTTTTTTTTAAGACTTCAAAGTGCTGTCCAAGCTCTTGCTATTTATGATTCCACTGGAGGAACCTGCTGGCATGAGGAACACCCCCCTCCAACTCCTATAAGCACAGCACAGGTCTGCGGCTGGTGGGCGGGGCGAAGGAGGGCCCCCATGGGTGGGAGTCTTGCTACTGCCGCCTGGCCCAATCCCCAAGCCAGCGAGGAGGAGTGGCTGATGAATATGAACAGCAGCCTCTTCCTTCCCCTCCCTCTTCTCCTTTCCCCCTCCCAGTCTCTCCTGGCCATGAAGGCAGCAGCAGAGCAGCTGAGAGGAGGATGCTGAGGACCAGCCCAGACAGCATCTTCCTGAAGATGCTGCCTAGCTGAAAGGATGGAGGGCGCTCAGGTAAGGCAGGGATGATACAGAGGCTGCCCTGTTTCCTGGCAACGAGGGAGAGAAGTCTAGGTCCAAGGGAGGCCGGGGGCGGGGGGGAAGAACTTGTCTGCAGAGAGACTTCTCCCAAGTCACTTTGCCCAGTCACAGCTAAAAGATCCCTAGACAAGGGATGCTCACTGCCCTGGGCTTTTTGAGGGCTGGGGATGGAAGGAGGCCTTGATGGGAGGATGCCCGGTCCTTCCCCTTTGCAAGCCTTGCATTCCACAAGAACAGGAGCACAGCTTCTTTGTGTACTGTTCAGCAAATGGAGGCTTGCTGCCTCTGCCTCTGCCTGCCTTTTGTTTGGGGATTTGCTTCCCCCATCCCTCCACCTCTCTTTCTCTCCACCTCTCTCTCTCCCCTTTCCTCCCAAGTTTCTTGGGCACAGATCGAATTTCCCCCTCCGATTCATGGCTTTGATTTCATTCATTTCTCTAGCTCTCCAGACTTTGGAGCAAGAGCCTCGTTGTGGAATTCCAAGGTTTAGACGATTGCAAGAAAGGGATAGGAAAAAAAGAGAGATGAGAATTGCAAGCCTTTCTTTGAACTTTTTGTGCGTCGCAGAAATACCTCTGAAGGTTACCGTCTGCTGCTGTCCTTACAGCTCCTTTCCCTTAGAAAGGAAAACAATAATAATAATAAGTGTTTGGCATTTAATGTTCAGAACAGCCACAGGGAATTGGTTTATTCGGAGATGGAAGCGAGGTGGTGGGGGAGGAGCGAAACTTCAGACCATTTGCCATTTGTCTGCTGTGCAGAGATGGTTCACCCCACTTTGAAAATAACAGAAGGCAGCATTCTGGTGCAATGATATATAACAAGAGACACATGCTGTGATCTTTGCAGATGGGGTGTTTTGGAGGAAGGGACGGTCATTTTCATGTGTGTTTTAATTCATAAAAACCAATAGATCTGCGTCCTGGAAATTTAGGGGGCCATCTGTTTCCCCACAGAGAAATAGCTAAGTGGATTATTAGTGCTGTTTGCATGTATCCCTGTAGCAAATGGATCGCCAGATTTTGGAGAAGGTTGGAGGAACAGGGAGGTGAGGCCTGCAAAGCTAGCCACAGATTCACGCTTTAAAAAAGCAAACAATTTTTTTGGGGGGGGGGGGCACCTGTGCCCAACCCCAGATCTGATGCCATCAGTGCTGATGTTCTGCCTGGGGCTATGACAGGTACGGTGAACATAAGCTGCTAGCCATGTGTTGGTCCCAGGCCCATGCAGAAAAGGAAGGTTTTTTTAGCCCCTGGTTTGTGCGCTGGGTTTGGCTTAGCTGTGCAGCCCTGAGATATAGGATTGAGGTTGAATCCTGACAAGACAGAAGTACTGTTTTTGGGGGACAGGGGGCGTGCGTGCGTGGGGGATTCCCTGGTCCTGAATGGGGCAACTGTGCCCCTGAAGGACCAGGTGCGCAGCCTGGGAGTCATTTTGGACTCACAGCTGTCCATGGAGGCACAGGTCAGTTCTGTATCCAGGGCAGCTGTCTACCAGCTCCATCTGGTACGCAGGCTGAGACCCTCCCTGCCCGCGGACTGTCTCTCCAGAGTGGTGCATGCTCTAGTTATCTCCTGCTTGGACTACTGCAATGCGCTCTACGTGGGGCTACCTTTGAAAGTGACCCGGAAACTACAACTAATCCAGAAGGCGGCAGCTAGACTGGTGGCTGGGAGCGGCTTCCAAGACCATATAACACCGGTCCTGAAAGATCTTCATTGGCTCCCAGTACGTTTCCGAGCACAATTCAAAGTGTTGGTGCTGACCTTTAAAGCCCTAAACGGCCTCGGTCCAGTATACCTGAAGGAGTGTCTCCACCCGCATCATTCTGCCCAGACACTGAGGTCCAGCGCCGAGGGCTTTCTGGCGGTTCCCTCATTGTGAGAAGCAAAGCTACAGGGAACCAGGCAGAGGGCCTTCTTGGTGGTGGTGCCCCCCCTGTGGAACGCCCTCCCATCAGATGTCAAAGAGATAAACAACTACCTGACATTCAGAAGACATCTTAAGGCAGCCCTGTTCAGGGAAGTTTTTAATGTGTGACATCTTAGTGTATTTTTGGTCTTTGTGGAAGCCGCCCAGAGTGGCTGGGGAAACTCAGCCAGATGGGTGAGGTACAAATAATAAATTATTATTATTATTATTATTATTATTATTATTATTAATAATATTAATATTATTATTATTTTCTTCTCTCTCTCTCTCTCTCAAAAGCTGAAATTACATACCCTCCAACATCTTGAGTCCCAAAACCGGTGTGCTTATCTTCCCGCCTGAGTCACATGTGGCCCGCCCAAGATCATGGAGCCCCAAAGATGCACTTTTTGGGGTTATGCTTTCAGGCGCTCCAAAACATAAGATTGCAGCCCTGAAAGAGAGCTTTTTTTCTGGGCGAGATCTAGGCACAAATAACACAAAATCGCAGCACCCAAAATGGCCACCTTGTTTTCGTGCGAGAAAGCAGGACGCCCTGATTTTTTCCACAGCACTTGCGGGGTATGAAATTAGTTTCATACTGCATGCTTCTTGATCACGCTAATTTCCTGCTTTTTCTTCAAGGTGTCCAAATTGTGGAGGTTGATGCCATATTATTTTCTCAGCAACCCTGCGAAGCGGACTAGGCTGAACAGTAAAGCTACCTAGCAAAGTAGGCCCCATCTTCTCCATGCATTTAGAGCAGTGTAACACAACTTTAAACAGCCATGGCTCCCCCCCCAAAGAATCCTGGGAACTGTAGTTTGTTAAGGGTGCTGAGAGTTGCTAGGAAATCCCTTTGTTTCCTTCACACAGCTATGATTCCCAGAGTGGCTTCCCAGGGAATTCGGGGAATTGGAGCTCTGAGAGGGCAATGAAGGGGTCTCCAAACAACCCCCGACACCCTTAATAAACTACAATTCCCAGGATTCTTTGGGGCAAGGGAAAGCCATGACTGTTTAAAGTTGCTTTTAGATGCATAGTGCAGATGGGGCTTAATTCCCCCGATTTCACTCAGGGAAGGTTTGTGTCCGACTGGGGTCCTGAGCTGGACTCTCTTTGTTCAAACAGAACCTTAATCTGAAGAGGTGAGGAACTTTTGTCAGTCTCAGGATATCACAAGTTGGTAAATACAATACAGTGCCGTGCAAGAAAAAAAATAGTCTGGTAAGACTGCTGTCTGGAACGATTAAAGAAAACTTGTAGTTTATTGCTCTTAGCAAAGAAAGACATTTTTATGCATAGTGAAATATACTCGGAGTCGAGAGTGGATTTCATGCTTTTTATTCAGCTCATAGTGGTGAGGAGGAATGAAAGTTCCCTGCTTTATATACATTATATATTATCTGCTTTATATACATTATTTACACAATGGGCCCCACGTGATTGGCTAATTCCGGGATTCTCCTGTAGGCCAATCGGGTTGTGGATTCACTTCCACCTGGAGCTGGATTGGGTGGCTCCTGCAGACCAATCAGACTGCTGCATTCTGGATCCTATTGTTCTAGGACCAATCAGACTGCTGCATTCTGAATCCTATTGTTCTAGGGCCAATCAGACTGCTGCATTCTGAATCCTATTGTTCTAGGACCAATCAGACTGCTGCATTCTGAATCCTATTGTTCTAGGGCCAATCAGACTGCTGCATTTTGGATCCTATTGTTCTAGGGCCAATCAGACTGCTGCATTTTGGATCCTATTCAACTCAGTATATAGGTTTTCACATGTGGTCAAGGCAGAGCAAAGAAGTTAACACAAACACATGCAAGCTCAGTGGTGTCCAAACTTTTTTTAAAGAGGGCCAGACTTGATGAAGTGAAGGGCCATGAGGGCCAACCAAAGTTGTTTACTTTTTTTAGGATTGAAGTTGTTGAGCTTTTTTTATGATTTTACCCCAAAGTTGTTGAGGAATAAACTGACACACGGACCAGATTATACAGACCGGCGGGCTGGATTAGGCCCCCAAAACAAACTCTGGACATGCCTGTGACACCGACTGACTTAGAGAAGAAGCAGGAGGAAGCGAAGTAAAGGAAGCAATTTGCTTCACCAACAATTAGTTATGAAGAAAGGAGGAATCGGTGAGGAGTAGCAGGTTTCCTTTCGATCTGTTGCCCCTCCACTGGTTCACGTAGCTTATTACAAGTGTTGTCGATTTACTCTCAAAGGAGACAAAGTCCCCAAACGCTCAGTGTCTCCATGCCCTGAAAAAAAACATAGCATTGTTGTATTGCCTTGCTGTTGCGATGCATTGATTATCCGGCATTCAAAGAACCCCTCTTTTTGTGTGATAAACCTTTTGCTTCCTGTGAGGCCGGGAGCAAAACTTCAAATCGTGTAATGATTCCTTTAAAAAGAAATAAATAGAAAAGTAATCTGGGGAAGCTGCAGTTTTAAAGTGAGAAACAGCGTGTGTGTTTGCCTATTTGTGTGCATGCGGAGCTGCTTAAATTTTCTCCCCGCCATTCATTTCTGGTCAAATAACTCCCCTCCCAATATCATTCCCTGCTGCTGGGTTTAATAATAATAATAATAATAATAATAATAATAATAATTTATTATTTATACCCCGCCCATCTGGCTGGGCTTCCTCAGCCACTCTGGGCAGCTTCCAACAAAATATTAAAATACTGTAATACATCAGAATACATTCTAGCTGCTTATTCAACTTGTAATTGTGCAGGGGGAGTGGATATGTCCCGGGGAGGGAGATTTTGTGTATCAAAATAGCTTACCAGTGTAATAAACGTAAATCTGCCCTTATTCCCTTATGGGGGACACAAGAGCCCTTATAGAGTTCTTTGCAGGTTCTCCATCGGTCGGAGAAAATAACAGAGGCCAACCAGAGAATATTGAAAAGCAAAGCAGCTAGTAAGCCTGATCTTTACTAACTGTTGCAACAGGGTGCTGCCCTCACACGCAGGAAAGGAGGAGGACCCAGAACCAAGGTGTGTCCACCCTTATATAGACATTTTAAATTGCTCGCCCCGGAATCCAAGACCACCCCCTAGACATATCATACCTACATCACAGAAAGGGTGGTCTACAACAGAAATCTGAGTGCATTGTTTACCTCCTGTCTGGCAGGTTACCTGTTAATCCTTACCTGATTGGATCCCCTGGGGAACCTGGCCAGTCTTTTGTAATGACAAATACTTAGTTCCTGAGCCAGGTCACAGGCTCACCCTATTCATACACAGACATACCCTTAAGACAGGATTTGTGAAGGAAAAGACAATGGGGAGGCTTTTCCATTTTCCTTGACCTTGCAGAGAAAACAGTTGGTTATTTCACCAGAAAGGGGTTAAGCACACTCAGCTCCTGCTATCAGCTCAGAACAGCAGCTTTCCAAGGCTGCTTCTCAGGTTTAAAATACCACCCCCTCCTGGAACATCACTATATTGGATTCCCTCCTTTGTCACCTGAAGTGGGCTGGGCCAGAAAGAGCTATACCAGGTGATTTGCCACCTGCAGATTTGAATAGACCCCAGGTCCCATCGCCATGCTTGCAGATTAATCTTGAAGAGGAGCAACGGAGGGGTACAGATTTTCTTCAGAGGGCACTTACAGGCTGTCGCTCTTTTCCGGTGCAGATTCGATCAGGTTCCACAAATTTGGGTTGCACAATTATGTTGTTGTTTAGTCATTTAGTCGTGTCCGACTCTTCATGGACCAGAGCACGCCAGGCACTCCTGTCTTCCCCTGCCTCCCGCAGTTTGGTCAGATTGTTTATAATTGTTTGCACAATTATAGCTGATTGTTATTGCCTTGCATAAGGAAGCTGCTTCCCCGAAACATGGGAAGTACATTTTGCAATGGGTGTGGTTTCCCATAGAAAGTAATGCAAAACGGATTAATCCGTTCCAGACTTTTACAAGCAACCCCTAAAACAGCAATTTAACATGAATTTTACTATCTAACGAGACCATTGGTCCATAAAATGAAAGCAATAATCAATGTACTTTACTATAAAATAAATAAGACAGTATTGTAGATGATAAAAATTAATTTTTTTTCTTATCTGCACTGATGATAGTCATCGTTTGGATGGGGGGGGCTTTTATTCATTTCCGCAGTCACACAATCAGTCAGTCAGTCAGTCAATAGCTGAACTGGGTTCCACACCCAGTCAGAAAAACAAATTAACCGAAAAAGCCTCAAAAACAGCACCAACACTTTGAATTGTGCCTGGAAACGTACTGGGAGCCAATGTAGGTCTTTCAAGACCGGTGTTATGTGGTCCCGGTGGCCGCTCCCAGTCACCAGTCTAGCTGCCGCATTCTGGATTAGTTGTAGTTTCCGGGTCACCTTCAAAGGTAGCCCCACGTAGAGCACATTGCAGTAGTCCAAGCAAGAGATAACCAGAGCAAGCACCACTCTGGCGAGACAGTCTGCGGGCAGGTAGGGTCTCAGCCTACCTGTATGGGAAAAATATGACTTTTGAGCCGCCTTGGCCAAAAATGGCAACAAGGCATTCCGTTTTGGAGACTGCAATCCTGGTTTAAGGAGCCATTTGGCACCTAGCTTAAAGATGTGAATTGCCTGTTCTTGGCCACTCATGAAAATGCAACTTGCTTTTCCGGAATCTTAGCACATCCTTAAGCCCTTGAGATGTTTTGGACCACAACTCCCATCAGCCCAAGCCAGCATAGGCATCCTTGCTGGAGCTGATGGGATTTGTAGTCCAACAACATCATTGTCCCAAGTCAGGGAAGGCTGTTCTAGGGATTAACCCTGTTCTAGGGTTGAATCCTGACAAGACAGACGTACTGTTTTTGGGGGACAGGAGGCGGGTGGATGTGGGGGACTCCCTGGTCCTGAATGGGGTAACTGTGCCCCTGAAGAACCAGGTGTGCAGCCTGGGAGTCATTCTGGACTCGCAGCTGTCCATGGAGGCGCAGGTCAATTCTGTGTCCAGGGCAGCTGTTTATCAGCTCCATCTGGTACGCAGGCTGAGACACTCCCTGCCCATGAACTGTCTCGCTAGAGTGGTACATGCTCTGGTTATCTCTCGCTTGGACTACTGCAATGAGCTCTACGAGGGGCTACCTTTGAAGGTGACCCGGAAACTGAAATTAATCCAGAATGCGGCAGCTAGACTGATGACTGGGAGTGGCCGCCGGGACCATATAACACCGATCCTGAGAGATCTGCATTGGCTCCCAGTATGTTTCCGAGCACAATTCAAAGTGTTGGTGTTGACCTTTAAAGCCCTAAACAGCCTCGGCCCGGTATTCCTGAAGGAGCGTCTCCACCTCCATCGTTCTGCCCGGACACTGAGGTCCAGCACTGAGGGCCTTCTGGCTGTTCCATCACTGCAAGAAGCCAAGTTACAGGGAACCAGGCAGAGGGCCTTCTCGGTAGTGGCACCCGCCCTGTGGAACACCCTCCCACCAGATGTCAAAGAGAACAACAACTATCTGACTTTTAGAAGACATCTGAAGGCAGCCCTGTTTAGGGAAGCTTTTTATGTTTAATAGATTATTGAATTTATTGTTTAGTTGGAAGCCGCCCAGAGTGGCTGGGGAAACCCAGCCAGATGTGCGGGGTATAAATAATAAATTATTATTATTATTACTACTATTATTATTATTATAACTGAGCTTTTCGTTCCACTTACGAAGACCTTTTGCCTCGTCTGCGGTCTCCAAACACCCTTAACTGGGGAGCCCTGAGCAGGAGTGTGGAAACGTTCCGCTTTCATTGAGGGAAGACATACTTGTGCCATTGGGTATTATTGATCTGCTGGTTTATACAATATACTCGCCTCCATCCTTTTCTAATTAGAAATCACTAAGGAAGACGATTGCCAAACAAGCTGAGCTTCTGCTTTTGGAGACCAGAGAGATGTCTTTGTTTTTGTTTTAAATCATTTCAGATCAATACGTTCTACCTCCATGGTTGGAGGCGGTGAAGGCAGAACAGCTATAGCTTAAATTTCTATTAATGTTTGATTGGTTTTTAAAACAATTATTATTATTATTTCCATGTTTTTAGCTGTTCTGATTTTATCTGTCAGCTGCCTTGAGATGCTGTCAGGGGAGAAGGTGGGGTATAAATAAATATAATATAATATAATATAATATAATATAATATAATATAATAATAAACATTCAGCCAGAAACTTAAAGGGCTTGTTTGTATGGTTCAGTCTAGAACAGAATGGTACAGTCTTCTTCAGTCTGTAGAACTCTGATATGCAGGAGAAATTATCATTATTAATTTGCCTGTTTATAAGATTACTTACCTGCCATTCGCCGTAAGGTACCAGTAAGGGCTGCGAGTTTGTAATAATACTAGAGAAAACCTAATAAAAGAGTTGATGGATTATTAAAAAAATAAAACAAAACAATTCCCAACAAAAGCAGCACAGTATAGGTTCAACGAAACAGAAATTGCCGGTCTAAGGCCACAACTGAGTGTCTTGTGAAGTAGAAAAATCCCTTGCACATAGAAAGCTAGCCTCTCCTGGAGAAGGGTCTTGGCCTGACCTTCTCCCTGATGTGCTAGTTTTCCACATGCAAGGAGATTTCCTATTTTTCTTTTTATGGCACCTTCTTAGTATGTTTGCATTTAAATTTCTCCCACCTCTCACCCCTTTGCAAAGCAGCTGCCCCTGGATTAAGGGTGAAAGTATTGTAGCGAAGCACTGTTGGGATGCTTTAATCGCTGCACCTACCAGTGTCTCTGACTGAGCCTGGCACCACAGGGTGGCATGTTTAGAGATGCCAGCTGCCAACAGGCTGTCATGTTCCTTGAACTTCAGGGATTCAGGTGTTTGTGATGAGCAGAGCAAGCACCTCGATCATCATGGGTACCTAGTAGCTCCGCTCAGAGGGTGGCCACATCTGGCTGTGCTCTGTTGTCCATCGATCCCACCTTCGTCGCCAGTGTTAAGTTGTGGGTGAACATATCAGACGAAACAGCGATTCTTCAAACAGCTCTTGTTTATTCACAGGCCAGAACAGAACTGAACTGAAGGGTTCAGCTAGCCTGCTTATATAGAGCTCCACTAGAACGCAACAGTAACCATTTTCTGTAACTATCCAATCACTGAACGTCACTTTCGATCCCTTATTTGCATATGTGAACCTGAACTATCTACAGTACCCCCCTGCTGGCCCAGGGTGAGAACTTCAGTACATAGCAGCAACCAAACCTTTATCCCAGCTTCCAAATCTGCATCCTTTTGGTGGCATATCTGAACTGTAGGTAAAAGTAAAGGGATCCCTGACCATTAGGTCCAGTTCTGGCCGACTCTGGGGTTGCGGCACTCATCTCGCTTTATTGGCCAAGGGAGCCGGCGTACAGCTTCCGGGTCATGTGGACAGCATGACTAAGCTGCTCCTGGCGAACCAGAGCAGCGCACGGAAACGTCGTTTACCTTCCCGCTGGAGCAGTACCTATTTATCTATTTATCTAAACCACAGAGCCTAGGACTTGCCGATCAGAAGGTCAGCGGTTCGAATCCCTGCGACGGGGTGAGCTCCCGTTGCTCGGTCCCTGCTCCTGCCAACCTAGTCAAAGTGCAAGTAGACAAATAGGTACCGCTCCGGCAGGAAGGTAAACGGCGTTTCCGTGCGCTGCTCTGGTTCGCCAGAAGCGGCTTAGTCATGCTGGCCACATGACCTGGAAGCTATACGCTGGCTCCATCGGCCAATAAAGCAAGATGAGCGGCGCAACCCCAGAGTCAGTCATAAATGGACCTAATGGTCAGGGGTCCCTTTACCTTTACCTATTATATGTATAAGTCCTTAAATTTTTTATTTCAAGAGCTTAACTGAACTGAGAGCTCTCTTTTGCTTCTTGCTTCCAGGTCTTGCTCCCCGGCACCGTTCGCTCTCCTCGTTCCCCCGCACGACGCTCCGCCAGGATGGGCCCCCATCCGATGGGTTTCCCCGTCTGCCTCTCCCTCTGCCTCATCCTGCTCAGCTCCTGCAGCCCGCAATGCCTCGCTTTCTGGGAGGCGGAGGGGCGGCCCGCGAGACAACTACGCCAGGCCTTTCCGGAAGATCCTGGAAACGTGAGCGTCCCGGGTCCAGAAAGCCCCTTCAGCTCACCTGCGCAAGCAGCCGGCAGTGCGGCTTCCGGAAACCTCTACGAAGGCGCCACAGCCGAGCCGGCCGGGGAGCCGTTAAACACCGCCACCACCATCAAAGCCACGCTGCCAACCAGCCTGGATGCTCAAAGTCCTTCAGGACGCCAGGGTTTGGATGTTGATGCCACTGCCTCAACCCCAGAGGTGGGTGGCAGCGAGCAGCAGTTGGACCCCAGTGTGCCCAGTAATGAACTGGGGAGCAACGGGCAAAGCGAAGTCCTGCTTGCCCCGGTTGTGACAGCTCCAGACCCGAACGTGAGGGGTGATGGGTTCAGCACCACCGCACGAGAGCTGGTGGAGGGTGGCAGGGCAGGAGACGGGCTTGGTTCAACGGCGGACGTTTTCGCGCCAGGCGTCTTGGAAGGAGGCAGAAGCGCCACATGGCGACCGGCCACAGAAGAAGCGCCCATTTCCAAAACGATAGCCAGCGGCCGCTCCGTGACTCCTTCCCCTCCAGCGGGTCAATACGTTGATTCTGAGCAAGGGCCGGACAGAGACGAGCCCTCGGTTTTGAGCAGCACAGAGGGTCCTGTCTTGGCTCCGACTGACGCCGCCTCGGGTTTGCAAAAGGGGATCTCCACCGATCGGGAGCTCTTGAAAGGCGTTCCTAGTGCTGCGGCGACTGTCACGCCGCAAAGCGACGACTGGGATGATACAAAATTTGGGCCCGCCAGTCGGGTGGGTGCTCTAGGACCCATGGCGGAGCTTTATCCCTCCGTGGGGGGAGAAGAAGAGGAAGACGATGTGAAGAAGGCTCTGTCGCCGAGATTATCGGCAGCCGCGGCGAAAGGAAGCAAAAATGTTCAGACCGGGTTGGGCCTGGCGTCTGCGGCAAGCGGGGAGCCCACCTCGCCCTCTGCCAGCATGGATCCTGCCCGTGTCGCTGACCCATCAGCGAAAGCCCTCTCTGGGAGCGCAGTGGAAAATGGAGACCCCTTTGCCACTTCCCTTTCCAGATCCGTCGCAGAGACCACCGCTACGACGGACGCGACCAAATCAGATGTCTTCCAAACCCCGAGAGATTCGTCAAGAGGTAAATAAATTCCTCCTTTTGCTTTCAGTTTATTTGGTATGCGTCCCTATGACCCGGAAACTGTATGCCGGCTCCCTCGGCCAGTAAAGCGAGATGAGCGCCGCAACCCCAGAGTCGGCCACGACTGGACCTAATGGTCAGGGGTCCCTTTATCTTTACCTTTACCCTATCCCGCCTTCCCTTCAAGCTGCTCAACAGGGCATACACAATCCTGCCCCCCTCCCCATTTTATCCTCACACCAGTCCATTGGGATGGGTTATGCTGAGCGGCCGTTACTGTCCTGAGGTTGCCCAGTGACTTTCATGGCCAAGGGGGTGGGATTTGAATCCTGGCCTTCCAGGTCCTCATCTAGCACTCTAACCATTACACCACACTCCTCCTCCTTGGCAGTTCCTTTTTTCAAGAATGGCTTGGAATAAAGAGCCATTGGCGCGAGAGGACTTGGCCTACATTGCCATCAGGCAATGAGATCACCTCCTTGGGTGGCACTGTGGTCTAAATCACTGAGCCTCTTCGGCTTGCTGATCAGAAGGTCGGCAGTTCGAATCCCCGCGACAGGGTGAGCTCCCGTTGCTCTGCCCCAGCTCCTGCCAACCTAGCAGTTCGAAAGCACGCCAGTGCAAGTAGATAAATAGGTACCGCTCCAGCAGGAAGGTAAACGGTGTTTCCGTGTACTCTGGTTTCCGTCACGGTGTCCCGTTGCACCAGAAGTGGTTTAGTCCTGCTGGCCACATGACCAGGAAAGCTGTCTGTGGACAAACGCCGGCTCCCTCCGCTTGAATAGCGAGATGAGCGCTGCAACCCCATAGTCGCCTTTGACTGGACTTAACCATCCAGGGGTCCTTTACCTTTTTTTTTACCTGCACTTTGGAACTCCCTGCCTGTTGATACCAAGGAGGTGTCTTCAGTGTGCCCTTTCCGATGCCTGTTAACAATGTTTTTGTTTAGGAAGCCTGCCTAGATTTTGCGAAAGCTGACACGTGTTTTAATCTGTTTTTAGTCTATTGTAGTTTTTTAAAAATATAAATTCTGGTTGATTTTATTGTTCTATCTGTTTTGTAAGCCGCTTTGAGGGTTTGTTTGATTTTTTTACAGTCAAGTGGCATATAAGTTTTATGAAATGAAAAAAATAAACCTTCCTTACTCTGTGTCCCTTATCTGCCCAAAATGATCAGAAGAGATTTTATCTTCTTTGAGCCTCTTCCTTGATTCCATTCCCTGTTTGCTGGCTGAGGTCTGGCACCAGAGCCAAGACGTTTGCTTTGGTGTCCCAGATATCCTGTGTATCTGGGCTCTTTGGTATTTGACCTGTATTATAACACTGTTGCTGGCAGCATTCACTCATTCATTGGCCCAGATTGCTCAATAGAGGGTGTGTTCGCATTACTGCCTTCAAGGGGTAAGTTGCTGGGCTCTTATTTTTTTTTGTGTGTGTGTTTTTCACATCTCCTTTCTGCTCACATCAGCACAGCTTCATTAGTGTCGGATTCATTTCTTTCTTTTTTCTTTTTGTATGGAATCTCCTGGCCCTTCAGGAATTTTATTTACAACATAACACAACCCCCCCCCCCATTACGCAAACCCACCCTCATTAAACGTGAACATAACATGCAGGGAGCATAACATACAACAATACAAACAACCAAATAGAAGACTTCCTTTATCCTGTACATATCTGGCTTCCTTATTTACTTCTTATAAGCTGTTTCCTTTATGCATAATCATTAAGTTTTTTTATAATTATAGTTTAAATATCCACAAAGTCTCCTGCAGACATTAATCAAAACAAGTCCAGGTATGTATTTTAGGGCACTGTTTTGTGAAGTATTCTCTGCATTTCCCCCATGCTTTTTGAAACTCTTGTCTAGTGTGATCTCTAATTGCCTCGTTAATCTAGCCAGTTCAGTATACTCTAACAGTTTGTTTTGCCATTCCTTTTTTGTTGGCACAGTTTCTTTTTGCCAGTTTTTAGCAGTTAGGATCCTTGCCGCTCCTGTGGCATAGAGGAATATTTTCTGATCTTCTCTTGCTATACCTGTGTCTGCTATCCCTAGGAGATTCATTTCTGTGCGTTCCAGAGAGTGTTGACAGGGCAGGGATGCTGTTTATCCTACTGAAAGGTGTTCACACCTTGGCTTGAGATGAATTAGGTTTAAGGACTCCAATTGGTGTGAAACTGGTTGGAGAAGCAACACATCAACGAACTGAGATGTATGCATTTTGGATAATGTCATGTTGACACAGACTAATGTTAATGGAGAAATCTGAGGGCTCCCTAGGACAAAAAACAAGGACACCAGCCAGGAATAGCAGAGCCAAACAGCAGCCAGTAGGCTTGGTCTTGATTGAAGACTGTCGTAACAGGACTCCCACCTGCCACAAGGTGGAACAAGATGGAAGCCTTGAACAAAAGAGAACCCAAACTTTTATTAGCTGCTAATCCCCATGTTACACCCCCCCAAACTACATCACTCATACATCACGGTTACATCATGAAAGGGGAGGTCTGGTGGCAGTAATCTGAGCATCCTGGACTCTGCCCCATGGTTCCACTTGCCCTCCACCAAACGCCCATCAAGTGTAACAAAAGAGATATTTACATTTCCCTGTTTCCCAGCCAAGTGAATCACACCCTTTTGTCTTCATCTGGGTTTGTTATTTCTGGAATGGCACTCAGGTATCAGGATGCCAGGAATTATCACTCAGGCAGAGGGGCTGCTGAGTAGCTGAGCTCACTTGTCTACAGTCATACCTCATGTTACGTTTGCTTCAGGTTGAGTGTTTTCAGGTTACGTCCCACGGCGAGCCGGAAGTACCGGAAAGGGTTGCTTCTAGGTTTCGCCTCTCGCGCATGCGCAGACGCACAAAATGACGTCACGCGCATGCGCAGAAGCGGCAACCCGCGCACCCGCAGATGTGGGTTGCGTTCCTTTCAGGTTGCGAATGGGCCTCTGGAACGGATCCCGTTTGCAACCAGAGGTACCACTGTATATGAATTTCTGAAGTTTTCCCAGTGAGCCAGTACATAGATACATTTATCAGTGAGTTCTTACATTTGGTATTGTGCATCAGAGGCCCTTTGAATAGATAGGAAGAAACTGTGATGAAGTGTTTTGTGGGGACAAATCACAAAAGTCACAAAAGTGATTGTGCTGATTTTGGTAGTGGGCTGCATGTGCATGATATCTGCTGGAGGGGCAACCCCCCCAAAAAACCTATACATAAATTCCTGCAGCGTTAAAAACCCAGCCATGGAAATGCAGTGAGTGCTCAGTGAACGGTTGTGGTTTGACTGTCAGGCTAAGACCTGGGAGACGAGGGTTCAAATCCCCGCCCCGGCCATGAAGCTCACTGGGTGACCTAAGAGCCAGTCACTCACTCTTAGCCTAACCTACCTCACAGGGTTGTTGTGAAAATAAAAATGGGGAGAGGGGGGAGAAAATGATGCACGGCACCCTGAGCTACTTGGAGGAAAAGTGGAATATAAATGAAAAACTAAACAAACAAATAAATCTTAGCTTACTTATACTGCAAGACGAACCATGCCTGCTCAGAAGCCACTCCTGCTGAATTTGATGAGAGTAGGATAAGTGGTGTTTGATGTTTGAAGCTCAACATCAAAAAAACGGAGATCATGGCCACTGGTCCCATCACCTCCTGGCAAATAGAAGGGGAAGAAATGGAGGCAGTGAGAGATTTTACTTTCTTGGGCTCCATGATCACTGCAGATGGTGACAGCAGTCACAAAATTAAAAGACGCCTGCTTCTTGGGAGAAAAGCAATGACAAACCTAGACAGCATCTTAAAAAGCAGAGACATAACCTTGCCAACAAAGGTCTGTATAGTTAAAGCTATGGTTTTCCCAGTAGTGATGTATGGAAGTGAGAGCTGGACCACAAAGAAGGCTGATCGCCGAAGAATGGATGCTTTTGAATTATGGTGCTGGAGGAGACTCTTGAGAGTCCCATGGACTGCAAGAAGATCAAACCTCTCCATTCTTAAAGAAATCAGCACTGAGGGCTCACTGGAAGGACAGATCCTGAAGCTGAGGCTCCACGACTTTGGCCACCTCATGAGAAGAGAAGACTCCCTGGAAAAGACCCTGATGTTGGGAAAGATGGAGGGCACAAGGAGAAGGGGACGACGGAGGACGAGATGGTTGGACAGTGTTCTCCAAGCTACCAGCATGAGTTTGACCAAACTGCGGGAGGCAGTGGAAGACAGGAGTGCCTGGCGTGCTCTGGTCCAGGGGGTCACGAAGAGTCAGAGACAACTAAACAATTAAACAACAAAGGATAAGTGGTGTTAGGTTTGCATTCTACAGCTCCCAGGATTCCTGATGCCCTTGCAGGAAACAGAGACTGGTAAATAGGATTGCCAGGGCATATCTTTTGCTTCCCCTAAAGTTTCATTCCCCTGATTCCCAAAGAAGAGGCAGGGGAGCTTTCAAAATTCTGGCAAGTTTGCATTTTTAGCCAGCTGCCACAATCCGATGCTGGTCTGGCAGCAGCAGCAGGAGGAGATTTTTTTGACCTTCAGGCTCTGCGTTCTGGAGCAACTGCTGCCGCTGTGGAATTTTTCCTGCAAGCAGCACAGAACTTCTGCAGCTTCGATCCAGTGTTTTTTGGCTGTTTCTTTGCCACTGCAGTGAGCTAGTTTGGGCAGGCCCAGGCTCTGGTGGTGGCTGGCTGCTTTGACGGAAATGTCCCCAAATGAAAAATGGAAAAAACCCCAGAGAAAGTGTCATTGCAGGAGGGGAGCCTTGGTTACGCTAGGCTCTGACGCAGCTGGAGAGATGGCAATTGCTGCCATCTGTCTTGCTCTCGCTTTCCGGAGGGGAGGCCGGGTGATCAATGGAGACCATGTGGGTGTGAGGATATTGGAACATATCCGGCTCGGCTCCTGCAATGAACGGCTGTTTCTGCAGCAGGAGGACTAGGTCAGCAAACGCTTGCTGCAAGAAGAAAAAAGGGAGAAATTCCTGCCAACTTCTTGCACACGTTGTCTTCTGTACAATGTGCATAGGGGATAAAATTGAACCCAGAAGAACCCCACATTGAAGGCTCCATGCGGCTGAGGAGCACTCCCCAAGCTGCTGCTTCTTTGGCAATCACCCGTAGCCGAGTCAGATTGTCTTCCATAAACACAGTTTTAGCAGTGAGTCCGTAAGTGACTGTGGAGGCCAATTCTGGATCCACACATCCTTCCACAGTGGGGACATTGGTTTCCGGGCAGGAGTTGATCACCGTGAGGGTTTGTCAGCGTGCTTTCCTCTTAGCACGTTTCTCCCTTTCGTCCTGAGTTCGAGTGTCTTCAAAGCTGAGGACACCTTTGGTCAAGGCTGTTCTCCAACTGGAGCACTCGCAGGCCAGTGTTTCCCAGTTGTCTGTGTTTATACTACATTTTTAAAGATTTGCCTTGAGAGAGTGTTTAAGCCAGTGTGAGAGAGCCAGTGTGGTGTAGTGGTTAAGAGCAGTAAGCTCGTAATCTGGTGAATCGGGTTCGCTTCCCCACTCCTCCACATGCAGCTGCTGGGTGACCTTGGGCCAGTCACACTTCTCTGAAGTCTCTCAGCCTCACTCACCTCACAGAGTGTTTGTTGTGGGGAAGGAAGGGAGAAGGAGAATGTTAGCCGCTTTGAGACTCCTTCGGGTAGTGATAAAGCGGGATATCAAATCCAAACTCCTCTTCTCCTTCTTCTTTTGTTGACCACCGGCACTACATATTCCATTTTTAAGTTCGGAATAGAGTAGTTGCACCCCAAGTATTACCTTCTGGAAATGTCTATCCAAGTAGGACTGGAACCACTGCAAAATGGTGTCACCCACCCCTAGTTCGGATGGCTGTTCCATTAGGATACCGTGGTCGATGGTATCGAAAGCCACTGAGAGATTGTGGAGAATTAACAGGGATACATCATACAGTTTCTGTTCCAAAACTGGGCCTAAACCCCGACTGGAATGGACCTAGGAAATCACTTTCTTCCAAATACATTTTAAAAAGAATAAAAAATGAATGAATGAATGAATGAATGAATGAATGAATGAATAAATAAGGGTGCTCTCAATGCATTCGGCTTTCCCTAAATGGGTCGGTCCAGTAACAGATATTTTATCTTCTTCTGTGTTTCCCACCCCACACCCACCAGGCGTTACTCCTGGGGCAGCAACATCATTCCACGAGGCGGGTGCCGTGCTTCTTCCAGCTGTGACACAAGGCGACTTTAGCACCCAGGAAGCCGCAGGGCCAGAGAGGGTGATGGAGGGAGAAACACCAACAGATTTCAGAATCTCCCAGCTGCCAGAAGACTCTGTGGCTGCTGCTTCCCCCCTTGCCACCAGTTTGCCTGTTCTTAAAACACCGGATGCAAAAGGTTGGTAGACTCTTCTTTCTTTCTTCTTGGCCGTGACTCCATAATAATATTACTTTTATTATTTATATCCCGCCCATCTGGCTGGGTTGCCCCAGCCACTCTGGGCAGCTTCCAATACATGCAAAAACATGATAAACCAGCAAACATTTAAAAAAAGAAAACACTTCTTGATACATGGTACAGCCCACAGCTTGTGTTATACGAAAAATACTGTTCGCTTTCCCTTATGGGGTATCTAAGAGCCCGTATAGAGTCCTTATGTAGGTTCTCTATTGGTAGGAGAAAATAACAGAGGCCAGCCAGAGAATATTGAGAAGCAAAGCAGCTCATAAGCCTGATCTTTATTGATCTGTTGCAACAGGGTCCCCTGCTCACCCCACGCAGGGAGGGAGGAGAGGAACCCAGAACAATGGTGCGCAAGCTTTTATATAGACTTTTGAAATTGCCTGCCCGGTAGCTCAAGACCACCCCCAAAACATCATACATACATCACAGAAAGAGGTGGTCCCCAGCAGAAATTTGAGTGCGTTGCTTCTCTCCTGCCTGCCAGGATACCTGATAATGCCTTATCTGATTGCCTTATCTGGGTAGCCTGGCCATTCCTTTGAGATGGTAAATACCGTAGATTCCGGCGTATTAGGCGACTGGGCGTATTAGACGACCCCCCAAATTGGCAGCTGCAATTTGGGGATTTGCTCAGCTCCGCGCCGGGAGAAAGCTGCCCGGTACGGAGCTGAGCCTGCCGCTCGCTGCTGCTGCTTCGGGCGCCACCACCAAGAAGGCCCTCTGCCTGGTTTCCTGTAACCTCACTTCTTGCAGGGAGAGAACTGTCACAAGGCCCTCAGAGCTGGACCTCAGTGTCTGGGATGAATGATGGGGGTGGAGACGCTCCTTCAGATATACTGGACTGAGGCCGTTTAGGGCTTTCAAGGTCAGCACCAACACTTTGAATTGTGCTCGGAAACATACTGGGAGACAGTGTACGTCTTTCAGGACCGGTGTTATGTGGTCCCGGTGGCTGCTCCCAGTCACCAGTCTAGCTGCCACATTCTGGGTTATTTATGGTTTCCGGGTCACCTTCAAAGGTAGCCCCACGTAGATCGCATTGCAGTAGTCCAAGCGGTGTAGACAATATTGTATAGTCAGTCACCAGGCCTTCCATCCATGCTGAAAGACTTCAGTTCATTTGGCCTTCCTTCTTTGGTTCTGTATAGCAATTAGGATGCCTCCAACTCTGATTCTATGACTAAACCAACAAACAGCAACAATATTAGGAAGAGTTTTTTGACAGCGGGACAGACTCCCTTGCGGTCTTCAAACAAAAACATCTTGGAGGTCCCGGACCACAGGGAGCTTATGCTGGCCTCAACCAGAGCCAGGGCTTTTTTGGCCGTGGCCCTGATCTGGTGGAACTCTCTGTCACAAGAGACTAGGGCCCTGCGGGACTTGACATCTTTCCGCAGGGCCTGCAAGACGGAGCTGTTCCACCAGGCCTTTGGCCAAGGCACAGTCTGACCCCCTCCTCTGGTGATCCTCACAGTACTCTAGCCCAATGGTTGCCATCAATTTGATTTTTAATTGATTTTAGAGTGAATTGGTTTTAGAATGCATTTATATCAATTGATTGTGATTTTATTTAAAGTGTGTTACTTTTATTGTTGTTGGCTGCTCTGAGCCTGGCTTCGGCTGGGGAGGGCGGGATATAAACAAACAAACAAACAAATACCGTATTTTTTGCTCTATAAGACTCACTTTTTCCCTCCCAAAAAGTAAGGGGAAATGTGTGTGCGTCTTATGGAGTGAATGCAGGCTGCACAGATATCACAGAAGCCAGAACAGCAAGAGGGATTGCTGCTTTCACTGCGCAGCGATCCCTCTTGCTGTTCTGGCTTCTGAGATTCAGAATATTTTTTTTCTTGTTTTCCTCCTCCAAAAACTAGGTGCGTCTTGTGGTCTGGTGCGTCTTATAGAGCGAAAAATACGGTAAATAATAATCTGCCATGGATGCTCTAGTTGAGATTCCTGCATTGCACGGGGTTGGACTAGAGGACTCTTGGGGTGCCTTCCAACTCTATGATCCTGTGCAAGAGGTTGTTTCCTCCCTCTGCCAATAATCAATATTCCACCCCACCGAGCATGCTCAGTTCTTGTCGGGCTGTTTTGAGAGGCTTCCTCCCCTCACTCTTTTCGGGTGTTTCTCCTAAAGATTTTGTGGTACAGTGGTACCTCAGGTTACATACGCTTCAGGTTACATACGCTTCAGGTTACAGACTCCGCTAACCCAGAAATAGTGCTTCAGGTTAAGAACTTCGCTTCAGGATGAGAACAGAAATCATGCAGCGGCAGCGGGAGGCCCCATTAGCTAAAGTGGTGCTTCAGGTTAAGAACTGTTTCAGGTTAAGAATGGACCTCCAGAACGAATTAAGTTCTTAACCCGAGGTACCACTGTACTTCTGCAAGTCTAGAGGTCCCTGCCACCTGCTGATAACTGCGAGCCAGATCCTTATATTCTGCGCCCCTCATGCTCTATTTTTGACAGTTGCACCGGGTCATGCAGCTGCCAATCATCTTAGCATCCCGACGATGTCATGTGAACCGTTTTCTTCCCCCCCCACTTAATTTATTTATTATTAATGTCGCGATACATATATGAAATCTTTACACATTGATACATGTACATTATTCAATTTTTCGCAATCAAATAATTGATTGAAAAATTGGAAAAAGTGGTATTATACCGACAAAAATAGAGTGGCTTGCCAAATTATTGGAGTATTACAATATATCCAAAACAATGGGAGAAATTGGAAGGATCTCAAAAGAGAAGATAGACAGGGACTGGAAGGTATTTAAAGGATACTTGCAAAACCATATTGAAAAATCAGAACTCCTATTAGAATAAACAAGTTCCGTTCTAAATACTGAAATACTAAATAAGATTGATAATAATGTGCGCTCCCAGTCACGCATTCTGAATTAGTTGTAGTTTCCGGGTCACCTTCAAAAGTAGCCCCACGTAGAGCGCATTGCAGTAGTTGAAGCAAGAGATAACTAGAGCATGCACCACTCTGGCGAGACAGTCCATAGGCAGGTAGGGTCTCAACACATAGCGTGCCAGATGAGAGCTGGTGGATGGCTGCATGGGAAACAGGAATTGACCTGCGCTCCGTGGACAGCTGTGAGTCTAGGATGACTGCAGGTTGTGAACCTGGTCTTTCAGGGGACTGTATGATCAGGACTAGTATGTTCTCCGTACCTGCTCGTATACTGTCCCACAAACTACTGTGTGTATTATCATGATTGAACTTCAATCTGTTAGCCCATCCATCCTCAAACCGCCTCCAGACACTAACACAGGACCTACACCTTCACTAATTCTGATTTAAAAGAGAGATATACATTATATACCTAAACCCACATTTTCACATTTCTTTATGTACCCACATTTATCCATTTCTTATTTCTTGCCCCGTGTCTTCCCTCCACCCGTGCGTGACTTCCTTGTTATCATTTTGTAACTTTATTATTGAGATTGTAATTTTGTATCTTAATAATTAAACATTCAATCTTAGTGAACCGTTTTCCTTTCCCTGCGCAGTTTGAGATCCAGTGGTGCGGGCAAAGGCACAGCCCGTTGCGACCACCAACGGTCAGCTGATTTTATGCGCTGGCAGAAGTTCTGGCCTCTGCAGGAACTGCCCTGCACACCTGACAGCATATAGGATGTCATGCAGAGGGCCAAATAGGGAGTCTGGTGCATTGGATTAGGCCCAAGGGCCAGAGTTTCCTCACCACTTACCGTATTTTTCGCTTTATAGGACACACCTTTTCCCCTCCAAAAATTAAGGGGAAATGTGTGTGCGTCCTATAGAGCGAATGCAGGCTGTGCGGCTAAGCCCAAATCCAGAACAGGGAGACGGAGCGCTCCGTCTCGCTGTTCTAGCTTGGGGACGGCTGCGCAAAGCCTCCGCAGGGGGCCTTCACCCCGCTGCCCTGCGGAGGCCACAAAGGCGGTCCCGGAAGCGTCAAGCCTTTGGAGTGCAGCGGGAACTTGCGCTGCGCTCCAAAGGCTTTGGGTCAGCGAAAGGAAATGACGAACCTCCCCCCTCCCAACAGTAGGCAGGGCGTACACTCTGAGCTGTTTAACCCTGTAAGCTCAGGTTCTCCTCACTATAGAGCAAATGCAGGCTGTGCAGCTAAGCCCAAATCCAGAACAGGGAGCGCTCCGTCTCGCTGTTCTAGCTTGGGGACGGCTGTGCAAAGCCTCCGCAGGGGGCCTTCACCCCGCTGCCGTGCGGAGGCCACAAAGGCTGTCCCGGAAGCGCCACCTTTGTGCTGCTCCTCAGCCTCTTTGAGGCTTTTCCCTGAGGAGGGAGAAGGGACTGACTGGCCATGTCAGTCCCTTCTCCCTCCTGGTCGAAAAGCCCGCAGGAGCTGTGCGCTCCTTAAAGGGTGTGCGGCTCCTGTGGGCTTTTGCGGGAGATTTTATTATTATTATTATGGGGGAATTCCCCCACCTCCCACAAAAGCAAGGAGAAGATCTGGGAGTAGTGCACAGGCTGCGTGCAGCCAGTCCGCTGCTCCCAGAGCTGGGGGGGGGGGGGAATCATATTTTTTTCCTTGATTTTCCCCTAGGTGCGCCCTATGGTCAGGTGCGCCCTATATAGGATGTAGTCCTATTCTCAGCTCCTGCTTCCATCTGCATTTTCCAAGCTGTAAAGGCAGAGGATCCAATTGAGATCTGAGCTCGCATTTCAGCCCAGAGCCTTCCCCGGAGGTTCAGTTCGCTTTGCCTCATGGTGCACAAAAACGGAACACTTTTTGTTTTTTTAAAAATAATTTTTATTAAGTTTCTTTTTTTTTTTAAGAATAATTTTTTATTAACCGACCAATCACATCAAATCAAACCAAATTACATAAATTCCAAATTACACAGCCGAATTTTAAATTTTTGTTGGGGGTACCCATATTTCAAGTTCCGAAGGGATCCAATCAACTTCTTGCTTCTTACTGCTGTTTTAATGTCCACAAATCTAACCTTATGATGTTCACAGTACTATCCAGTCCTTTCTTATTATTTTTCCACATCTCTTGTTGTTATTTTCATATATTTTTCCTTTTTCTTTGTGACCTCTGATAGTCTCCGCAAGCTGGTTAGACAGTTTGTAATCCTGCGTGGATATTATTTTTTTTATCCAGTAGCCATATCCAGACGTTTTCCATATAACATCACTTCCATACATCAAAACAGTCTTAGCGTCATTAATCTTCACCAATCTGCCTCCTTTCTCAAAACCTCTGAGGAGATTCACTAGGAATGCAGTCTGAAAACAAATCCGTTCTTCCTCCCGGCTATAAATCCTTTGGCAAGATGGCGACTCCGAATTAATTGCTGCGCCATTCCAAAAGCTCTTATTGCTTCTCGGTCTCCATAAAGCATACTTTTGGTTAAAGTTTATCTCCACACAGACCTTAATCATCCTGCTTGGGCCAGTTCAACCGACGGTTCTAATGAGGAGGGGTTCTTGTAAATCACATAGAAGGAAAGTAAAAAAGGTTCCCCCATTCAGCCCCGTTGTCCACAGACCCCGCCCTTGGGGTATCGTCCTCGTAAAATATTCCTGTTTCTCCAGCCCGTCGTCTTCTTTCGCAGAGGTCACGTACATTAGCAGACTTCACGCCCCTACTTCACTTGAAATATGTGCATTTGCTTCTTTTGTAATTAATTATTCCAAATTGCTGCAGCTAGTGCGCGATCAGAGACAGCGTCCAGGAGAGCCGAGGTCCACACGGGGGCATTCTGCCTAGGGCCCTCACCCCCTTCTTTCGAATTAGGGGGTGATTTATGGGCACAGCAGGCAAGGGCAGTGTTCCCCATTTCCTTGGGGCAACAAGGGAGGCTGCCTACTCCTATAACAGCCTCTTAATTACCCCGTGTGGGTTGGAGAGATGGTATTGTCGCCCCCTGTAAGTTTCTTACAGATATAACGCATATGACAACAAAAGAAAAACAGAAAAAACAAAAGAAAAAAGACAAGATAAACAGAAAATAAAATAAAAACAATACCTAAATACCTAAACAACCTAATCACCTAAACAACACAAATTAATTATTATTTAGATTTCTAACCCCATAAACATATTTTGGGCTTCATCTGAGCCCTCACATCTGAATTTCCTTGTAATTAAAATGTAGCAGTTTTCTGGTATCATTTTTTTAAAAAAAAACACAGTATTCCAATTAAAATAAAATTTCTTCACTTTCCTTTAGGTTCTAAATCTTTTTATGAAAACGGAACACTTTGGAGAGGGAAAATTTAAAAAAACAAGGGGAGCATCTTTCTTACCGCGCTGCTAAAATATTTAATAGGGATGCATTTATAATTAAGCTTGCTGGAAGCAAACTAATTGCGTGGGGACTCTGACGGTAATCTGTTAGCGATGGGCCCTTGGTGTGGCTCAGACCAGCTCCTTGGGATCACCACAAAGAAGACTTTGAATAATAATAATAAATAATAAATAATAATAAATTATTATTTATACCCTGCCCGTCCCTGTTTAAAAACCAGGCTCAGGGCGGCTAACAGCAAATATAAAACATGGATTAAAATGCGACTTAAAAAGAGCATAAAACAGAATAAAGTACAACATAAAATGCAGCATCAATATCAATAAAATTCTAAAATTCAGGGGTTATTTTTTTTTGGGGGGGGGGAACCCAGTCAGTAGACATCAAGTGATTACCAGGGCTAACTGACCAAGTTGGTCCTACTAGGGCCAGCAAGGAGACCAGGGAAGAATTTAAATGTGGGGTTCCAGAAAGGGTTTCTTCATAGAAGAGGAAAGGGGAAAAAGGAATAAAGGATCAGACTAATTCACATTGAAGGCCAGGCGGAATAGCTCTGTCTTACAGGCCCTGCGGAAGGAGATCAAGTCCTGCAGGGCCCTAGTCTTGTGGGACAGAGCATTCCACCAGGTCGGAGCCATCACTAAAAAGGCCCTGGCCCTGGTGGAGGATAGTCTGGCTTCCTTAGGGCGCTGGGACCTTTAAGCTGTTATTACAGTATTCATTTGAAGGCATTTACACACACAGACCCTGATGTTGGGAAAGATGGAGGGCACAAGGAGAAGGGGACGACAGAGGACGAGATGGTTGGACAGTGTTCTCGAAGCTACCAGCATGAGTTTGACCAAACTGCGGGAAGTAGTGGAAGACAGGAGTGCCTGGCCTGCTCTGGTCCAGGGGGTCACGAAGAGTCGGACATGACTAAAAGACTAAACAACATACACACACACACACACACACACACACACACACACACACAGTGTTTACAAGTGAAAATCCGCATAGGGAGCTGGGTAATCGCCTCTACCAGAACTCATAGCTGGAGCGTGTGATTCCTGGTGCTTTGACCTCCCACTTTAGAGATAAACTTTTTGGTTCATTCCATGTTCTTCTGGCAGTTAAACATTGTGTTTCCTACATATAAAAGCAGATCTGGTGTGTTTTAAAAATTGCGTCCTACCCTCTCAGCATGTTATCTTTTTGCTTGTCGTAGAACAGGCACCCCCAAACTCAGCCCTCCAGATGTTTTGGGACTACAGTTCCCATCATCCCTGACCACTGGTCCTGTTAGCTAGGGATGATGGGAGTTGTAGTCCCAAAACATCTGGGGATGGCTGTCATAGAAGCATGGAATGATAGAGTTGGAAGGGATCCTGAGTGTCATCTTGTCCAACTCCCTGCAATGCAGGAATCTCAACTAGATCATCCATGGCAGGTGGACATCCAACCTCTGCTTCAAAACCTCCAAAGAAGGAGACTCCACCACCTCCTGAGGGAGACCCTTCCCCTGTCGAAGAGCTCATACTGTTAGAAATTTCTTAGAGAGATAGATAGATAGATAATTTATTACGGTCAGAGACCAGCTTATAAAACACACTTGGGGGTACAATCCCAGAAAGAGAACAAACAGTTAAAACAATGTACAACAATAAATTTAAAATTTATAAATGCAATAAGCATGTTGTTGTTTAGTTGTGTCCGACTCTTCGTGACCCCCTGGACCAGAGCACGCCAGGCACTCCTGTCTTCCACTGCCTCCCGCAGTTTGGTCAAACTCATGCTGGAAAAGCCCCCACACGCTCCACACGGCTCTTTAAAGGGAGCGCTGAGCAGAGCCTCCCAAGTGCATTCGCTCCATAAGACACACACACATTTCCCCTTGCTTTTTAGGAGAGGAAAAGTGTGTCTTATGGAGCAAAAAATACGGTATGTGTTTATGCCTTTATTTTTGGTGACTCACTGGTCCCAAATTTTTTTGCTCCTTGTTCCAGCCATTTTGGGATGGCAGCCACGGCACTTTTATCAAGATACGCGTGCCGGAAGCTCATTCTTTATCCCCCCCCCCCGAAAAAAGCACCACTCAAATCACTAAAGGAAATTAAAAGAAGATAAATGCAGCAAACAAATACTCTGTCTGGCTGCTCCTCAGAAGAGAATGCCAGGACCAGGACGACTGACTCATGATGATGACAAATCCTTTGGGAGAATACTTTGTTCCTAAACTCTAGTATGCAATAAAGTTGCCTTAGTTAATAGCATCTGTGGGATGTAAGCCACTGGGAGCAGTCAAGTACAACATTCCTTGTAATGCTAGAGAAGACATGCCGGGTAATGTTTGGTCCAGCTAGTCGAAAACTTTCTGTTTCCTCCTGGCTGGAGCATCCTTCCTTTGCATGTGTCTAGAGGTGGGCGTGACCTTACCTGTCCAGGTAACAAAAGGACAAGTCACGCAGCACGCTCTCCCTCTTTTTCACTTCCTTCTTCGTTTGACCAGCTTCTTAGCTAGGAATGCTCTGCTAGCTTCTCAGAAGCACTGGGATTATTCCCCCATATGGGGTAGATCCTCATGTACATATTTGTAACTTAAGTCTGCCTTCAGGAATCCAACTGTGAACTGATGTGAGTAAACATCTTTTATTGACTTTGAATAAGATTGTCGTGTCTTTATTCTTTTAAGAGCGATTAAAGGGAACTTACCAGGAACATACAATTCAATACTGAATTGTATAATAGTGAGAGGCTTACACAAGCCTGCAACCAGCTATCTGCTGTGCATGTATGAAAAGGGAATGTAAACTCTGCTACATAAAGAAACTTCCTAGCGCAAGTTAGGAAGGATATTAATAGACAACATAGCCTCTTCTGCCACCCTGGACATTGCTTGTGATGTTCTTGGGCTAGTTTGTGCTCATTATCCTTTTTTTATTTATTTCCAAAACCGAAAAAAGAAACATTACAAACATCAAATTCAACATCCATATTCATTTTCTAACATAAACCTATTACATAATTAACTAAATTGAAATATACCTAAACTTCCCTTTGCTGTATACAAATACAACGCAGTTAGAAATTTTATACTAAAGCTTTTATATTATAAATAATATTTCAAATTCCCCTATACCCCCTGTTCCCCTTGTGCAGGGGTAAGCAAGGAAATAATAAAAGAATCAGCTGAACAAGGATTAAATTATAGCAACACAACAAGATGGAAGAAGTAAAAATAAAAATGAGATCACACATGGGTTTGTGCTCATTATCCATGTGGGTGTTGGGTACACACCAATCTCCTGTTTTCTCTTCCTCTTGCACAGGGTCCGTCACTGCCCTTAGTGGAGAGGAGGAGGAAGATGTTTCTGTTGCCAGCTCTCCTGCAACTCTGGGGGACCAGAGAACGCAGGACGAAGGGATTCTGGGAGCGACCGAAGCCATGACAGTTCCGCCGACCTTGGCGTCTTTGACGAAGAGGACCACTGTCCCAGCCACGCACCGGATCACCACGGCTGCAACCTATGAGCTTGATAGGCTGGAATCAGAAGGTATCTATGTTAAGGCCTCGGATCTCAGCGCCAGACCACCTGCTCTACTTGCAGAAGGTCCCCGGTTGAGTCCCCCTTAGCATCTGCAGGTAGGGCTGGGAGAGATCCTCCTTCCTGGAGAGCCACTGCCAGTCAGTGTTTTGCAAGCTTGGTTCCCCAGCTATGGTTGGACTACAACTCCCATGATCCCTGCTAGCTGGGGATGATGGGAGTTGTAGTCCAACCACAGCTGAGGACCTAAGTTTGAGAAACACTAGGAGGACAACACTCACGTCTGGTGGACCGCTGGTTTCACTTCGGTATAATGATAATAATAATAATAATAATAATAATAATAATAATAATAATTATTTATTTATACCCCGCCCATCTGGCTGGGTTTCCCCAGCCACTCTGGGAGGCTTCCAACTGAATATTAAAAACAGTACAGCATCAGACATTAAAAACTTCCCTAAAGAGGGCTGCCTTCAGTTGTCTTTTAAAAGTCTGAATGTCAGGTAGTTGTTTATCTCTTTGACATCTGATAGGAGGGCGTTCCACAGGGAGGGTGCCACCACTGAGAAGGCCCTCTGCCTGGTTCCCTGTAACCTTACTTCTCGCAATGAGGGAACCGCCAGAAGGCCCTCGGCGCTGGATCTCAGTGTCCGGGCTGAACGATGGGGGTGGAGACGCTCCTTCAGGTATACAGGACCTTATCACGTTCCCAGGTCCAGTACAATCTCAGTTAACTTGTGCGTGTTGACTTTGCACTGGTTGAAATTGTCCAGATTACATGCACACATTTAAGCTCTTTTTGCGCTGAGTTTTCCCGGTGTGGAGCCAGCTTTTGAACTCTCCTCCTTGCTTACTGCGCAAGTCCCGCTCAGCGCAGGGACACTGGGATGCTCTCGCGAGATCTCACAGGAGCTCGGACAGCCCCCGTGAGATCTTGCGAGAGGAGCATCTCAGAGCCCCTGTGCTTAAAAGCTCTCTGCTTTGCTTTGGAGGTAAAGACCACTCAGAATGCTGGCTCTGGAAGGTAAGGATGCCTGACCAGGACAGGACAGTAGGGCTTACATTTTGCACACAGTCAGACCCTGGTACCGCCAGCCGAACGGATCAGGGAGTAGCCGATGGAAAGGTGAGAGCTGGTGGTGTCCACCTTCCTCTGCATGAAACAAGTTAAGATTTAGCAAGAGGTGTGGGATATAGCTATTAATGATAAATCAACGTGTGCCATTAAGGTAAGACGGGGAATATTCAGGAGAAATGATTTTGAGGAGATGTGGAGGGTGTTTGTAGAATTTGTACTGTTAAAACGGAAAGGGGTCAAACCATCGCAAGAGGTGTTGAAATTTTGGGAGGTTGCATAGTTACAATGGAATGGTCTCAGTGGTGGGGTGCACATTTTTATTCTTATTTATTCTTACTACTTTGTCAAAATAAAATAATAAAAAATAACAACAACAACAATAAAATAAATAATAAAAGTTAAGATTTATCTTCGAAAGAGGATCCCCCCCCTTTTATGTTTTTGTCTAGATTAGTTGCTCTTTTACTGTAATATATTAGGAAAGGTCTTAATAAAAACTTATATTGATAAATGGATTTAACAGGAAATAAAGTAGAAGAAACAGCTGGATCTTCTAGTGGCCTGTCTAGTCCAGCACTCTGTTCTCACAGAGGCCAACTAGATGCCTGTGGGAAACTCAAGCACAAGAGAACCTCTCTTGCTTTCCAACAGTGGAGGCATAGGATCGCCATCCTGGCTAGTAACCATGGGCAGCTTTGTCCTCCCTGATTTTGTCCAGCCCAATTTTAAAGCTATCCAGGTTGGTGGTCATCCCTGTGGGAGGGAGTTCCATAGTTTAACTATGCACAGCATTCTTAGTTTTACTGAACCACCATTCGGCTCTACCCAGTTGAGTCTTCTTCTCCTTCTTTGGCGATCCCTCGTAGTCAAGTAAGATTGTCTTCCATGAACACAGTCTTAACAGTGAGTCCGTAAGTGACTGTGGAGGCCAATTCTGGATCCACACCTCCTTCCACAGTGGGGACATTGGTTCCTGGGGGGGAGTTGATCACAGTGTGGATTTGCCAAGCGTGCCTTCCTCCTAGCACGTTTCTCCCTTGCGTCCTGAGTTCAAGTGTCTTCAAAGCCCATGACACCTTTGGCAAAGGCTGTTCTCCAACTGGAGCGCTCACAGGCCAGTGTTTCCCAGTTGCTGGTGTTTATACTACATTTTAAAAAAGATTTGCCTTGAGAGAGTCTTTACACCTCTTTTGTTGACCACCAGCATTACGCTTTCCATTTTTAAGTTTGGAATAGAGTAGTTGCTTTGGAAGACGATTATCAGGCATCCACACAACATGACCAGTCCAACGGAGTTGATGTTGAAGAACCGTTGCTTCGAAACTGGTGATCTTTGCTTCTTCCAGTACACTGGCATTAGTTTGTCTGTTTTCCCAAGAGATGTGTATATTTTTTGGGAGACACCAGGAATCTTTTGAGGAGTTGGAGATGGCATTTATAAGTGGTCCATGTTTCGCAAGCATACAGTAAGGTTGGTGGTACAATAGCTTTGTAAACAAGCAGTTGAGTAGAACTGGGGTGGCCAGGGTGGGAACCTGTTGTGGAGCACGACTCCTACCCCCCCAAAAAAATCCTGGCTATGGTGGCTGCAGCGGCAGCCTGAAACATCTGGAGGGCACTGAGTTGGGGAAGGCTGAGCCCAGTTCCTGCTCACCGCGGCTCTGCTGCATCAGCTCTTGTTTACAACATGTTCACCAGAACGGTGTTATGAAAGCTGTTACCTGCCTGGGTCCTAGTGGGACAGATGGACTATGAATCATGGAGAGAGAGAGAGAAATAGGACGTTCCAATTATGATTTTCCTTGCTTGAGGGTAAGACTGGACTTGTTTCCTGCTTGTTCTTCCAGTTAGCAATCACTCTTTGGACTGGGCTGCAGGCTTGTTCCTTTGATATAATAACCAGCATCCCATTTGGGCTCTTATAATTAATGTGCTAATGGGCTTCTGAGCAGGATTCGTTCCAAGGACTGGTTTCTCCCAAGCAACTTATTAAGAATAGCTGCAGCCTAGTGGGTGGTTTGTGGCTGTGTGTGTGCGCGCTGGAAGCAGTAATGCTTCTGAAAACACTGGAAAGGGAGCGTGGCTGGGGAAACCCAGCCAGATGGGCGGGGTATAAATAATAAATAATAATAATAATAATAATAATAATAATTATTATTATTATTACTATTAGTGTGCTATTATTCAAAAAGATAGTAAAGGTAAAGGTACCCCTGCCCGTACGGGCCAGTCTTGACAGACTCTAGGGTTGTGCGCCCATCTCACTCAAGAGGCCGGGGGCCAGCGCTGTCTGGAGACACTTCCGGGTCACGTGGCCAACGTGACAAGCTGCATCTGGCGAGCCAGCGCAGCACACGGAAACGCCGTTTACCTTCCCGCTGGTAAGCAGTCCCTATTTATCTACTTGCACCCGGGGGTGCTTTCGAACTGCTAGGTGGGCAGGTGTTGGGACCAAGCAACGGGAGCGCACCCCGCCGCGGGGATTCGAACCACCGACCTTTCGATCGGCAAGCCCTAGGCGCTGAGGCTTTTACCCACAGCACCACCCGCGTCCCCCATTCAAAAAGATAAGAACCCATAATAAACAAACAACAAATAAAAAGCATCTGGATAGGCTTGTCTAAACAAAAATGTTTTCAGTAGGCACCAAAAAAGAGCACCGTACAGGTAGGGATGTGGGTGGCGCTGTGGTTCGAGCCTCTTTGGCTTGCCGATCAGAAGGTTGGCGGTTCGAATCCCCGCAACAGGGTGAGCTCCTGTTGCTCGGTCCCTGCTCCTGCCAACCTAGCAGTTCAAAAGCACGCCAGTGCAAGTAGATAAATAGGTACTGCTCTGGCGGGAAGGTAAACGGCGTTTCCGTGTGTTCTGGTTTCTGTCACGGTGTTTTGTTGCATCAGAAGTGGTTTAGTCTATGGAAAAACGCTGGCTCCCTCAGCCTGAAAATGCTCCCATCATCGCCAGCCAACACAGCCAGTGATCATGGATGATGGGTGTTGTAGTCCAACAACATATTGTGAACCGCACTGAGATCTATGGATGAATGGTGGTATATACATTAAACAAACAAACAAATGTGGTGGGGGCACAGGGGTCTCCCCCTCCCAATTCTACATGAATCTACATATGTCTCTCAACAGAGGCTTTCCCGTGGGGCCTCCCGATTTACCTTTAAAAAAAAAAAGCTGCAAAAAGTAAGAACGTTTTTGTTCTGAATGCAAATCATTGGGAGGGAGATGCATGTATACGAAGAGAAAAGAATTAGAAGGCCATCTGAGCCCTAATAGCAAACTGTTTTCTAAAAAGCAAACGTTCTGCTGATTCTCTGCAGTGCTATTGAAAATGAAAATGAGTTTGCAAAGAAGGTCGTTTGGCTCAGCAAACTTCTACCTTCCCTCTCTCTCTCTCTCTCTGCATTTTCAAACAGCACCCAAAGAAACCCAAACTTGCGTGAAAGACAGGTTCTTGTGTGATATATGAAAACTGCCTGATACTGAATCAGACCATTGTCTAATCTTGCTCAGGACTGTCTGCACTGTCTGGCAGCCGTGTCAGGCAGGGAATATTTCCCAGCCCTACCCGGAGATGCCATTGAAGATTGACCTTCTGCAGTGAGCTTCATGGCCAAATAGGAATTTGAACCCTGGCCTCCCAGATTCTCCTCTGGTGCTCTAACCGCAATACCACACAGCCCATCATCTGGCGAATAACCCCTGCATGCCAATCCAAATGAACACACAAGCTTTGTGGTGAGAAAATCAGGATGAATATTCAGTAAAGGAGGTTGTTTTAAGGAACCTTTCGCTGAGTCGGTAGAGCACAGGACTCCTGATCTTAGGGTTGTGGGTTCAAGACCCGCGCTGGGCCAAAAGTTTCCTGCGTTGGACTAGGAAACCCGAGTCCAGCTCTACAATTCTATGGTTCCGATTTTGTTGCATTTCTGCCTGCAGTTACCGTATTTTTTGCTCTATAAAATGCACTTTTTCCCTCCTAAAAACTAAGGGGAAATGTGTGTGCGTCTTATGGAGCGAATGCAGGCTGCGCAGCTATCCCAGAAGACAGAACAGCGAGAGGGATCGCTGCGCAGCGCTCCCTTTCGCTGTTCTAGCTTCTGGCTTAACCCCTCAGTCCCTTCCCCCACCTCCCGGAAAAGCCCCCAAGATCCGCGCTCCCTTTAAAGAGCCGCGTGGAGCGTGTGTGCGGCTCTTGGGGGCTTTTCTCCCTCCTTGGGGAAAAGCCTGCAAGCGCCGCACACAAACTTCATGCGGCTCGTGAAAGGGAGTGCTGAGCAGAGCCTGGGATGCATAGAGGCTCTGCTCAGAGCTCCCTTTAAAGAATATTTTTTTCCTTGCATTCCCCCTCTAAAAACTAGGTGCATCTTATGGTCAGGTGCGTCTTATGGAGCGGAAAAAAACGGTAGGTGACGACAACCTCTGCGCTGGCGAAACTTTATCTGGAAGACTGCACTGCCTCCCGGTGACCAAGAGATGGCAGTGTTTCCTATTGTTTCTGAGCAATTTAACCAGGAGCAGAGCGTTAGGGCAAAATGTTTTAGGAGAAAACAGAGCCATTCTGCGTAGAATTGTAGAATTGTAGGTTTGGAAGGGACCCTGAGGGTCATCTAGTCCAACCCCCTGCAATGCAGGAATATGCAGACGCCCCGTACGGAGAATCAAACCTGCAACCTTGGCACCAAGTTCTAACCAGCTGAGCTATCCGCTGGCCCCAGATGCCAGGCAGTACGGGGCTGCAGCAACCCACAACTTCCCGATGAGACTTCCCGATGACTGCGATTCCTGCCTCTTTTTTGTCCCTTTGGGGGGTTCCCCAGCTGGAGCCCCCCCCCGACTCGTCGGCAGCACCCAGCCATGACAGTGGCTAGTTGCCATTGGTAGCACCATGGTGTTAAATGTGTCCTTGCATCAATACTCCTGGTGTTTTGTTCTTAAATGGGAGTAGCCGCGCAGCCCTTCTCGAGCAGAATCAGGACTGCAGTCCTTTAATCCTTTCCCTCCATGTGACCCTGATTAAAATAGTTGCAGGAATTTATGTATAGGTTGAGGGGCGTTGCCCCTCCAGCAGATATCATGTGCATGCAGCCCACTACCAAAATTGGCACAATCGCTTTTGTGACTTTTGTGATTTGTCCCCACAAAACACTTCATCACAGTTTCTTCCTATCTATTCAAAGGGCCTTTGCTGCACGATACCAGATGTTAACAATTCACTGATCAATGTATCTCTGTACAGGCTCACTGGGAAAACTTCAGAAATTCATATAGACATGTGAGCTCAGCTACTCAGCAGCCCCTCTGCCTGAGGGATAATTCCTGGCATCCTGATACCTGAGTGCCAGACAGGTATTTCAGAAATAACAAACCCAGATGAAGACAAAAGGGTGTGATTCACTTGGCTGGGAAACAGGGAAATGTAAGATCTCTTTTGTACCACTTGATGGGTGTTTGGTGGAGGGCAAGGAGAACCATGGGGCAGGGTCCAGGATGCTCAGATTACGGCCACCAGACCTCCCCTTTCGTGATGTAACCGTGATGTATGAGTGATGTAGTTTGGGGGGGTGTACCATGGGGATTAGCAGCTAATAAAAGTTTGGGGGCTCTTTTGTTCGGGGCTTCTATCTTGTTCCACCTTGTGGCAGGTGGGAGTCCTGTCGCGACCGTCTTCAATCAAGACCAAGCCTCCTGGCTGCTGCTTTGCTCTGGTATTCCTGGCTGGTGTCCTTGTTTTTTGTCCAAGGGAGCCCTCAGATTTCACCATTAACAAAATAATAATAATAATAATAATAATAATAATAATGATAATCTCCAGGCTGGGCTCCTCCATGGAGGAAATGGCTACTAGCTATTTACGATGGATTGGCTTGGCTTCCACAGTCGGAAGCCCCCAAGAGCAGAAATGGTCAGAAATACTGAAAAAAACATCTTTAGACCTGGCCAATTTGGCCAACTATCACCCAGTCTCAAATCTTCCATTCTTGGGCAAGGTGATTGAGTGGGTGGTTGCTGAACAACTCCAGGCACGCCTGGAGGATGCGGACCATTTGGATCCCTTCCAATTGGGATTCTGGCCTCACCATGGGACTGAAACTGCCTTGGTCACACTGGCCAATGATCTCCGGCGGGCTAGGGACAAAGGTGAGAGCTGTTTCCTAGTTCTGCTGGATCTCTCAGCGGCCTTTGACACCATCGACCATAACATCCTTCTGGACCGTCTAGAGGGGCTGGGAGCTGGGGTATACTGTTATACAGTGGTTCCGCTCTTTTCTCCTGGGCCATGTCCAGAAAGTGGTGTTGGGGGATGAGTGTTCAGACCCCTGGGCCCTCACTTGTCGGGTGCCTCGGGGTTCCGTCCTCTCCCCCATGCTTTTCAACATCTACATGCAGCTGCTGGGAGAGATCATCAGGGGGTTTGGGCTGGATGTCTATCAGTACGTGGATGATACCCAGCTCTACCTCTCTTTCAAATCAGAACCAGTGAAGATGGGGTATAAATAATATATTATTATTATTATTATTATTATTATTATTATTATCTGCCCTGGATGCTGTAACTGAGATTCCTGCATGGCCTCTAGCACAACAAAATGGTCATCACCCGTCCAGCCTTTCTGCATAGATGCTGTTCCACTTTGCTGCAGCCATCCCTCTCGTGGACTCTGGTTATATCAATGGACCGCTGTGTCTTTCTCAATATTGTGCTTGTTCTTCTCTCTCCTGCCTTTCTATTAATAAATAATTTTTTTTATTAGATTTTCCATTAAAAAAAAAAAAATATGACCAGAGATTCTCCGAGGACTGGAAGAAATTTACAGAGTATATCAAAAATTTCTGTGATGAGCAAATAACGTTCGTTGGCTTTCAAGAAGCTCTGTGAAATTACTGTTAGAAATATTGTTTAAAAAATATGATGTGATTAAGAGTATTTGAGTGCAATATAATATTGGGAAATGTGAGACGAGGATAAAAAATAAATGGAAAATTATCAGACAAGCTGAGGGAAGTTCTGGAAAAAAGGGTTTAAGTTAAAAATGGATGTATAATTTTGTAAAAATGTTTTTTTTTATGGCCTTTCTAGAGGTAGAGGAAGAGGAGGAGGAGGAAGAAGAAGAAGAGGAGGAAGAGGAGGAAGAAGAAGAGGAGCCAGAGGAGGAAGAAGATGAGGAAGACGATGGCAACGAAGAGGAGAGGGACCCAAATTCCATGGACGAAAGCTTGGACGAAGACGCTAACCTGTCCAGCTTCACTCTTCCTGGGGAGGCGTCTCATGAACCCCTGGAAGGGCTTGAGAACCCAGCCGGGGAGCTCTCTGGCGTCTCCTACCAAGTGCCAAGCGCCATCGAATGGGAACAACAGAACCAAGGGCTAGGTAAGCAACATGCGTTCTCTGCTGCGGCGGGCAAGTTTTGCGGCAGCGATCCGTCCCAGTACTTTTCTGAGCACAATTCAAAGTGTTGGTGCTGAGCTTTAAAGCCCTAAATGGCCTCGTCCCAGTAGACCTGAAGGAGCGTCTCCACCTCCATCGTTCTGCCCGGACACTGAGGTCCAGCTCCGAGGGCCTTCTGGCGGTTCCCTTGCTGTGAGAAGCGAAGTTGCAGGGAACCAGGCAGAGGGCCTTCTCAGTGGTGGCGCCCACCCTGTGGAACACCCTCTCATCAGATCTCAAAGAGAAAAATAACTACCAAACTTTTAGAAGACATCTGAAGGCAGCCCTGTTTAGGGAAGCTTTTAATGTTTAATAGGTTATTGTATTTTAGTGTTTTGTTGGAAGCCGCCCAGGGTGGCTGGGGAAACCCGGCCAGTTGGGCGGGTATAAATAATAAATTATTATTATTATTATTGAAAGTTTGCCGGGGGTGGGATTCATTCTCGCAAACTGAACACCCGCACCCCAAAACCCCGTTGTAAATGTTTCAGGCAGCAGCTCAGAGTTAAGCCAGATGTTTGGCTGTGTAGGCGACCGACACCCTGTTTTGCACCCTGACTGAAATGCCGTTCCAGTTTAGGGAATTTGACATGCTGCGATGTTTGCTTTGCACTGGGCCACATTACAGGTGTTTGGAGCCTGTTCTTTGGGGGATTCTGGGTTCGGGAAGACATCTAAATACGGCTGGGCAAACCTGTCCATTCCAGTGCATCATTTCCCCACGTTTTTTAAAATATTAAACCATGCTTCTAGCCCTCATGTTGGGTGTTTGTGCACAAGGCAGCAGCCGGGAAGGACTTCCAGTGTTTGAACCACTGTTCTGTTTGTTTTCTTTTTCTATTTCCTATTTCTCTTGTTTTGTCTTGGTATTTTTAACATTCATAAAAAGCTGGGGGGGGGGCAGTGGCGGTGTGGAGAAAGAATTCCTTTTCATTTCACTGAGAGGGACACAAACAGGAATGGGACGGTCAGAGGAGGGGAGTTACTGCAGGAAAGGCAGGGTAGAAAGGATTTCCTAGGTGGGAGATGAGAGGGTCTATATCTCTGTGGATAAATGACAGGATATATATGCTATAAAGAGAATGAAGGGCCTTCTAGGTATTTTCCCCCATTTCCCCCCCTCTTGCTTTTATATCTTTTGGTTCTTGTTAATATTCTTGTTCTCCAAACTAGTTTGATTCTTATTGTATTTTACGTCAAAAATTGCCAATATATATATATTTAATGGAAAGAGTGAGGTATAATAATAATAATAATAATAATAATAATGGAGGGAGATGGTCCTTGAGTTATTGGGATCCTGAACTGCACAAGACACAAGGCAAAATGTGGGGAATAATAATAATAATAATAATAATAATAATAATAGTGGGAGGTGGTTCTTGAGTTATTGGAGCCCTGAGCTTCACAAGGCTTTACAGGTAAAAAAACACACTTTTAATTGGACGTGGAAACTAACTGGTAGCCAGTGCAGTTGCGCCCGGAATGATACAGTGGTACCTCAGGTTACATACGCTTCAGGTTACACACTCTGCTAACCCAGAAATAGCGCTTCAGGTTAAGAACTTTGCTTCAGGATGAGAACAGAAATTGTGCGGCGGCGGCGTGGCAGCAGTGGGAGGCCCCATTAGCTAAAGTGGTGCTTCAGGTTAAGAACAGTTTCAGGTTAAGAACGGACCTCCGGAACGAATTAAGTACTTAACCCGAGCTACCACTGTATTTAAAAAAGCAGAACAGAAATAGGAGCATTATGTGTGACGTAAGTGTCTTGCGAAAAGTTTGCGTAGCAGCACAAACATCAACACACCATGTTCCTATCATCACGATTCCTTCCTTCCGTTTATGATATTTTGCCCTTTTTGTTTGGAAGGGGTGGGTGGGCCATCTTGAGAGAAAGGGATATGAAAACCTCCCGCAGAAGCCTTTCTTTTCAGTAAACAAATCAATCACATTTTGTTTGCCCTGAGACCCCGAGAGAGGGATGCGCTGGAATCCATTAGGAAAAAAAAATAATGTACGAAACCGTGTAGTTCTGGGTTTCCAATAACAGGATAATTGCCTCTGACCTCGAGCGGCCGTTGCCTTTCAAAACTTGGAGATCGGCATTAATCAGCGGGGGAATCGATAGAGCGGGTCTTTCCAGAGAGGTCGTTCTGGCATTGGTACCTGATAAATAGAGATCAAAGCGACTCCCAAGCTCCAAACTGTTTCCCATTAGTCTATTAGCAATTTGGAACCACCTGACATTTTGCTGTCAGCAGCGGCTGGCCAAGAAGGTTTATTGATCCGTGGGGATCGTGGCACAGTCTCCTCCAACCTGGTGCCCTCCAGCTGCCAAGAAGGACATTGGAAAGCTGGAAGGTGTGCAGAGGAAGGCAACCAAGATGATCAGAGGTCTGAAAGCCAAGCCTGATGAGGAACGGTTGAAGGAGCTGGGGATGTTTAGCCTGGAGAAGAGAACGCAGAGATGACATGATAGCCATCTTCAGGTATCTAAAGGAGGATGAAGCAAGCTTGCTTTCTGCTGCTCCAGAGGGCCATGGATTTCAATTACCGTATTTTTTGCTCTATAAGACTCACTTTTTCCCTCCTAAAAAGTAAGGGGAAATGTGTGTGCGTCTTATGGAGCGAATGCAGGCTGCGCAGCTATCCCAGAAGCCACAACAGCAAGAGGGTTGCCGCTTTCACTGTGCAGCGATCCCTCTTGCTGTTCTGGCTTCTGGGATTCAGAATATTTTTTTTTCTTGTTTTCCTCCTCCAAAAACTAGGTGTGTCTTGTGGTCTGATGCGTCTTATAGAGCGAAAAATACGGTGCGTGAAAGTAGAGTGCAACTAAATTCAGGAGGGAAATTCTAGCAGAAAGACCTGTGGAATGGACTCTCTGAGGAGGTTGTGGGTTCTCTTTCCTCAGAGGTTTTTAAGCAGAGGCCGGAGGGCCACTGACGGCATATGATTCTATTACTGCAGTATTGCGAAAGAACGATGTCAATCAATGTTGGATGATCTCCTTCTACCGGTCCACAATAGAAAGTGTCCTTTCATACTGCATCACGGTGTGGTACGCTGGTTTGACATCATCTGATAGGAAGTGCCTAAAGAGGGTGGTAAATACAGCACAAGATATTATGGGCTGTCCTGTGAATCTGCTGGATGAAATAGCGGAAGAACGTTGCCTCAGGAGAGTGAGGAAAATTCTCAGGGATGTTTCACACCCTGGCTGGCACTTTCTTGATCTCCTGCCCTCAGGCAGAAGATATAGAAGCACGATTAGTCGCACCAACAGGGTAAAGAACAGCTTCTATCCGTGGGCTGCTAGGCTGCTGAATGAAAAGAAAACAACAGGGCAACTGACTTTTGGGTTTGGTGATTGTGCGTCAGTAAAGGAGGAGAATTAAGACTAAGAGAGCTGAGTGGGGGGTGCTCGTGTAATCTCACTGTATACAAGTTGTACAAGTGACAATGAAGTATTTAAATAGCTTCAATTTCCCATTAGCCCCAGCCCAGCTTAGCTTGTCCCCTAGCTCCTAACCATGGACTCTGTTGTTGTTGTTGTTGTTGTTGTTCCTCCTCCTCCTCTTCTTCTTCTTCTTCTTCTTCTTCTTCTTCTTCTTCTTCTTCTTCTTCAAAAGTAAATCAAACAGATCAATGCAACAAAAATAACAGGTACACAAAAAAGCAGTGCAGGATATCCGAGAGAGACTTAAGATTAGGTTTGTGGTGTGCTTAAAGACCATTAGGGAAGCCAAATTTTACATTGTCCCAGTGCCAGATTTACGTATAAGCTAAACAAGCTATAGCTTAGGGCCCCACTCTCTTGGGGGCCCCCCAAAAAATTAAAGAAAAAAACACACCAGTGGATGTAGATTTCAAAATTGTATTTCAGTTCAACAATTACTTTGATAAAATACATATCTTGTTATGTGTGAATGGCTTTAGATACCTATTAGGTCCATCAATTACCATATAGCATATATTCAACACAAAAAACAGTGACAATTTGTTGTTGACAAAGGACAGCTGGACATATAAAGGGCCTCATTACCTTCAGGAGCTTAGGGCCTCATCAAACCTAAATCCGGCCCTGACACCTGTATAGGGAAGTTTTTAATGTTTAAAGTTTTATTAAGTTTTTGTATATGTTGGAAGCCTTCTTATTTTCTTATGGACTGAATTTCCCCCTCCCCACCCCTAATTGTTGCCTAAGATTCTTGTCTGCAGGCTAAGGCAACAGGAAGAAAGAAGCGACCACTTTTAAGGGTCTAGTCCTCAGCCTCTGATCTCAACGCAGTGCCGGATTTACGCATAAGCTAAACAAGCTATAGCTTAGGGCCCCGCTCTCTTGGGGCCCCCAAAAAAATTATAGGAAAAAAACCTGGGTGTACATTTCCAAAATATAAGATAAATTAAAACCTACATCCAGCAACAGTGTTTGGTGTTGTGTAGGCTTCTGTGATGTAAGTCATGGACCCCGCCTGCTAGCCTGCTCCCTAAAATATCACTGGTTTGCTCCTTTCTATATATAGGGTGCCTACATTCTGCATGGACTGGCTGCATGGCAACATGTAGCATGCAGCTGCAGACTGCAGTGCAGCACAGTTCCATTCAGGTCAAGCTGTTGCACCTGCTATCTAATATAACTGGCTGACTGACCGAACCCAAAGGGTGCTCATCAATGGTTCCTCTTCATCCTGGAGAAGAGCGACTAGTAGGGTGCCACAGGGTTCTGTCTTGGGCCCGGTCTTATTCCACATCTTTATCAACGACTTGGATGATGGACTCAAGGGCATCCTGATCAAATTTGCAGATGACACCAAACTGGGAGGGGTGGCTAACACCCCAGAGGACAGGATCACACTTCAAAACGACCTTGACAGATTAGAGAACTGGGCAAAAACAAACAAGATGAATTTTAACAGGGAGAAATGTAGAGTATTGCACTTGGGCAAAAAAATGAGAGGCACAAATACAAGATGGGGACACCTGGCTTGAGAGCAGTACATGTGAAAAGGATCTAGGAGTCTTGGTTGACCACAAACTTGACATGAGCCAACAGTGTGACGCGGCAGCTAAAAAAGCCAATGCAATTCTGGGCTGCATCAATAGGAGTATAGCATCTAGATCAAGGGAAGTAATAGTGCCACTGTATTCTGCTCTGGTCAGACCTCACCTGGAGTACTGTGTCCAGTTCTGGGCACCACAGTTCAAGAAGGACACTGACAAACTGGAACGTGTCCAGAGGAGGGCAACCAAAATGGTCAAAGGCCTGGAAACGATGCCTTATGAGGAACGGCTAAGGGAGCTGGGCATGTTTAGCCTGGAGAAGAGGAGGTTAAGGGTGATATGATAGCCATGTACAAATATATAAAAGGATGTCACATAGAGGAGGGAGAAAGGTTGTTTTCTGCTGCTCCAGAGAAGCGGACACGGAGCAATGGATCCAAACTACAAGAAAGAAGATTCCACCTAAACGTTAGGAAGAACTTCCTGACAGTAAGAGCTGTTTGACAGTGGAATTTGCTGCCAAGGAGTGTGGTGGAGTCTCCTTCTTTGGAGGTCTTTAAGCAGAGGCTTGACAACCATATGTCAGGAGTGCTCTGATGGTGTTTCCTGCTTGGCAGGGGGTTGGACTCGATGGCCCTTGTGGTCTCTTCCAGCTCTATGATTCTATGATTCTATGATTAAAGAGTGCTTGCAGACTGATGATCAGGCAGCATAGACTAAGGGTATGAGTCTTATGCCTATTGGTTGATTTCATGTACAGGTAATACATAATTTATTTATTTTGATCCCATTATAAAAATATTCATCTTTATTATTTAGTAGGCCTATACAGCGGTACCTCTAGTTGCGGACTTAATCCATTTCAGGGTGCCGTCCACAAGTAGGGCGTCTCTTCTGCGCATGTGCGCGGAGCGATCGAGTGCTTTTATGCATAGCGTGCATAACGCTTCTGCGCATGTGTGCGTGGTGAACCCGGAAATAAACACTTCCGGGTTTGCCACATTCGTAAGCTGAAAGTCCGTAACAAGAGCGAAATGCAACTAGAGGTAAAGGTAAAGGGACCCCTGACCATTAGGTCCAGTCGTGGCCGACTCTGGGGTTGCGGCGCTCATCTCGCTTTATTGGCCGAGGGAGCCGGCATACAGCTTCCGGGTCATGTGGCCAGCATGACTAAGCCACTTCTGGTGAACCAGAGCAGCGCACGGAAACACCGTTTACCTTCCCGCCGGAGCGGTACCTATTTATCTGCTTGCACTTTGACGTGCTTTCGAACTGCTAGGTTGGCAGGAGCAGGGACTGAGCAACGGGAGCTCACCCCGTCGCGGGGATTCGAACCGCCGACCTTCTGATCAGCAAGCCCTAGGCTCAGTGGTTTAACTCACAGCGCCACCCGCGTCCCTGCAACTAGAGGTACCACTGTATTATTATTTACTTGTACAGTTCCCTATTACCCCGACTTGCTACTATAATACTATATATAAATATTATAATTATATTAAATGTTTTACTTCCTTATAAAGGGCCCCATTACCTTCAGTAGCTTAGGGCCCCATCAAACCTAAATCCAGCCCTGTATTGTCCTGTGGAGACCAGAGTCCTGCGTGTCTGTATTTGTCATGTATAAGGTACAAAATGTAGTGAAATAGCTCTGAGCATGCAGATCTGAGCTTGTAGCGAGGGGGTTCAGGCATGCCCTATCTAGGTGAGTTAACATGGCAAAAGGGAACAGGAAAAGCAGGAAACGTAACTTCCTTCCTTCCAGGTGAGGGGCGTGGCCTTATTGAGTCTAGGAATACACCTCTGTGGTCTTAACCCTTTCATGCATTAACTAGCTCCGTGCCCTCTGGTTATATTTGACTACAATTTCCCACACGAGCTTCAGAGCTTCTGAATGACTCATGAGATCTTAGCGACACTTTCACCTTTTTTTCGAAAACCAAATTTTCATTTTCCTCCGCTCAGTTGCACAAACTCTGCTCTGGTTCATTATCCCCCATTATCCCTTTGAATCTTAATGAATAGCTGCGGTTGTAATTGCAGCCTTGGTGGGAAATGTCACATTAACACCACTCTGTGTTTACAAAGCCCCGGCGTTTCTCTAAACGGGGAAAGGTGGAATAATTATTGCTTTCACTCGGCCCCGTGACGGATATGTTAAAAGCCGGCGCTCGTGAGAGAGGAGCTTCCCTGCGATTAAGGGAACCAGGAAGTGTCTGTCAAAAGTCTGACACAATGCGTTGATAAATTGTTTTGCATGGTGTGCGGCCAGCATCCTATTAGGACCTGGGAGACAAGGGTTTGGCTCCCGAACTCAGCCGGGAAATTCATACGATGACCTTGAGCTAGACACCATCTCTCGGTTGCGACAGTAAGAACGAGGAGGGAGGGAACCAGGAACACTGCCTTGAGCTATCGGCAGGAAGAGTGGGATGTTAATGTAACAAGTAAATAAAAATAGTAATAAAATCATAGAATGCAGGAATGTGTAGCTGTCCCATACAGGGATCAAACCTGCAACTTTGGTTTTATCAGGACTACGCTCTAACCCACTGAGCTATCCAGGTAGAAGGTTTTCTACCACAGTTTTACTCGGTTGTCTTTGCTTTTTAAAATGTGTGGTGTGGTGTAAGTGGGCATTATTGTCTTGGAAGATGTTTATTAAGGCCAATTCTGGGGTGCTTTCTAATACTTGCTTGGTTATTTTACTTATTTCTCGTATGGTTGTTGTCCAGAATAGTTGGATTTTGGGGCACTCATCTTTCCCTCCCTCTACCTCTTTCCCCCTTTTCTTCCTAATGTCTCAACAAATGAAACTGATTTGTAAAAATGTTACATGGGGGAAAAATATGAGAGAGGGACATTGCACACACTTTTGTAAATCAACAAAATCATTAATAATAATAAAAAATAAGTATACAGAATATTTTTATTTTTATTTTTAAAAGTACAATGAACCAATACAGTTACAGTTCTCGAAAACAAGTGAAAGCAATTGTAATAAAAAGTTAAAATAAAAAAAAAAAGTGTGGTGTTTCGCCCCCCTCCTTTCTCTCCTATCAGAAGGAGATTGCAAACCTAGATCGAAATCTCCGTTTTGCTATTAATCCAAAGCTGGGAGGTTAATATTCCCCCTAAACCCTGTTAATCTTTTTAAAAAGTCGTCATTGCAAGTTGCCACGGTTGATGCCGTAAGTTATGGGCTTACGCCGCAGGCATGTCCAAAGTCCGTTTGGGGGGACCTAATCCGGCCCTCTGGTCGATTTAATTTGGCCCCTGTGGCAGTATATGTCCCTGGGGTAAAATCCCCCCCCCAAAAGCTCAGGAACTTCAATCCAAAAGAAAGCTCAACAACTCTGATCAGCCGTCACGCATGTTCACTTCATCAAATCTGGCCCTCTTTGAAAAAAGTTTGGGCGTTTTATCTGAGAGAAATAATTGTCTCCCTACAGCCTTATCCCTGTTCCAGGTACCACATAATACCAGTTCTGCTTTTGTAAGAAATCGACCCCCACTTCTTCTTCTTTTCCTCCAGAGATTTCCCTGCGAAAGCCTGCTCTTTAAAGCTCAATTGGAGCAAACAGCAATCCGCAGAAAACCTGGGCGCTAAATGAATGAATGCTAAAGAGCAAGTTTTTATGGGGAAAACATGGGGCACTGAATAACTGTGAATACTGGTCTACCTTAAAAAAAAAAAAAAGATTTAAGAAAGTTTGCTAACAGTAAACATCGAGGTAGCTCATCATGTGGCTTTTTTTGTTCTGCCTCTAGCAAAATTCAGTTTTGTTCATGATCGTGTTGTAAATTAGGACTTTAGCATTCGGGTGTTTTTTAAATCAGCGACTGGCTGGTGCCTAGCCAAGATTTCACACTGTGAAAATCTTGTTGTTATGGCTAATGGCGCAAACAGTAACACTGCACCGAACTGATCAAGGGGAAAGAATAAAAAAGCAGAGAGAAGAGAAAGTAATATTAATAAGGGATCTTACTGTCTAACAGGGAATGATGGCTTTTGTTGATTAAATCTAAATTTTTTTCACAATTCCTCTCTTAGAAAGGGCACCTGCTTGGGGTATTGAATAATAAGGAAACTGATTTCAATTAAATTGATTAATTGGAGAAAGGCAGCGACTAATACACTAAAAATGATTTTGTCAGTTGACTGCCCTATTGGAAAATGGATGTTCGAGAGCTGAGTCACACCTAATGAAAGCCGCCAGGGCTCATAGGTGTTTATAGGAATTGCAAATATTTTGTAACCTGCCTTCTGTTCTTTCATTTTATTTTTTTCCAAAAAAAGAGAAAGCATTATTGGCAATTAATTAAGTTACACAAGAAAAATTATGTGCCGAAGAGGGACTTCCAGTTGAAAAAGACAAAACTTGTTCCTATAGCTACACGTATAAATAAAGACACTCGTCTTCATTGAAAAAAAACACCCTATTAATATTCCGTGTACACAATTCAACAAATTATTAGATTTCGACCTGTGCAATCTCTGGAGCTGGGAGGATAGCTTCATATTTCGTTTTCCTTACTTTCTCATGCTTAGAAATATAGAAAATCTATTCCCTGCCCGAAATACCCAGATCTTTTATTTCGACTTGGCAAGGCAGGTCCCTGCCAATTTTCGTTTTAGCAGACAAGGAGACCGAAAGCAAGAAAATGAGTCTGTGTTAGAGGAGGGTGTTTAACCTCCGTTGTCAGAATGAGACTCTGTTGTGTTAGCCCTGTGTCCAGGGCAGTTGTCTACCAGCTCCATCTGGTACGCAGGCTGAGACCCTGTCTGCCTGCGGACTGTCTCGCCAGAGTGGTGCATGCTCTAGTTATCTCTCGCTTTTACTACTGCAAGGCACTCTACGTGGGGCTACCTTTGAAGGTGACCAGGAAACTATAACTAATCCAGAATGCGGCAGCCAGACTGGTGACTGGGAGCGGCCGCCGAGACCATATAACACCGGTCTTGAAAGACCTACACTGGCTCCCAGTACGTTTCCGAGCACAATTCAAAGTCTTGGTGCTGACCTTGAAAGCCCTAAATGGCCTCAAAGGCCCAGTAGACATGAAGGAGCGTCTCCACACCCATCGTTCTGCCTGGACACTGAGGTCCAGCTCCGAGGGCCTTCTGGCGGTTCCCTCACTGCGATAAGCCAAGTTACAGGGAACCAGGCAGAGGGCCTTCTTAGTGGTGGCACCTGCCCTGTGGAATGCCCTCCCACCAGATGTCAAATAGAACAACAACTACCAGACTTTTAGAAGACATCTGAAGGCATCTCTGTTTAGGGAAGCTTTTAATGCTCCTTCAGGGATACTGGGCTGAGGCCGTTTAGGGCTTTAAAGATGATCCTCAGGGTCCCTTCCAACTACTTGACTTGATGCTGCCCATCTGATCGGGTTGTCCCCAGCCACTCTCGGCAGCTTCCAGCAGCTTCCAGCAGCGTCAAACACAGACAAACATCACTGTGTCAGCAGTGGGGTTTGTGTGTGAAGTTTCAGTAGCCAAGGTATATATAATGCCAAGGCCGACTGAGCCTCTTGGGCTTGCTGATCAGGAGGTCGGTGGTTCGAATCCCCGTGATGGGGTGAGTTCCCGTTGCTCTGTCCCAGCTCCTGCCAACCTAGCAGTTCGAAAGCATGCCAGTGCAAGTATATAAATAGTTACCGCTGTGGCAGGAAGGTGAGCGGCGTTTCCGTGCACTCTGGTTTCTGTCACGGTGTCCCGTTGCGCCAGAAGTGGTTTAGTCCTGCTGGCCACATGACCCAGAAAGCGAGATGAGTGCAGCAACCCCATAGTTGCATTTGACTGGACTTAACATGGGACGCGGGTGGTGCTGTGGGTTAAACCACAGAGCCTAGGACTTGCCGATCAGAAGGTCAGCGGTTCAAATCCCCGCGACGGGGTGAGCTCCCGTTGCTCGCTCCCTGCTCCTGCCAACCTAGCAGTTCGAAAGCACAAAGTGCAAGTAGATAAATAGGTAACGCTCCGGCGGGAAGGTAAACGGCGTTTCCGTGCGCTGCTCTGGTTTACCAGAAGCGGCTTAGTCATGCTGGCCACATGACCCGGAAGCTGTATGCCGGCTCTCTTAGCCAATAAAGCGAGATGGGCGCCGCAACCCCAGAGTTGGCCATGACTGGACCTAATGGTCAGGGGTCCCTTTACCTTTAACTGTCCAGGGGTCCTTTACCTTTACCTTTACCTGTAATGTCACCTGACTTCAGTTGAGATGCTTTTCATGTCCACATCTGTCAAATAAACTTCATGGTAGCACCGTGTGTGTGTGTGTGTGTGTGTGTGTGTGTGTGTGAGAATCATCTCTGATATCAACACCTGCCCCTTGATGAAAGCCTCTTGCTGGATAGAAGCTCATTGATTCTTCCCCGGAAAGGACAGCCTTTCATTTATGCGATCACAGCGTGAGTTCCTAAGGGGAGCCTCGCTTTATCTTCCGTGTAGGCTTAGCGAAAGGAACTCCCTCCGTTCCGTCGCTTTGATTGCTCGGAAAGTAGCACAGATGGTTTGTAAGTGCCACCAGGAAAGACGTTGCTAAGCTGGCAGGTGAGACAAATCGTGGTTCAAAGCCCCCCACATCTGTTGCTGCTTGGGAGAGAAAATGGTTTTGCACTGGTCTTCGCGATTCGGCGCTTCTGCGCATGCGTGTGACGTCATTTTGCGCTTCTGAGCGGCGAAACCTGGAAGTAACCCTTTCCGGTACTTCCGGGTCGCCGTGGGACGCAACCTAAAAGAACGCAACCTGAAGCAAACGTAACATGAGGTATGACTGTAGAGAAGAAACTTTCATGGAATAAATTAATGCAAGAAGGAACTCTGTGTGCATGCCTATGATGTGCAGGGAGTGTGGCTGCAGGGGGGCTTGGCAGTGAGGGCAGGGGACCCCTTGACTTCCTCTCCCTGCATTCCTTGAATCTAGATATGTGTAATCCCCACTATGCAAACTGCAGTAACTTTTAACAAAGCTGCTTTTCGATCTCACACCCTGCTGCTGCTGCTACAATGCTGTTCTAAGGTTTATGACTGCCATTAACGTTTATGTCGTTGGTTTTCTAGTGAGAAGCTGGATGGAAAAGCTGAAAGATAAGGTAGGGAGATCTACCTTTGTCTCGCTTTGCGTTTGAAGGCAGGTGCTGTCTTTTGCTTTCAGAAACCATTGGCTCCCAAAGGGTGAAATTTGTGGTTTCTGGTTCAGGGGTCCTTCTGAATGGGCAGCTGGAGAGCAGATCATGAAGAAAGCACACCAAGAACTCAGGCCAATGTAAGTTTCAATAGTGGGAGCAGTCCCTACTTGCAAATCAATAGTCAATTGTCAAAAACTAATCCATTCAAAAGTATGTATTCTGCGGCAGCAAGAATATTATTGGCACAAAAATGGAAGCAAGAAGAATTACCGACGAAAGAAGAATGGAGGATGAAATCAATGGACTATGCAGAATTAGATAAACTAACGGGAAGGATTCGACATCTCCGGGACCAGAAATTCACAGAAGACTGGTGTAAATTTACAGACTATTTGAAAAGTAATTGTAATGATCAGACTACGTTTGTAGGTTTGCAAGAAGTTTTGTGAGGTGAATTATTGGAACTATTGCAAAAATGGATGAAGGGGAGGATGGTTAGTTAGGATAATTAAAGGCAATATGAATTTAAGAAATGCATAAGAAGTGGTTAAAACGGTGGATCATCAGAGGTGCTGATGGAAGTCCCCCCCAAAAAATTTTTGTATAAGTGGTGAAGTTTTGTGGTATTATAATTTATATGTTACAATTAATAAAAAAAATTATATATATAAAAAAACAAAAGTTTCTGACAAGGATTATAAACTCAAATAGAGATTGCAAACTCTAACAGAGATTACAAACTCAAACTCATAAAGATATGTGTAACATCATAATTCATTACAGAATCAGAGATAAGAGTTTATGAGTAGAGATACGTTCATGTTAGTCCATAGTAAGATTTGACGTGGAGGTCTTAGTTTCAATCATTGAGCAGAAGTCAGAAGTCAATTATGGATCAGAAACCAGAACAGGGCCCTGTTTCAATGTATTCACCTTCATCAGCTATTGAAACTTACATTGGCCTGAGTTCTTGGTGTGCTTTTTTCTTGGAGACCAGATCCTGACATAGGTTTGAAGGATGGCGGTGACGACCTTCTGCTGTTTGCAGAAAACTGGAAGCACTGAACGCTCAGCTCGTCACTGGACCTCCTAAGCTTGTTGACCTCCATCCTGTTGCATCCGAATTGGACCATTTTCGGTCTATTTCCTGGTTCTCAACACACGCAGCTCACAACCATGCTTCCATAGCAGCTGCTTGCTGAGGGTCTCTGGATTTGATCCTCCTCCCTGAGAACCAGAGAATTTTGACCATGCCGGTCCTCAGGTCAGCTGTTCCCCACGCTGATCACAACTGATCGGGGTAATCCGAAAGACACCCATGCTGATCACCGCTAGCCAAAATGGAGAATGTTTGTGGTCCTTCTACTGCTGCTAAGGCCCCAAGTCCAATCAGCCACTGCCAACAGCTGGGAATTCTGGGATTTGAAGTCCATCAACACCTGGAGGACCACAGTTTCCCCATCCCAGGCCAAGGGCTGATTTGCACTTCATTTTGGCAACACACCATCTGTTGTGTTCGAACCGGGATTGATTGTGGGGTATTTATGGGAGGGTTTCAACATCGTGCTAAGATCTCCAGTCTTGGTTGTCCCTCAATTCCCATCCTCTTGGCGTGTTACTCATCTCCTGACTACTCCTGGTTTCACCACCACCACCAAAGCAGCTACCTAGTCTGAGTAGCATTCCCATGTGCTGACATTCCTTCCTAGACTTGCCATTTTTGTTCCCCATTCTTGCTTGAACGTCCACGATCCCATTCAACACTTTCACAGGCAGCAGCACCTCTTTCTGGAAACAGCAGCAGGGGAGGGTGCTATTGAGCTCACGTTCCGTTTTAGGCCTTCCCAGGAGCATCTGTCTGTTTGGCCACTCTGAGAAGAGGGTTTTGGACTAGATCAGTAAGCCTGATCTTTATTAAACTGTTGCAACAGGGTCCCCCATTCCTCCCACGCAGGGAGGGAGGAGAGGAACCCAGAACAATGGCGCGCAAGCTTTTATATAGACTTTTGAAATTGCCTCCCCTGTAGCTCAAGACCACCCCCCAAAACATCATACATACATCACAGAAAGAGGTGGTCCCCAGCAGAAATTTGAGTGTGTTGCTTCTCTCCTGCCTGCCAGGATACCTGATAATGCCTTATCTGATTGCCTGTTCTGGGTAGCCTGGCCATTCATTTGAGATGGTAAATACTTAGTTCCTGAATCTCTTACGCATATTGATAGTGTGCTCAGCTTAACACAGGGGTCAGCAAACTAAGGTCTGCGGGCCGAATCAGGCCCAATTTCCCTCTGAATCCGGCCAGCGGACGGTCCTGGAATCGCTGCTTGGATTGTTGTGATCGTTCGGGCTGCGCCATTTTTTTGCAATTTTTGGGGGGTCACCATTTCCCCCCCCCGCGGTGGCGCCTCCTCCCTCCCTCCTCCTGCCTTCTCCCCACCCTACAGAGGAAGGGAGCTGGCCTTGGATTGGGGCCAGCAGCCAGCCAATCCAAAGCCTCGCTGCCCGTGCGGCCCAGACTCGCCCACCAGCCTCTCCGTCCATGGCATCATGATGGGCGCACCATTGTGGGGCTTCAGCTGGAGCTTGGTGTGTCTGCTGGCCCCACGCCTGGTGCCCGGGAAAGCTGGCCCGGAAAGGAGAGGCGCCGCCACTGCCGCCGGCTCCCAACCACAGACAGAGCAGTGGAGGAGGTAGGAAAGGGAGGTGAGGTAAGGGGCTGGGGGAGAGGGGGGGAGAGAGAGAAGCCCCCTCCGGCGCATGTGCGCTCCCGCGCATGCAGTCCGGCCTGCCACAAGGTCTGAGGTGTGGTGAACCGGCCCCCTCCTAAAAAAGTTTGCTGACCCCTGGCTTAACAGATGCTTGCCAGACTGTATTAAGGGAGGTGTAAGCCCCTACAGTCCAAAGACAATTGGAAAGCTTTTCCCATTTCCTTGCTCCTTGCAGAGAAATATTTGAGGTCAATTAGGGAGAGTCAAAATGGCTTCAGGATTGCTCTCTTGTACTATTTCAGACACGTGGTTTATACAGTGGTACCTCTGGATGCGAACGGGGTCCTTTCCGGAGCCCTGTTTGCATCCAGAAGCGATTCGCCGCTTCCTCGCATGCACGTGATGTCATTTTGTGTGTCTGCGCATGCACGAGCAGCGAAACCCAGAAGTAACGTGCTCCGTTACTTCCGGGTCGCCACAGCACACTACCCGAAAATACTTATCCCGAAGCTACTTCAACCCGAGTATGACTGTATACTTATGTATGTGTTTGCATTGTACATTTGTGAACATTTATTATATATATAACCTTAGAATTCCTATAACACTGAAGTGGCCTCTTTTCCCTACCCTCTTCTGCAGGCTGGTTACATGTCTGGGATGCTGGTGCCCGTTGGGGTTGGCATTGCGGGGGCCCTTTTCATCTTGGGCGCTCTCTACAGCATAAAGATTATGAACCGCCGGCGAAGGAATGGCTTCAAGAGACATAAGCGAAAGGTAGGCTCCCAACGCCCCACCCCCCGGCTGCTCAGCCTTTGTGATTCTCTGAGGCCCCGGACAATTTTGGCTCGTGGAAAGTGCCGCTCTGCCATTCAGACCGGAAGCGGCAACACCAGGCTTCCTCGAACTCGGCCCTTCAGATGTTTTGAGACTACAATTCCCATCATCCCTGACCACTGGTTCTGCTAGCTAGGGATCATGGGAGTTGTAGGCCAAAAACATCTAGAGGGCCGAGTTTGAGAAAGCCTGGGCAACACTGACAAACCATAAGTGGCTTTTTTAACTAATAGAATTTTCTACTTCTTCTTCTTTGGTGATCCCTCGTTGCTGAGTAAGATTGTCTTCCATAAACACGGTTTTAACATCGAGTCCATAAGTGACTGTGGAGGCCAATTCTGTATCTACACGTCCTTCCACAGTGGGGACATTGGTTCCCGGGCTGGAGTTTATCATGGTGAGGGTTTGCCAAGCATGCATTCCCTTGTTTCTCCCTTGCGTCCTGAGTTCGAGTGTCTTCAAAGCCCATGACACCTTTGGTAAAGGCTGTTCTCCAACTGGAGCGCTCGCAGGCCAGTGATTCCCAGTTGTCAGTGTTTATACTACATTTTTTTAGATTTGCCTTGAGACAGTCTTTAAACCTCTTTTGTTGACCACCAGCATTACGCTTTCCATTTTTAAGTTGGGAATAGAGTAGTTGCTTTGGAAGACTAATAGACTTTAACTAATAGAATTTATAGAATGAGCCAATATGACAGCTGCAATGAGGAATATGGATGAGAAAATAACAGTAAGTGAGTGGGAATTACTGGAAAAAATAGTTCAAAAAGAGCAGAATAAATGTTAAATATACAAGCGGGGATCAACTTATGAACACCAGATTAAAAAGGGGAAAGGGGGGTGGGAATGGCGGGGAATATGCCTTATGATGCCTTATGAGGAACGGCTAAGGGAGCTGGGCATGTTTAGCCTGGAGAAGAGGAGGTTAAGGGGTGATATGATAGCCATGTTCAAATATATAAAAGGATGTCACATAGAGGAGGGAGAAAGGTTGTTTTCTGCTGCTCCAGAGAAGCGGACACGGAGCAATGGATCCAAACTACAAGAAAGAAGACTCCACCTAAACATTAGGAAGAACTTCCTGACAGTAAGAGCTGTTTGACAGTGGAATTGGCTGCCAAGGAGTGTGGTGGAGTCTCCTTCTTTGGAGGTCTTTAAGCAGAGGCTTGACAACCATATGTCAGGAGTGCTCTGATGGTGTTTCCTGCTTGGCAGGGGGTTGGACTCGATGGCCCTTGTGGTCTATTCCAACTCTATGATTCTATGATTCTATTCTAATATAAACCAAGGAGTTGCAGCAAAGTTAAGTGAAAATGTAGGCTGTCAAGGAATGATAGGCTGGGAAGTCTTCTTATGACAGGAAATGGCTAGAGATGTTTTATGGTTGTAACCAGTGTAACCTTCAGGCCATAGGTGCCAACTCCCTTGAGCCCTGGGTGCCCCAGCACCCGCAAAATTCCCCATGAAGGGGGCGGGCACCCACAGATTTCTGTGCCTGGGCCATGCACGCTGCGTGGCACCCAAGTCACGGGGCAAACTGGGACTCCTGCTTCAGGTTTCATCAGAAATTTCCCCGAAGGACCAAAGTCCATCTTCTTTGGCACTCTAGCAGTCCTGCCCGATCCTAAGCCCAGTTTCTGACTTACCCACCCCTTTTAAATGTGCCAATGTACCAGGCAGGGAGTTTGGAGGAGGGGAGGGGAACAAGCATACGAAAGAAGGTTTCATTCCTTGGCGCTGATGTCTTCCCTTGCCTCTCTCTTTCTCTCTCCCCACCACAGCAGAGAGAATTCAACAGCATGCAAGACCGAGTGATGCTTCTAGCAGACAGCTCTGAAGATGAATTCTGAACCAGGCTGCGGTGCCTCGTTTCCTGCCCTCCCATGACTTTTATTTCCTTCTCCCCCCCTCTGTTTCCCTTCTTTCTTGTCGCCGAGGGAGGTGCGCAAGCGTTTCTGCTGCGCCGCCATGGAGGCCGGCCACCTTCCTCTCGCTCACGGGGCAGCGGTGCTTTTACACAACCTGCCCCTATAAGAGGAAAACACACACACACACCGATAACAGCATGCTGCAGCCCCAGTGTAACACACAAATATTGTTATTTTTAAAATATATGTATCTCTGTACGGTCGCGCACGTTCATTTTCCACGCACGGCACGCTGTTCCGAATGCGCAGCAGGCAAAGGCGTGGACCCAAAAGACAAAGGACGTTTGTTGGGTGTTTTTATTCCATCTGCTGGCAGTTGTGCTGCCGTCCTTCTGGTGTGAGTCTCTGGAGAGGGCAAGCTTCAACCCAGATAACTCCTGTCTCTCTCTCTCTCTCTCTCTCGCTGGGGAGCAACTTCTGAATACGTTGCGTTACCTGAGCTGGAGTTCGCAGTTTCCAAAATTAGCTGCTCTGTTTAATTGATGAAGTGCCGTCCCAAAGCAGATCCCACCCCCATTGTTCAGGTAGGAACTAGGTAGAGTACAACACAGTGATATGTAGATTAAGATACACCGAAGGCCCAAACTAGACGTTTATGTGGGAGACACACGGAGGGCCCCCCACTTTTGTAAACTGCAAAGCAGTTTCGGAGGCTGCAGTTAGGAGATAGGGAAACAGCTGACTCTCCAGGGTTTCAGATGGGCGGCTTTCCCCATCCCAAAACTTGTGTTCTGGGATCTATTGCAGGCAAAGCAGGTTCTCGTCCACAGATCCCTTAAAAAATAACGCTAAGGTCCTAGTCCTCATGGATCTGAACAAAGGACTGATCAATGCTGCCTCCACTGGCTGGCAGCAGGTCTTGAACCTGGGACTTGCTGCGTACAAAGCAGATTTTCTGTCGCTGAGCTACGCTCCTTCCCCAAATCTGGCAAGCTGGGAGCAGAGAATGGCAGGGGAAAATGCTTAACCCGTTTCCTTTCCGCTGGTTTCCCCCCCTTCCCTCCCTCCAGCTGCTTTTTCACCCGTGGAGGAAAAGAGACAAGACCCCTGCATCTTTTTCCTTGACAAGGGAAAAACAGCAGGGTGTGTGTGTTATGATGATTTTGAGGAGGAAGGGGAAGGGTCAAGCATCCCCTCCGCTGCTTGTGCTCCTACTGACCTCTTGTGCTTCCAACTTATCGTGAGGTTTCGCCTTCTAAGCATGCCAGCCTACATTGCAGAGCGGCTTATTTAAAGACACAGACAACCCATTGCTATGTGGGATTTTTCCAGGGCTTTTCCCCCAGCTGGAACTCACCGGAGATCAGTTCTGGCATCTCTCATGTGTCGCCATTGCTATTATAAGAGAACAAGGGAGGTATTTGCGGTGAGTTCCAGTGCCTCTTTCTCTAGAGAAATAGCGCTGAGATTTTCTTCCCGTTGTGAATAGCAAGACCATGGGGTGCTGATTCTTTTTGGAACCACAGTGTGTGGGGTCCCTTTGCGGCCCCCCCACATGCTCCCAGTGCATCAAGGCCCTCCCCTTGCCAGCTGTTGAGTTTTCTTTCACCATGACAGCATCGTGGTGTCAAAGTGCACGACAAACGCCACGTCTCGCTTGGCCCTGAGGTCACAACCCTGATGATGACGGTCCTGGGATCAATGCTGTCATGGGACACACCCCCCCCTTTCCCCTGCGGCGGATGCTTCTGGCAAGGCAGCCCAGTTTGTTACCGGTATGCCGCCCGTTGGCTTGGGAACTGCCGGCCAAAGGCTTCTGCGGCCCGTCACCTGCAGTCATGTAGTGTCAAATTCGGAAGCGCCAAGTTCCCTTTGTGATAGTCGCAGCCACTCACCTCTTCTGAGATTATGCAACCTTCTAAGAATATACAATAATATTATAATGATACAAGAATAAGAATAAATAGAGATGCATTGCAGCCATCAATGCAGATCTCCGTTGTGTTGCGTTTCAGCCAGATCTGCTATTTTCTGTGCACGTAAATATTTTGGACGGCTCCAATAATATCTTCCATTGGTGACACTACGTTGTGTTTTCCGTGAAGTTCCGTTCCACGTAGCAGAACTTCCAAGCACGCGGCGGTGTTGTTTTTCTTAAGCTGGAGCACCTTACGTTTTCAGTGCTCCTAAATGCTTAGTTTTGCAGCATGCAGAATCATTCATTCTTGGTCCTTCTCCAGATTGACCCCCAGGAGCCCATCCTCAGTGGCCAACTCACATCCTTTCCCTTTGCTGGTCTCCGGTCAGCACAGAGGGTGAGAAGATGTCTTCTCAGTGGTTAAAAGCTCTCCTTTTATGCTGACCGGGCAGCTCTAAGATGGTACCCTTCTGCAGAAATAGTATCAGGTCTTTTCCTACACCTGGAACTTAAATCCACGGCACTTTGCCTGGTGTAAATACACCCCACATGTGTTCATGATCACTTGGAACATTACCAAGACTATGCTCATCTCTGTCCTGTTGTTTCATGGGTCCTCCTTTACGGCTCCATCGAAGTGGACTGGAGGAGGACACCTGCAAACGGCTGATGCCTTCAGCCTTGTGAAAGGTCGCCCAGGGCCCCTGACCACCTGAGAAGCAGCAGTCAGCAAGCGGCTTTTGGGGTGGTAGGGAAAGGGGAACGTGTGTTCTAGGTTGCTTTCTGGAGAGGAGCAGGTCAGCCGAATGAGCGTGAGCCCAAACAAGGCCCCAGGAAACCATAACGTAGCGGAGGGGAAGCGGTTTCAAAAGCAAGACTGAAGTAGATCGGAGCTGGCTTTCAGGCTTCTAGTCCATAGTGAGTAATTCGTAGAGCTGCGCTAAAAAAAGGTGCAAGGGAGGTGGACTACATATGCCGAGAGCAGCTTCCCAGCCAAGACGGCAGATGGCGAGGCCAGGGTGAAGCCAAGTGGCTGCTTTGCAGGGGTGTGGCAGCCGTGCATCAGACTGGATTGGTGGGTGCTGTTGGACTACAACTCCCATCGCTCCCAGCCGGCTTAGCTGAGGAATTGTAGTCCCCCAACATCTTCGCAGGCCAAGGTAAGCGGGGCATTGCCCAGTTTGCCCTAATGGACCAACCTCTGCTGATAGGAAGCTTAGGACCAGGTTGTTTACCCCACACAGCTCAGGATTGTCCATCCCAGCCTGGTGCTCCCTTCCGACTGTTTGGGACTACAACTCCCATTAGCCCCAGTCAGCACAGCTGGAGGAGAGGCTACTAGGTTGGGGAGCTCTTGTCTCCTCAACTGACAGCTGCTCTTCAGGGTCTCAGGTAGAAGGAGAGAGGTCTTTCCCATCACCTGTTAACCGGGGTCATTTAGCTGAAGGTGGTTAGAGCAGAATCGGCAGGCTGGCACAGGAATGGCTTAGAAAGCTACCGTATTTTTCACTGTATAGGACACACTTTTCCCCCTCCAAAAATGAAGGGGAAATGTGTGTGCGTCCTATGGAGCGAATGCAGGCTTTCGCTGAAGCCTGGAGAGCGAGAAGGGTCGATGCGCACCGACCCCTCTCGCTCTCCAGGCTTCAGGCAGCTATCCGCCTGGCTCCGAAGGCTTGCGGATAGCAGCCTGTTCTGGGGGCTGGGGTCGTGGGAAGCTTGGGCTTCCCCCATCCCCATCCCCGCAAGCTCCGGGAGCGGCGGCGAGGTTGCGCGCAATCTGGCCGCCGCTTCTGGACCTGTTCTGGGGGCTGGGGGGGGGAATAATTTTTTTTCTTTATTTCCCCCCCTAAAAACTAGGTGCACCCTATGGTCCGGTCCCATCATCCTTGACCACTGGTCCTGCTAGCTAGGGGTGATGGGATTTGTAGTCCAAAAACAGCTGGAGTTTCCCAAGTTTGAGAAACCCTGATCTAGGTAATCATTAATGCCCAGTGATATCTGAACCGTCCCCTGGTCTGGAATGGGATGCCTCTGAATATTTTTAATGTGGGGTTGGAAAGGAAAAAGAAAAGGAAAAAGAAAGTTCGTGGCAAATGTATATCCCAACTAGTGTAGACTTTACATTTGAATTATGCGACACCTACTGCAGTGGAGGAAGGATTGGACCAGCACGGGGGGAGGGGTGGGGTTTGAGGTCCGAGACCCATCATCACCATGGAACCACCTCAGGGCCTTGGGATGCGTCACTTTTGCCCATTCCCCCCCCCTCTGCGGCAGGGATTTTAGTGACCTACCTCACAGGGTTGTTGTGAGGGCAAAGAATAAAGCTTGACAAGCACTTGGCAAATGGAAAGGGCTGTCTGAGAGACGCGAAGCAGCGGCGCCACAATAAATGGATTTAGGTGTCACGTGTGGAAATGGGCTCGAAGGGGGACGTCAACTTGGAAGGCGCAGTTTAAGGGGGCTACGTCAGCTGGTCTGGCTACAGCCAGTTATGTGAACACAAAACAAGGAACAATCCACTCCGGTGAGCAGGAAGAGGGTGTGGAAAATTAACTAGGTGGTTTCTGTTTCTGGGGATACTTCCATTTCTCTGACCAGGCCCTGGAAGCTTTCAAATGCAGGGCTAGGGAACCTGAGGCCCATTACACCAGTGTTTCCCATACTTGAGTCTCCAACTTTTTTTTGGACTACAACTCCCATCATCCCTAGCTAGCAAGACCAGTGGTCAAGGATGATGGGGATTGTGGTCCAAAAGCAGCTAGATACTCAGGTTTGGGAAACACTGCTCTAGAGATGTTGTTGGACTCCAAATCCCATCAGACTCAACTGGCACGGCCAAAAGGCAGCCAGGGATGATGGGAGTTGTAGTCCAGTCATCTTTGAGAATTCCTGGAGAACAGGCGAAGTCCCGGCAGACTGGAGGAGGGCAAATGTTGTCCCTATTTTCAAAAAGGGGAAAAGAGAGGACCCAAATAATTACCGCCCAGTCAGTCTGACATCAATACCAGGGAAGATTCTGGAGCAGATCATTAAGCAAACAGTCTGTGAGCACCTAGAAAGGAATGCTGTGATCACCAATAGTCAGCATGGATTTCTGAAAAATAAGTCATGTCAGACTAACCTGATCTCGTTTTTTGACAGAATTACAAGCCTGGTAGATGAAGGGAGCACAGTGGATGTAGCCTACCTTGATTTCAGCAAGGCATTTGACAAGGTGCCCCATGATATTCTTGTAAAGAAGCTGGTAAAATGCGGTCTTGACTATGCTACCACTCAGTGGATTTGTAACTGGCTGACTGACCGAACCCAAAGGGTGCTCATCAATGGTTCCTCTTCATCCTGGAGAAGAGTGACTAGTGGGGTGCCACAGGGTTCTGTCTTGGGCCCGGTCTTATTCAACATCTTTATCAACGACTTGGATGATGGACTCAAGAGCATCCTGATCAAATTTGCAGATGACACCAAACTGGGAGGGGTGGCTAACACCCCAGAGGACAGGATCACACTTCAAAACGACCTTGACAGATTAGAGAACTGGGCCAAAACAAACAAGATGAATTTTAACAGGGAGAAATGTAAAGTATTGCACTTGGGCAAAAAAAATGAGAGGCACAAATACAAGATGGGGGACACCTGGCTTGAGAGCATGTGAAAAGGATCTAGGAGTCTTGGTTGACCACAAACTTGACATGAGCCAACAGTGTGATGCGGCAGCTAAAAAAGCCAATGCAATTCTGGGCTGCATCAATAGGAGTATAGCATCTAGATCAAGGGAAGTAATAGTGCCACTGTATTCTGCTCTGGTCAGACCTCACCTGGAGTACTGTGTCCAGTTCTGGGCACCACAGTTCAAGAAGGACACTGACAAACTGGAACGTGTCCAGAGGAGGGCAACCAAAATGGTCAAAGGCCTGGAAACGATGCCTTATGAGGAACGGCTAAGAGAGCTGGGCATGTTTAGCCTGGAGAAGAGGAGGTTAAGGGGTGATATGATAGCCATGTTCAACTATATAAAAGGATGTCACATAGAGGAGGGAGAAAGGTTGTTTTCTGCTGCTCCAGAGAAGCGGACACGGAGCAGTGGATCCAAACTACAAGAAAGAAGATTCCACCTAAACATTAGGAAGAACTTCCTGACAGTAAGAGCTGTTCGACAGTGGAATTTGCTGCCAAGGAGTGTGGTGGAGTCTCCTTCTTTGGAGGTCTTTAAGCAGAGGCTTGACAACCGTATGTCAGGAGTGCTCTGATGGTGTTTCCTGCTTGGCAGGGGGTTGGACTCGATGGCCCTTGTGGTCTCTTCCAACTCTATGATTCTATGATTCTATGATCCAACGAACACCTCAAGGGCAAAATGAGATTTCCGCATTTCTGCTCCTCCCGAGCGATTTGGAAATGGTGACTCTCCAGATGTTGGACTCTTAAGAAGACACCAAGAGCCGGCTGGATCTGTCTAATTCAGCATCCTGTTCTCACAGTGACCAACCAGATTCCTGTGAGAGATCTGCAAGCAGGATTCAAACACAAGACCAACTCTCCCCTCCTGTGGTTTCCAGATTTAATTACATCTCATAACACAAATCTGTAACATGAAGCATTGCTCAGACAGAGCACCGACTTCCTTCCCTCCCTCTTTCTGACTTCCAAACATCTTTTACTAAATTCTCGCATTTCTATAACCACTTTTTTCACCTTAAATCTTTTTTTTATAGAAATTACCTCCTTATATGTAAATCAGTTCCTTATTTTCACGTTACAAAACATTTCAATTCAAACCTACAAACGTTTTCAAATGTTTACAATGTTCTTTCATATAGAATATAAATTTGCTCCAGTCATTTTGAAACTGTTCGTCTCACCGATTCCGGATCTTCCCCTTCAGCTTTGCCATCTCCACATATTCTACCATCTTTATCTGCCAATCTTCCAATGCAGGAAATTCCTGGGAATTTGTCTAATCCTTTTTAAAAGCCATCCAAGTTGGTGGCCGTCACTGCAAGTTTCATAGTGTGAAGAAGGACTTCCTTTTATCCATTCCTGAATCTTCCCAGACTCTGCTTCGCAGGGTG